TTTGCGCGAAGTAATTTTGGCAGAGGGAGGATGTTGGACGTGTGGAATTGTTGGTTGTGATGGGATGGTGTGGAGGAGAGGTATGTGGTATTGGAGAAAGTTGAATCGTGGAGTGTGGTTGAAGAGATGAAGTTCGAAAGTAATGATATAGTACCACCAGGGCCAAGAGTGAGGCTGTGTTGTCATTGGATAAGATGGGGAATTGGATGATGGGTGGACCGGGTTGAGGGATTGACATGGATTGGGTAAATGGAAGAGGAGTGTCTAGGTACCTAGTAGTTATTGAATTATTAGAGACAATGGAATATCATATTATGCCATGTCGATATAGGTATGAGGTATGATGATGTTTGAGAAGTTTCAGATGAGATTTCTACCTACCTGCCTACCTAATAATAAGTATATATCTGAATATTACGATGGATTTTATCTCACACCTCTCTCGTTACTTCATGATACTTCTCTGGACTTGTTCAATGCCTACTAGGTACTTATTAGCCGGGGCTCTAGTAGAGAGGACTCGAAGCTGGAATAGGAACCTTATGTAATCAAGTCTTATCGATAAGGACTATGGGAGGCATAAGGCGGGGAAAACTGATCCAATCAAGATTTATGATTGGTTGAAAGTCATCCTAATCATAAATGGAACCCAATCAAGATTCATTATTAGTCATCGAGGAATCTTTATGGTCAGAAAAAACGGTCAAAGAGGAATGCAGAAAAAACAGACGATGACGGTCAATGTAAAGTTATCGACATGAAAATACTCATAAACCGAGGGACTTGAAGGGTCATCTCTACCTCCTTCTTTCGTCAATAGATAATAAGTCACATGCTTTATATTTGACATTTGATTGGATTTACGAGTAAATAATCATATCATAACCCAAGGTTAATAAATAATCATTTATTAAAGTTCGTGTGGTCGAGGTTGAGAAAGAGAAAGATCTTTCAAAACACCTTGTTGGATACCTTTTTCACCCTCACCTGTACTCGTACCTTTACCTTTGCCCTTCAATTCACCTACCTAGGTAGCTATTGCACCACACACCCACACACTCATATGCCCTTTTTGATTTGCTTTGCTTTGCTTTGCTTCAAACTCAAACTCTCCCTTTCCGTCGGATCCATCATACATCATACACCCACCATACATACACCCACCATACACCATACACCATACACCATACACCACACACCACACATCACACCAAATACCACTTCTTACCCCACGGTAAATCTTTCCATTTACCTTATTCAATTCCGCTTTTCTCAAACATTTGGATAGAAAAGGATCGCAGGTTGGCTCCAACGACGCTTCAAGATTCCAATCATATTCTCTACATCTCTTGACTCTTGCTATCCGCGCAATATCTCGACTCTTCTTTCCTTCTTTTCTTCGTCGTGCGCACTCTACCACCGCACAACTCACATGCAAAGCAAGTAACCGTGAAGCTTGCAACCATGGAGCGATCGCCTCCGGATCAAGAGCCTGCCCTAAAGCAATGCCAAAACATGTCGTATAACGAGTACAACCAACAATACTTCCCTATGCAGCAACCTGGTGCGATCAACTTTCCTCTAGATCCGCATTACGCCGCACCAATGTCCACTCCTGCTCAATCATACAATCATGGCGGAATGGCTCAAGATGAGGTTTGGAAAACTCAAGATTTCGCACAGCAGTTAAATCTACCATCGCAATCATACCAACCATACATTTACCATCAAACAATGGATCTGTCGCAACAATTTCCTTTGCAGAATATACATCAAGGATATTCAAATTTAAGATCCGACCCCCACTCACTTCCAAATTATACAGAGCAGTCACCTAGAAAGCGACAAAGAATTAATGAAGAGCCTACTACAAGCCAGTTTGTGCATACAATACCAAAAGTACCTGAAGTCGATACAACTAGCGAATGCTGTAGTTCTTGCCCAAGTGGTTCGCTGTGTGCCGAATCAGATTGTGGTGAAAATGATGTGGTTGTTGCTTGCACCTCTCAGGAGTGCGAACAACCCGTCTGCACTTCCCCAGAGTGTGAGCAGCCTGTCTATACAGAACCTTGCACTAAAGATGGCGCCCTCAGCAGAAGATGTTCAGTTGTTGGAGATAATCTGCCTTCTGATAGGATGTATCAAAGTTGGGATAACTTTCCTGCAATTATGCCAACAGAGCAGCAACGACCTTCCAGAATTCAATCGTTTGCGCCATCGACATTACGAGACAATCAAGCTCCGCAAGAGATCTCACCTTCTCCTGTACCAACGACACCATCTCTAGTCATGAACACGGAAACACCTTACTCAGATATGACATCCTTACAAACACCCGGACTTCCTATGCAGCAACTCACAGATAACATGTCTGGTTCCTCGCTCAATGGTACTGGAATGCGTTTTGGTGATGGATTGGAGATGTTCAGTTGTAACTGGTTGGACTGTGGACAGCCAATGCATGATCAATTTGAATGGCATAGGCATTTTCACCAGGAACACATTGATCCGCAATTTACATTCAATTGTCCAATGCCTTCTAGATCTTGTCAAACACCACTCAACTCGAATCCTTTGGATCACTTACAAATAAATCATGGCTTTACATTCGAGGAGAGTATAAACGGATTTCAATGTCCTGCTCCAGGATGTCCTACCGAAGAGATGTATTGTGATCCTTCAATGCTTCACAATCACATTGATCAAATGCATGCCATACCTCTACAGGGACAACTACAGTGTCAAGTTGATTCTTGCAACACTTTATATCAAGATCCAAATCAATTCTTCAATCATTTGAACCATGATCACAATTTACCAATTCCAATGACTCCTGTCGAAGAGATTGATCTTTCAAGTATACCTGTGTCAGTGGAAGCAAAAGCGGAAGAAAAGGTGAAAGGAGAGACTGCCTCGGTAGCGAAGAACAATGAATCAGAATCAACTAATCATCTATCTTGCAAGTGGGCAGCTGGTGGTCAATCTTGCGGTCAAGTATTTACTTCAGAAAATGATCTTCAAACTCATGTCAAGGATGTTCACTTATCTATCTTGAACAAAACTTCCGGTTACTTTTGTAAATGGCAAGGTTGTTGTCGAAAAGCAAAGATGGGTGATAAGGAAGGATTCTCTCAGAGGGGAAAACTTGAAAGACATGTGGCTAGTCATACTGGATGTAAGTTGTTTCCCGATACTTCTCTTACCTGTAGAATACTGACCAAGTCGAAATAGTCAAAGAATGTGCGTGCGATTTTCCAGGATGCGGAAAAACATTTGCAGCAGCGCAATCCTTAAAACAACATTACCGTCTCCACACTGGTGAAAAGCCATGGAAATGCAGATATTGTCCCAAATCCTTTCCTCAACAAAGCGCATGCACAGTCCACGAGCGTATACATACCCATGAAAAACCACTCGAATGTTCTATTTGCAAAAAGACTTTTAGCGAATCATCAAATTTGGCAAAACATAGAAAGACACATGGGGAGAGAGGTCATCATGAATGTCCGGATTGTCCAAAGACTTTCCATCGGTTGGATCAGTTGAAGAGACATGCGGAGATGCATGAGAGGAAGAAGAACAAGGCTAGCGAAGGAAGCAGTGGAGGTGGTGTGGATGGGGAGGAGGAAAATAGTGAAGTTACAGAGAGTTTGGCAGGGGATAGTTTTGATGGACATAGCATTGGGAATATGGGGCAAAATGATAGGGATTAGGGATGCGGTGGAATGAATGGATATGGGTGGTGAGGAATGGGGAATGGGGAATGGAGCTTTTGTGGTACTTACTGTAATGATTCTACGAGAAACAAAGATCATGATTTACGAATCATGAATCATGGGACATGGGGCAGGGTGCGATTTGATACTGGCGAGCGAGATGGTACGATGGATTATCATGGCAGCGATGCATATTATGCGAAGTAGATATGGGTGGATATCAAAGTTTGAGAATACCTGGTACATGAATGCGAATGCGAATGGGTGGCTTGAAATTAAAGAAATTAAGCGTTTACCTGGATAGATGGATGGATGGATCATATGAATGGTAGCGTAGGAACATGGAATAGTAGGTGGGAGAGCGGAATGGAGGGAGAACAGGGAATGGGGAATGGGAATTGAGCATGGGAGGCGATATCAAAAAGTCTTTAGTAAATGAGTGGATGCCTACCCGGCAGGCTGGTAGTTAGTGATTGTTACCTTGTTGAAATTTTAATGATACATGATTATATTATGGATTGAGATTGAGATTGAGATTGGTGAAGTTTGGATTGGAGAGGGAGAAAGGGAGAGGATATTGTGAGAGAGTGAAAATGGAGAATTATCTAGGTGAAATGAACTTTGTGATAGCGAATAATAGGGGGAACGAGTTATGCTTTGAGAATCTTTGAGATTTGAATTCTTATTGGTAGTTCTATGTGATAGATACCTATGCTCTATGGCTAGGTAGGTATGAATGAGGACTTAAGGGGATTTGAAACAAAATTATTGTTTATCCTATTCGAGCCTATCTATCTTAATTTGTTGTGTTTTATTCTATCCTATTTTGCTTTGTTATGTATATTATAATCCTTCAATTCTTTTCTCTATATCTTTCTCTATATCTATTTATTTATTTATTTATTCATTTATTCACTCATCGAATCCTGTACAATCAATCTTCATGACATCAATCACCATGATATCGAAGAGAGGATAAAAATAAGACAATCAGATAATCAGATATCGATCAAAACGAGTAATATCTATTAATACTAGCACTACTAGCAGCATTGCTAGTACTAGTATAAATAAAGTATTAATAGTATCGTTATGCTACTAAGAGCTGTATTACTGGGGTTGTAAATTATATATCGTCATGTAGTATTGTATTATATTATATTATTTTATTTTATTTTATATCACGATGCTACGCTATGCTGCTGTGCTATGCTATGCTATATTCATCATAGATGGAAGATCTATTCTGGATGGATGATGTATGATGCTATGATTGTAATGACGATGACAATACAACTGCAACTACAATCGAAACTCTGCGGTTGTTATAGAGTTACTGTATGATGTGTTGTATGTACAGGGATGGAGATGGAGATATGGGAGATATAGGAGATTGGTATATTACCGCGGAGAGGAGAAGAGGAGAGAGAGGAGAGAGAGAGAGAGAGAGAGGATAGAGAGGAGAGATAGGAGCGAGAGGAGAGAGGAGAGAGAGAGAGAGAGAGAGGAGAGAGAGGAGAGAGGAGAGGAGAGGAGAGAGAGGAGCGAGAGAGGAAGAGAGAGGAGGAGTGAGAGGAGAGAGAGGGAGGCGAGAGAGGAGATAGAGGCAGACGAGAGGAAGAGTAGAGATAGCGGAGCGGAGATGAGGAGAGAGGAGGCTGACTCAGACGAGGGAGAGAATTGGAGATGAAGAGCTCCTTCTAGAGAGAGAAGAATCGAGCGTCGTCGTCTCCCCACGAAGGAGAAGGAGGAAAACAGCACAGCACAGTACTTGAAATACAGAAAGTAGAAAATTCTTAAAACCACAATACAAGAAGTAAGTGAGTGTGAAAATGAGGATAAGTATGAGGATGAGGAAGGGTATAAGAATGAAAAAGAAAAGGAAGGGAAGAACAATATACAAGTAGGTAATTAGCGAATACGTAGTGATCAGTTGGATGATGAATGATGGGGTAAAAAGGGGGATAGATATCCGGGGATGCAGAGATGTTTTTTATTCTCGAGTAGTTGGTAAACATGCGGTGGAGTGGAGAATAGCTAATGAAGATTTGTGTTCATATCGTTTGACCTTTGGATATGCATGTACCTGTAAGTACAAGAAGAGAATGTAGACGAGTGAGTGATAGGCCTAAGGACAGGGAAATTGGAGTAGCAACATGTAGAAGAGGTTTCTGGTCACTGAAAATGCTGGAGGTGAACTTGATGAGAGTGCTGAGGGTGGAGAATGGATGTACATTTGAAACTGGAATACAAGCCGTGAATGGAAATTGGAGGATTGAGATGAAATTGGGTGGTCTGGAACATTGTGATATATGGAAATTTAGGTAGTGCATTTGATCATGGTTGGAATCAATAGGCAGATGCTGGAGTTGAGTGCAAGGGTAAAAATGAAATGAAATCGGTTTCATTATGACGACATAATCTGGCAAATGGTACAAGGGAAAATCAACATAGAATGGCATAATCGTGTCCATTGGCTTCTTCATGGGGATCTTCAGGTAGCGGTAGAATGTGCCAACCAGGACCAAAATTTCAAGCACGAGCCACAGCATATTGTGAAATATAACAGCTTGTTCGAGATCACTGCTGCAATCGTTCATAGCTCTCCCCAATATCGACATTCGCAAGTTCCTGGGTATAATGGCCATAGAAGTCTCGAACCCCTCCTTCGATTTCGGAACCATGCGTAACCGCTCGCACAAAATATCACACCAAATCCAAAGGACCCATTTGTTGTTTTGCTCAAGTCGTTTGATTTATTGGAAAAGGCTTTTTTACTAGCCATGCTATTTTCGATGATACACCGTGACCCGTGCGAAAACAAACCAGGCAAAAGGCACCATGCCAGCCATCCTCACAATCATAAACACCTACGTCCAGAAAATCTAAGCCTCCGCCTATTGTAAAGTTAGCATCATAGTCCAAAATCTTTCATCAATATCCCTCCACTATCTTCAAGCTCTCGGAAAAAGATATTGACTCGGGGCCAGCGGAATCGCATACCTTAACAGCGAACTTTCTTTGTGGGAAGTGCATCGATCTCTTCTTGGTCTTCTCCAACTGCAACTCCTTCTCGTGCTTGCTGAGACGTCTACGGATGGCACGAGTTTGCTTGGCTCGGAGATCGAGAGGAAGGTACTTCTTTCCCTTGTAGAAGAGACGGAGTTGTGCGCGTTGGTTGGCGTTAATGACTGTGAGGACCTTGGCAATTGACTTTCGGACGTCGTGGCTATAAGGAAGATTTCATTAGTATCCATCTTAACGATCTTTATCTCGCAAATTCTCATCCAAGTTTCGGCAGGTCGAAAGAGTGACGATTATAATTAAAGTACGCACATCTTGGTGAGCTTAGCAGCAGATCCTCCAGCAATCTTCTGAGTTCTCAATTGACCGAGCTCAGTCTTCAACTCTCCAAGTTGCTTTGCGAGGTCCGCCTTGTTCTTGGACCAAAGTTGGCCAGTCTTTACTTTTCCGGACGACTAATCGCGATGATCCGTTAGCCATCTTTCTTCCATAAATTGAACGTCAACATCTCCCCAAAGAATTTGTCGCATACCATTTTGAGTAAGGGTCGGGTGGTTGTCGATTGTGGTTGTCGGGCGTCTCGTCGTCGTGAAAATATCGAAGTTGCTGCAGAGGCCGTGGAAACAAAAGTTAGGGTTTACCGAGCCCACAAACTGAATTTTCAAAATTTTGGTTGACCAATCAAATCGAAGTCACATGACTTTAAGATTCCTTGCCGGTGTTTAAGGTTTTAAGAACATTGAATTGTGAAAGTCATTTCTGACAAAGTGAAGAGAAATATGAGAAATATGAGATTCACTCCCACTTCATCTAATTGAAGAAAGCTCTTGAATCTTTTAATTCCGAGGTGTCGCTACCTCATCGATGTTCATTTACTATGTGTTAGGAGCGAATACGTGTATTTCTCTACGAGCTCCTTGAAAGTCTTTCGGCGCAGAACTTCAATTATCGACAAGCTCTTCTCATCTATTGTCCATTTACTATAATCATAGGTAGGTACCAGTCGTAAGTATCAATTGCAATCGGTTGAAAAAAGCTTTGCGTTCTACTTTGGAAGAGTAGCAGTCTGGCAAAATTGGTGTACTTATCTAGCAGTCTATACGCAGCTCTTCCCTGGAAAGACTTGTTCTTTTCGTGGATCTCAAATCGAACCTTTGGCTTATGATAAGTATTCATCAACCGATGCAGCATATTTGAATTATACAACCATCATAGAATTGCTCTACATCTTTCTCGGAACACGACATCAAAGTCTCATCATCACGATCAATACAACTACTACAAAGCTATCACGTCACTTCGAAATTGTACTCACGTCGAAGTCGAAAATCCATTGGAGAGATTTAAAGGGTGATTATCACTTCAGATGTTAAGATTTGATTACGAATTAGACAAGGCGTGTTGATTTGTGATTGATGTTCTTGCCTACGCGTTAGGTGACAATATCAGACAGGGCTTGTTGGTGCCAATGGGTCGTACAATCAGGAGTATCACAGTGCAGCAATGGGTGACGGTAACCTTGCAGCTGCATCAAAAACTCTTGTATTCCGAATTCTAAAGTATCGATATGGAGTTCATTTCCCTTGGCCGGAATCGGATTCGCTACGATACTGGTTTTCACTTGCTACCTTCCATCCCTTCGAGAAACAAAACATCGAGGTTCCCAAATCAACAGGAAATTTCTATAATCCCCTGTCCTGTCGGGATACGATCGAGCTCAATTTTGTTTCCCACAGTGTCGCTCGAGTGTGGCGATAGAACTGGATTATGCGACAAATCCCTGACGTAGATTTGATGGATTGGGATTCATGATATTGTTTGTCATTTTATGAATTTAGATATTTGAGGTATCCTTGTGCTTTGCTAGTCCAATTTCTTGCGATCTACAATGATTCGGATTCTCATAAACGACTTTCAAGTCGAAATCCATCATCGTCGGTGGCTCAATTGCAAATTCAGTATACTCGATTTCAATGTGTGCTTTGCCAGAACCATCTGTAACTCAAACCGTTGAATCGTTTCCCGAGCTTCTTCTTTCCTTCGCAGTATCCCCATAGTTCTTCAAGTCATACGTCAAAATGCCAAGGAGTGAGTTCTCTCCTCCCCTCGTTTATGAATAAATCATCACCCCCAAGCCTGTAGGTCTTCTGATAACAGTTTAAATGGCTTCTCATCAGATACAAGAGTTTCCAGAGCGCCACCAATGGAAGCTACAAATGCTTGCCATTCATTGAATTTATGAAAACGCGTGGGGCATACTGGGAATTTGGGTCGTGGGAAATTAGAAGATTGGATTTAGGCGGAAATCCTGGACGTGTTATGGAGGGGTTGCGCAATAACCAGCTATTGATTCTACTAATGTTAGTCATGAGTGCTGATAATGGTGAGTCTGCGCTGTTACTGGGATCTTTTGGAGTTGGGAACTCGCTGGGTGGTAATGTATTTGCAGCTTTGCATTCCTATAGTTGTTTGAAGGACTCTCTACTTGAAGCCAATAGCCAACATGAGAAAGAGTCGCTGACAGGGGATGCACGAAACAATGTAGTATGGAATAAGTAGTTTCAGTAGCGCGCAGTTGACTTCGTACGCCTGCCCCCAACTTCAAATCATCATCTCACGTTTCCAATCTGATACAAACCTCGCTTTCATGACAACATAAACATAATTGACGGATAGCAATAGCCTCGAACGACAGTAACAATCGCTACAAATGTGACAGCAGTAGGTCAAGTTTCGTCATCAATTTGCACTGATAATTTTGTGTACGTATATTGTACTACTTCCAACTCACAACCACAACAGACAGCAAAGCACAAATCCTATTTGCGAATGGGTAACAAACTAGGTAGATATTCTACAGCTTCCAAGTGGGTTGCGTCTGTTGTTTATATATCCCATCAAAAGCGTAGTGACTGTTCGCTCAGGCGATTCTGCATGGAGGGTATAGTAGTTAAGTGAATGCCTTCCGCAAAAAGTGGTTGCGACATCGCACTATACAAATCTTGGCTATCCTTAACCCTCTAGCTAATTCCTGCAAGAAAAAATTTGCTTTAAAAGGATCCAGAAGAACTGTCTACATCTCCATAATATTCCCTCGATTGGTGATAACACTGTACATATGCTTCGCGTTAGTGATGATCCCGTTGTTTGAAACCACCCAGGGGGTCCGAAGTCACTCTGCATGACAAATCGTTTAAGCAGCAAAAGCTTGCTGTATTTAAAATTTATCGATCCTTGAGTTCTACCACGATGAAAAGATTCGAAACGAAAATGAAAGAAATGGGAAATAGATAGTAAAAATGGCATTGTCAATCATAACAACAATATCATCGAACAACTTCCACCTCACCTAGATTGAATAAACCAATCCCCAATAAGGAACCCCCGAATCACAAAACATCAAACCACCTTCCATCGGCGACGCGAACCAGTACATTGCAAGTAAATTCAAACGAACCCAGAAATCACACCTTCAAGATCCCGCTCCAAGAATTTTCAAATGACCAAACCTACCCGTGCTCCTCCCACAATTCCCAGTTTCCCACATCCAACTCTCTCTTTTCGTCGATTTCCATGTCCCTTTCCCTATAGATACTTCATAAACATCTCTCCCGCTACGATCTATGGAAAAAAAGCTCATCACGTAGGGACTCGAAGGAAGATTAGAAAGGCCCAAGTCATCACGATAAATCGTCTATGCAGTATATTCTAATCCTCTCGCTTTAATTCGTCTTAAGAGATCAGAGCTGTACTTTACGGTTTCACCGGAAACCTTGCCCGATACATATTATTCAGTGAAACTCCAGATTCAAGAACCAAATCGACAGTGAAAACATAGACGATAGTCAAAAGACAACAACACCACACCCAGATAATATCAACAAAAACCACGGCTTCAAAATTTAAAATTCGAGAGAATTTGGCCCAACGCTCTGTGATGAATTATTATCCTCAATCGGCGATATCCTAACAGGATTTATGAGAACAAGAAGCGTGTGTTCCTTGTGTTTGAATCTTGTTGTCGTTTTCCCAATTTAAACATACCTATAATAACTACATCCCCTCCGTGAATATTCCCACGTGGAAGTCATACAAGATGAGATATACAGCTACAAGAGCATCCTTATAAGTGATGCGAGAGATCTTCTTCAGATTTCACATCTGAAAAGACCTCTCAGTGGCAATTCAATCACTCTTTAGATGAAGCATCCAGTTTGAACTACCAGATAGCTTGATGCCCCGCTTGAAACATTGATGATGTCATTGTGAAAATAGAGCATTCGTTTACAAAATTGTAGCTGCTGCGATGGTATGAAATGAGATGAATGGATGGAAACAACATGATGTAGGTAAGAAAGGGCGATACTCGAACAGCAGTGGATAGAAAATGTGACGAGATAAACGTTTATCATGATGCATCTTGGCAGCGGTATCAAACATCTCCAAGTTCCACAATTACCACATAAAGAGATAGACTTATATAGCAATGCAGAGGTATATTCTATTAGTCAAGTCGCCACCCTATTCAAGCTTTGTATGATATTTCGTAGAATCCGCAACTGGATCGAAAAAGTCGTTTTATATACCGAACAACTTACTCCACTACCACCGATTTAATCGGTACTTAATCTCCATAATCCATCTCCCAAATAATGTGCATCTTCCACTACTGGGCCCTTTCCCTTCTCCTTGACATCCTTCGTTCCCATACTCAAAAGTCCCACCGCGCAAGCCTCCTCCTTGCCTTCTGCACAGATAACCACTGGTTCACCAGTTTCCAATTCTCTTCCCCCATACCATCCTTCTCCCTCTCCAGTCTCTCCATATACGCCCTCTTCTTCTTTATTTCCATTAGGTAATCTGCCACCTGTAGATGTGAGACCTGGAGCCATTAGGGTAGCTCCCGAAAGAACGAATCGAATAGCGCCGCGATCGATACGCAGACTTGGGAAGCAGGTAGGGAATCGGTGAACGAGTTTGAGATGGGGTAGGAGAGCATCGGTCATGTGTTGAAAGAATAGAGGTGTAGGGCCAATTAAGTAGAGAGTTACTCTATCTGGACTATATTCCCCAATGTTAGTTTTAATTTTCTTGTTGAACGATCATGCGATGAGAGATATGCCGTAGTGAGTATAGAAGAGCAAGGAGAATGAGAGGAGCACACATTTTCATAGCATCCAGCTGCTCTTTCTTCGGTATAATCTCATCGATATGAGGGGCTAATAACGGATATGTGTTGACGAGTTGAGTTCTGATGGCGCGTTGAACAGAGGACTTAACCTTGCTTTTTGAGCCGGGAGATATACTGTGAAAACACTATAATCAGCATTTATAGATCATTGGATTCGCAAAAATAGGACCAATAAGTCTTACTCTTTCTTAAACATCTTGAATATGATTCTGATAGTATTGTGATGTTTGTGACGAGGGGAAGATTTGTTTAAGACGTGCATGTGGAGAACATGCCCCGCGATACGGCAGGCGATTGAGACCTAAAACGCACAGACTAAAGAGGAGGGATAAATTGGAGGCTGAGGAGGGGTCTACGAATTACAAGATACCTACCTAGTAGGTACGTAAGTTGATCAGACGATCACAACATGAGGTTATTCCGACATCAAGCACGCGAGTGAGGTAGGTATCGCATTCAAACGTGGTGTTGTATGTATAACATATTTACGCATTCTCATTAAAGTTCATTAAAATTCATCAAATCAATAACATCCATCCTTAAAGCTCGAGGCGCTCGAAAAGCTCCCCCGCAAATCATTAAGCCTGTCTCCATCTTTCTATTGGTGGTTGACATGGGAAACAGTTCCATCTTCATTCAGATGGATATTGAGTCTACATATGGAGTTAGTGATGAAGATTCTGGAGAGTAAGTACTGGTTGCGAGTGCTAACCTGTTCTCCTTGAAGTCCTTGGTAACCATCGAACCAGGCTCAATGATTCTATGCTCCTCGGGAAGATCTTGCTTTGCGAATGTCTATCGATGAGTGGAATGTTAGCAGACGACATGGTTATTGTTTGACTATAAAACGACCAACATACAGTCTCATCACTGGAGTCACCGATCTTCTTTCCAGCCAATTTACTCATCCACACTTGGGTCTTGTCCTCGCCACCGGCAGCACTGTTGGTAACTGGATCGACGAGAGGCATTTTGGAATGTGGTTTTGATGAAAAGTGTTTGATTGTTGATCTTGGTGATATTGGTAATATTACTTGAAAGTTTCTTCTTGTATGAGATTGAAAGTGTTTGATAAAGATCATGAATAGAACAGCGGAAGAAGAGGGTCTTTATGTTCCATGAACTTCCAACCAAGCCTTCTTGTTCTAACACATTCCCTAAACAAGGCTGCGGCGCTTCATCTCACCTGCTGAATTCAGATGGGGTACGTCATAGCCAAGTCATCATGTGATTCTATCTGCACGTGACGCAATGCTTTCAATCCAAGTTTTTAGTTTGCGAACTTTCGCGAACTTCCCCTTCATTTTGTTGGTTGTTCCTCAGCCAAATATCCAACCATCTAGGTATCCATCTTGATTCCTTTTCCTTTTCATTTCTTCATCCATTTTTTTTACCCAGGGGAGAATCCATTCTTATAGCAGATCCATTCCATTTTGATTTACACTTTTTACTTTGAATTAACTCTATCAATTTGCTTCACAAACTTTTTGGTTCCGCAAGGCCATACCCGAATGGTTATTGTGCAAAACAGTTCATTTCTCATTGCAATCTTAGGGACGTACCATAGCGGTTATATGTACTGCCACAGCAATGGCCCTATAGTTTGGCATCAATAGTCAGTTCGGTACATTTTGGTTGTGGACCCAATTAACGCTTCGACCCGACGGTGAGGATTAATTTACAACCATTATTACTTTACCCATCACCTAAAACGCATTGGAAGTCCTTAGTTGCTCCCAATCTTTCAATGTCCGACACGTCCGACTGGATCTATATGATGAATCTGATTTACTTCTACTCGCTGACTCGTCACCAAATGCGCAGTGAGTTGGGGACTGCGACCAGTGGAGCGACTTTGTATCCACTATACATACTAACTTTAACTTTTCACATCAATTACGCTATCCTCTACGCGTCCTCCCCAATCTCCATCCATTCTTTCGGTAAAAAACGAAGAATCTTTACATCCCGAAATATTACCCGTTGCAACGAGTAATAATAAGTATTAGCTCGGTTTGTTTGCTTTTATCACAAGTGCACCGTTATGTATCCGTTAAGCAGTTGTCCGGTAAAGTTGTACCATTGCATGTCTGTACAAGGGGGAAAAAGGGACAGCGCATTCTTGTCAGCAGCGAAATCCTTCCAATACCCCATGCCAGGCTCTTGTTGATGGGTTAATTGTTGCTACCGTAACACTTTGCGCAAACCATCCAGATACTGCTTTTGACGTTATTTCGGAGAGATGTTGAAGAACCTTAAACATTCATGGCCCCCCATGGGTAGCTCCGAATGCTTACTTACAAGGCTGACCCTTTAATCCCCCCCCCCCCATATTGACGTTTGATTTGTTCAACGTAAGTATAATCGACAAGAGAAATGGTGCTACGCCTCTCATATTACCCGTCCAGCCTTAAACAAGTTGAAGCTTCAAAACTACGCCTCGCTGCCTCGGAGCTTAAAATCAGTTCACGATAATTGTAGGGAAATTATTCACTGCCCAGCTTTGAAACCCCTTGACAAGCATTTTTTTCTTTGCACTTATCTAGTGCTTATATCCCCCACTATCTTTATATTCACTCATGTAGTTTACTCTGATCAAATTCTTATTCATCCCTTGATTCATTCATCTTTATTATTGTTACTCAATATCAGTTGAGAAAACTCCAGTATTTTCCTCACAACTACCCTGCAAAGTTCTTCTACCATCCTTTGACAAGATTCAAACATGCGTCCGATTCTACTTTCTCTATTGGCGTCTTCAACAGCTATCGTCTCCGCCTATCAATCTCTCATGTTAGATGGATGTATACAAGGAAATTTCCATGATCTTGTGATCAGAAACTCCTGTGGAGATGATTTATCAATTGTCAAATGTCTTGCAGAAGATGTTGATTTAGGACACCTGGATCAAATTGAACAATGTTTCATAGCTGGTGGATGCGATGCGATCGATTCTACTGTGTCAGCAGTATGGTTCTCATACGAATGTAATGATCGTCAAGGACCAGTTTAAGAAAGAGGATCTAAGAAAGAGAGCCACAGAGACAAGTTCAACTGCTGAAAGTACGACGGAATCCACTGCAACAACGGCTTCATCCTCGAGTTCGAGTTCTGCGAGTACAACCGCTGCCACAACCACAACCTCCGCATCTACGACCGCTTCGACTTCAGCCTCTTCTTCGAGCTCTGCGGCTTCATCCACGACTGCTACAACCGCAAGCGCCACTTCTTCCTCGACATCCGGTACAACTACTAGCGCGACAAGTAGTGGAACCGGGACTTCTTCAAGCACACTAGTCTGTTCGACAACCTCTTATTATTCCACGAGTGTGTGCTCCTATGGTACAGGTGCATCCACTGGTGTTACCCTCGGATGTGCTACTACCTCAGCTGCATCTTCAACTTGTGCAGCAGGAGTCCTTTGTACAACTGCAGCATCTGGAGAAGATGTCTGTATGGAAATTGACAACACACTCACGTCATCCGGCTTAGCAGTTACAATTTTTTTCGCAGTTTCAATTAGTGCTTTCGTTATTGGACTTATAGTAATCACTTGCAAAGATCGTCAAGCCGCCAACCAACTTAAAGCGGCTCGTTTGGCGCAACTGGATGCAGAAAGCAAAGAGGCAATGCAATCATATAACCAAAAGAGATCCAAGTCGGTTCGACAACCAGATGCTTTTGGACATTCTGAGGCTGATTTACCTTTGATTACGGAGCCCAGCCACGAGCAAGTTTATTCGAATGAAACTCATTATAACACTTAAATGGGAGCTTGAGTCCGACATATAAATGCTGAATAATGGGATTAGATGAGGGCGCATGGGAATGGAGTTTGAGGAGTTTGATATGAATCGGATTTAATGATCTGTATTTCTATTTGCTTCTGGCGTTGATACATATACTATACCCTTATTTTGATAATTTGACTTGTCTATTTTCATGAATACTTGCGTGATAATTGAGCTTTTTACATTTGATGTTCCTGATATTTCGAAATAACATTCCATGATAGATATTCCATGATACCAGCGAGCGACTCGGAATGCGGTGATAGAAATATTTTCCTCTAGGATTTGTTAAGAGAAACAATGTAGAAAGCCAAGAAATTTTATAACGTAACTAGCCATTACAAGTACATAAGTTATACGATATGCTCGATTCAACTTATTGATCTCGTCCCGCTACGACTATGTTTTACTCCAGTTACCAAATCCATATTCAAACAGCAGTCAATATATCAAATGCAGATAAAATAGTAACACTATATATATATGAATATCTCGATCTTATAATTCAAATGTAGTATATAATCCTAAGTGATTCGGATCGTAGGTGATAAGAGATTGCTTTTACTAATCACGCTAAGCGAAATGTCTTTGTTATTAAGAATAGGATGAAAGCAAACTAGAGATTAGACATTTCGATGTATTAAAGTGAAAAATTCGAATATAGGATAGAATAGGTGAGGTGCTGTTACCGAGACAGGTGAGGAGAGGCAAGCATGAAATTACTTGAAGTTTGTAGGTAAGCAGCTACACCTAAGGCAATTAGCTTCAGTTATCGGAGGCTGAGATTCCGAGATATTCAAGTGTAATATGAGCCAACTGGCGGAACAATGGTTGTACAACGACTGATCTGAGATTGTAATTCTTAAGATTTTTGGGATCATGATATTTTTTTCTAAAGTGACCAATGGAATCATTGTAGGCAATAGTATACTACGGTGAAACTGTAGCGCGTATTAGCATATTGATATTGCAGCTAGTACGTACAGAAAGGAGGTTATACCACTCTCGTACATATTCATGTATCTAAAGAATACTAGCAATATACTGAAATACTGGAATTCATTAGAATACCTTCATTCCTATCCAAATTGGGCAATAAAATTGCATTCCTTATTTCAAATTGAAATGAAATCCCTTATTTCCAGTCTAATTTATATAGGAATGAAGATGTTATATTGAATTCCAGTATTTCAGTATATTGCTTGTAGTATTAAATAACTAAATGATATTGAATACTTTCAGTGGTATTGAATTCTATACCACATACGTACGTATTTCGAAAAAATTCGATACGCACCACTAAACTAACCCGTATACGAAATACGGGAAATACTATTGCCTACACTGAATGGAATTGAGGGGTTTTCTTATTGAGCACTGAAAGTTAAACTGTGAAATTGGCTTGGAATATTGAACTTGTTTCATCAACTACTATGCTAGCATCCAAAAGACTTCTATGTTGAGATCGTATGGGTGTACTATTGTACATGGTGTTTTAAGGTGATTTTGAAGATTTTCTGTCTCCATCGTTATCTCAAGCTACGGTCCTGAAGTTGGGACACGATAGAGAATCAACAATTACATTGTCTCCTTGCATCCATTCGCGTCTCAGGTCTTTGCTGTCACCTAAGCGAATACTTGGTTCATGAACTTAGAGAGGTTTTAGGGAGGAATTTGAGATCATAATGCCTAGCTAATCGTAGAGTTAGTATCCCTCGCTAAATTCTCTCATTGGAAGATGAATGCTATCTTGAATTAATCATCGCTATCTACGTTTGTTTCAACCTTAGTGGTAGAAAGTCTAATCTTGTATTTCAGCTAGGGAATCTCTGTTTAGATAATTGTATAACTTTGTTTAAAACTTGAAATTTTAGATTATCTAAAGAATTCAAAAGCTGTCCCTTATTAAAGCTAATCATTTCTTCTGGCGAGTTTGTTAAATCTGTTCCTTCGTAATCATGAATCAATACTCTGAGTCTTAATAGAGCGAGACTGTTATTGAAATTTGAATAGAGGTTTATATAAGAGAGAAATTTAAGGAAAATTTACTAAAGTTCATATGATAACATGGACGGAGAACTAGGGCCCATTTAATTGTAATGTGTAATTTTTTAAAGAGTTGAGAAGAACCCTAAAGATCATGGACCGAATAAACTATGCGCAAGGGTGTTGTTTGATCACGTGACATACAATACTTCGCTCATTGACAGGTTGAAATATACGGATATGATTTTGATTGCCATGGCCATTATTACCGCCTCCTCTACGTACTGTCTTTACGTAATTTATTATCGTTCTATGGAATGATGAGCGTCTGGTTCTTAGTTTCATTTTGCTAGTCATCCTACAGCTAAATGCATTCAGTGCTGGGAATTTCTTGTCATTATTAATGCCGTTTTTGTTACAGCTGTTCGCTGTTGATATTTTTTAATGCCATTCCGATTTTAGGACACTCTTGGTAAGATCAGGCTTCCTTTGGGGGCGGCTGCCAACTACTTGTAATTCTCTGTTGCCTATACTAGTGTCAATGTACATGTAAATTTGGGTCGAGAGAAAAGGCCAACGGATCCAAAATAAGCTAGGAGCCAACACGGCCTCGTGAGAAAGCATTATAAAGACTACGGCTTGTCAGATTATCATAGAGTATTTCATGTTTAATCATTCAACCCAAAAATGCCTTGCAAACACGAATATTTTAAGGAGAGCGAAGTGCAGGAATTGCTCAAGGGCAAGAATAATCAGATATTAATTGCAAACCATCACAAGGCATCACACTTGGCAAGAGTCCTAGTCAAAAATGCATCTCGTGAGAGTTCTGAACTGACAAAGTCACAACTTGAGGCTCGATCTATGAGGTTCGATGATAACAGAGGATTATATAGTATCCATGTCTTCGCCGAAAAACTCGAAAGACAAAGATCAAAATCCGAGTTTTATTTGGATCTTGTCAGAAAATTTACAACCCATTATATCGCTATCTATGATAAGTTGTTCTTTTTCGGAAGCTTATTTGCTACTGGACGAGTTACCTATCGCGTGAGATGGATGGAAGAAAACAAAGATAAGAATTCCTTGGCTGTGACCACTGCTCATCTAGATCAAGAAGCTTCGGATTATAAGGTAACAGACTCCGTTATCGACTTGTATGTTGAAGCAGACCTGAATACACCACACAAGAAAAAGTCAGGAAATGGTTAGGAACACTCGCCCACGAGATGTTAACACGCTTTTATGTTCACTTTCGGCTGTCTAAATTGTCACATGCCACCGGAGCAACTTACTGACGGTGGCCATGGACATGCGTGGCAAGACGCAGCGTATGAAATTGAGGTTGCTTGTGAGCGACTTCTAACCAATAACGTCAATATGGGTCGATGGGTTTGCGGTACACTGTGATGTGCGCAATGGCAAGATGCCTATGCCCAAAGAAAGCCTGTTAAGAAAATGGGATATGATAGGACCGATTCCTTATATGCAGACGCCAGTGGTTCCGGAAACAGCGGGAAAGACAAATGATGCTGAGAAGAAAAGTTCTAAACCGTCTTCTGCGGAAAAACAGCTACCTCATCGTCCAACAGAGAAAACGGGTGGTGGTAACGATAAACGTGAAGGTGCTGGCAAGAGTGGTGAACGTGCACCTCCTCGCAAAGATGAAAAACGCGATCCTCCTCGCAAAGATGGTAGAGAGGAAAACGTATTACCTCCTAAGAGTGGTGAAAATGGGAGGGAGCGTGAGAAACCTGAGCCCTCTAAGAGAGGCGAACGTGCACCTCCTCCTCGCAAAGAGGAGAAACGCGATACTCCTCGCAAAGATGGTAGAGAGGAAAAACGTGCACCCTCTAGAAGTGGTGTACCTTCTAAAAGTGGTGAACGTGCAGATCCTCAAAAAGATGATAAAGGTGAAAGACGTGATCATACTCGCTCGCGACCGAACGAGGAAAAAGGGAGTTCAAGAAACACATCTAAGCAGGATCTGACTCCGGGTGCCGAAAAGAAATCCAGTCGCAAACCCGATACGCCTAAAAGAAGGACACCTCTTGTATGAAGTAGAAACATAGGTATTGTGGTATGACAACAGGAAAAATAGTACATATCTATAATCTCATTGAAACTAATGTCGCAGTAAACCCAAGATCCCAATAGCCCGCAGTGCAGTTACCAAGCAATAGCTTTCGATTATAAATGTCATTAGAATTTCGGAATATTTACAAAACCACTTATAGTCTCCTAGTCCAGAATATTCAATATTCTAAGTAAACACATCTCTTGACATTCCTAATAGCGATCTTCTTGCAGGTATTCCTCAACCTGGGGAAGTGAGAGTTGGGTTTTGGGAAATATGATTGTGACGCTATGGGGCCGACATAGTGAAAAAATGATATGCCTGGTACAGACTAAAAGGACACGAAATTGACACGAAATTGACAGAAATATGAAGTCTGAATTAGTATTCAGCTGGAACAGAATGATAGGTTTCGATAGTTGGTTGTTTCAAAATGCCAAGAAATGGCTTCATTAGGCAGGTACCAAACAATTGAGATCCTAGGTTGCTATTTGAACTCATGCATTTCTTTGATTATTGGATGACATTGAATCAAGAATCATAGTGCATACCAATCAATATGTTTATATAATGAATTCCAACCTGGTACGCGAGTTTTCCTTTAATCAGATGCATGCGATGCTACCATAATGCAATGTGAATTAAAGCCAAGTCGAACAAAATTTACCACCACATTAATTCTCATGCTTATATGACAGTTAATCAGGTGTATACAATCGTATATTATGCCAATCAAAATCGTATAACATGGCCTGACGTGTCTTTTCCACTCTTTGAGGAGCCAAGAGCAAGAATGTAGTTTATAGGTAGGCTGAGAATCTGGACACGGCTCAGCCGCAATTTGGTGGCATTGTGGCTTTTATTATCATTTTGTAGCCCCTTCTCTCACGATGAGGCTCTAATCGATTTTATAAGCACGCGGTACTTTAGTTGACCACTAGATCTCCAGTGTCTCTTCTCATCGGAATATTTCTCGTCAACCAGTGATCATGGATATACAAACTCCATTTCACAGCCATCCGGCTTCGTCTTCATTCCAACGTACTGAGGAGTCTCAAAATATCTCCCCTCATCCAAACCATGACAATGATAGCGAAGCGCAATACTTTCTAGATATCGCCAAACCACCGCGACCCGAAAAGGCATCTGCAGTAATCCATCAGAGGCATTCCCGTGACTCAAATGGAGCCTTTGAGTTGGGGAATCATAAGAGCCATAATTGGTGGAGACCAATTGCTTTGATGGTTATGTGGTTACTTCTGGGCTCCTCAGTAGGCCTTGGACATCACTTTGCGTATCAAAGTCTTGACCAACAGCCGCAAACCGTGTTCTCTCAATCTTGGGCACATAATCTTGGTTCCGCCGCAGCTTTTTTGGTAAAGACTTCCTTCACACTTACCATCTTATTAGCCCTGCAAGAAGTACTTTGGTTCAGTTTCCGCAGAAGAGATATCAAAATATCGTTACTAGACAAATTATTCACTCTTTCAAGCAACCCCTTCAGCTTTGTTCCTAGTGCATTTGCAAATGCACCGCTAGCCACTGCTCTAGCTGGTTTTGCTTGGTCCATCCCAATATCTGCCATACTATCTCCCGGTAGTTTAGTTGTAGGACCAATGGTTACTTTCAACAGTAGCATCTGTGTCGTGCCGACTTTCGCTGCATCTTCGCCTAATATAAGCTTCTATCAGATGATACCCCATGGTTCCGGTATTCAAGGACCTAATACCGGTATTCAAAAGTTAGCCAGCCAGATCTTTGCTCAAGGAGTTGTTCTAGATCTCAAATCGCCTTGTGGGACTAATTGTTCATTTCAACATTCTTTCTATGGCCCTGCTTTGCAATGTGTCAACACCTCCAACCCGTCATATTTGAATGAGCAAGTGGCTAGCTACCTTTACTATAACGCCACAGACTTGACAACTTTTAATGAGAAAGAAGATTCGCTTATCGAATTGTCAATTACGTACAGAAACAACACGAAAGCAGAAGTACAAAGCGATCTTAACTATGTATCAATCCTTTGCACCGCCTACAATGCAACATACGAACTTTCTGTAAACTATACAAATGGATCGCCAAAGTTCTCCCCAAGTCTCACCTATCACGAACAGCTCCAAAATCTAAATATGACAGAGTATGTTTCCCCAGGAAATTACCCATGGCATTCAAACTCTGCAACACTAGTTCGAGAAGTTTACGACAAGCATCTTAATGGTACATGGGCACAGTCACCCACGACACAGTATTCAACACCTGATACAAACATAGGAAATACAATACTTGTTGGAAATACTGTCAATGCCAACAGCGGAGCGATATCATCTCTCTGGTTCGTAAATAGAGACCTTCTTACTGGGATTCCAGAGCTCCTCACCAATCTAACCATTTCGACACTTGCATTTAGCCCCGAAAGCACAAGTACAAGCTGTTCATCTTCGAAAGAAACGCTGGTTTATTATTACAACCCAAATCTGCTTTTAATTCCTTATTCTATCGCTTTTTGCCTTGGTCTAATTTCATTTCTAGTAGGCGTTTTTGTGCTTATGCAAACTGGTATTCGTACCGGAGATATCTTTTCTCAGATACTTGTTACAACGAGGAATCCATTTTTGGACGAAATTGCAAGAGGTCATTCTTTAAGTAGTGCGGATGCGGATTTTATGAAGGATTATAAACTTAGACTGGGTAAATTAAAACGTCCTCGTGGAGAGAACGACGATGATAGTGATGGTGGTGATGGGAGAGAGGCTGAGCATGCGGCTTTCGGGCTTGCGGAACAGGTGGATAGTTTACGTTAGAATAGTTGGAATAATTTGGAAGACTTACAATTTTTACTTTATTTTCTTTGCAGCAGTATAAAACTAATAAGTGAATGTGCTTTGAAGAGCCTTATCCTTCAACTTGAACAGGTAGCACAAAAAACAGGACGAGTGCTTGATCAGGTAGATTAAAGTATTTCGGCCCAACGCCAATCGCTCGCAGCATGTAAGGGATCAGACACCGGTCATAATGCCCAAGAAAGCAAAGGGTTTGCTTATTGATTCTCAATTGATACACTGTCAATTCTTGCCCGAACATGTTTCCAAGCATTATCGCTCGAATTTATTGTTGCCCCTAAACCAAATATGCCGAAATTCCCAATTGTCATTTTGCCTCACCAAGGAATCACTGCAATTCTTCCTCAAAACTATAAGGACTTATTTCTTCATTGGCGCACTCTTACACTCTGATCGGCATATTATCACACTTTTCTTTGTTTCACAAACTCCGACTCTTTGGAGGTTATCAATTGCAAGCTTGCGAGCTGTGATAAGATGGTCTCATACGAAGTTTATTTATCAAATATTTATAGAGTATGAGTGAGAGTCTATGAATTCGACGACTTGAAAAGGATGGAAACCAAATTCAATCCGTTAAGTTTTGGCGTAATTTGCACCAGAGAGCCCTCAGCCTACTGAGCTAGTATATATTATATCACAATAGTGAGTGACAATCAAAAAGTCGAACTTTGAATAGAACGCCCAACATCTCTGAGTCATACACAAGGTCACTATGAGTGTGTGTCCATACATTTGGAGATAAAATACAGTCAAACAGTTATTTTCAAACCACGAATTGAAAAAGCCCGTAATTGTACTCCTAGACCGGGCCGACGGTCGCAATTTGCAAAGCATTCACTGTGTGAGCTTGGAGGCACTCGCCTGTGATAATTGCAATAAGGAAGAGATGTTATATAAGCTTCTTCATAATATGGGAAAGCAAGGCAAAAAACACGAAAAAAGAAAATTTGATGACGAGCAGGGAGCTGGGTTCAGCAAGGCGGCATTCTATAGATTACGAGGAGGATAGTCTTGTGAAATTGTGATTGTAGCGCAGAACGACAAAGGATAGACAAAATTGAAGCTTTACGTTGTCGATATTTCGAATTCTCGTTACTCATTAATGACTAGCGCTGTCAAACTGACTCCCATCCAAGAGCTTTTGTCATTTTTACCAAATTCAAACTTTCAAACTTCCACTATCGTATCGAATCACCTCTCTTGCATTATTATCGAAACAAGGACTCTTGCCGATTCATATTACCAAAGTCTCAATCGCAGCAAGAATATAGAAGATGTGGCCTGTAAGCGGTCATGTAAAGAGTACAAGAAAATTCGAGAGCAAAAGGGAAATGGCACAAAGTCTGCTAGAAATAATGTGAAAACGAGGAAAGTTTTTAGCGGGGCTTATGATTCACTTCGCATGACGCGAGCATTAGTACTAGAGTCCTCCAAGGAACTTATATAGGGAATTAAGTTATCTTTACATATACCTATTAGTTTGTTGATCTGTAAATGGCTAAAACTTAAAAAATCGTGGTAGTGATGAGAGGTAGAAAGACATAAAAATACAAACAGCGTTATCAAATCACGTTGATTGATTGATTGATTGATTGATTTAATTAACGTCCTTTTCTCAGTCCAAGACTATTTAAGACGGCTAGGCTTTAAGAACCTAACAATTGCTAGTGGATATCTATAGTAGATATATTCAATTTGGAGGAGTAAAAACGAATGCTGGGGTGTTATGTCCGATCTCTATTCGGAGTGCAAATAGAGATTAAATAGTCTTTATCCTCTGAAACACTTCCTTCCTTACTTTTCCCCTACCCCTAATCCAATTAAAGCATCCTAATATCCAATTTCTCTTTTTAAAATCCTAAATCCAATTTGCTATCCCTCCCTTTCTATAAAAGGCAAGAGTTATCCTCTCCTGAGTTGCCTCTAATATAACAAAGGGTCCTCTTGCTAATGAGGTAGCAGAAGAAGGCACTACTCTTTTCTGTCTTTATCTCTTTTAAACTAACCCCTTATATATCTTCATAAGCTTAATATCCTCCAGCTCTTATTAGATATGTATAATCGAAACTGTTGAAAATAGTGGGGCAGGGCCGAATCCTAAGCCCTATTGCCCACATACAAATCAATTCGGAAAATTCGAAAATTCGAAAATTAAAAGAAAAACGTTGTATTGTATCAATGCCTAGAGTATAGTATTAATTTGAAAGTGATAGTATTCTCTGTATTGTATCGTCGTAGTATTCGAGTGACTGAAAGCCAAAGGGTATAAAAAAGGGTTGTAATACGAGTAGAGTGGCAGTAAGCTCTATATTGAAAAGACTTTTCTAAAAGAAGAAACCTATTGCGTATCATATTTCTGTATTTGAAATAGTAATCGATAATAGATATTGAATCTAACCGGGGCTTCCATAACCTTTGTATCCATGTTTAAAGCTGGTATTCAATTCTTTATAGGTATTGCTGTTATAAAATCGTAATATAATCCTTTGCTATATCTCTGAACCTTTCTCCTTCTAATTCTTCCAATTCCATCTGCGATTCAATCTTAGCTCTGCAGACTCTCAAGAGAGAGCTAAAGGTTCGTAGGATGCACCGCGTACAGGTGTTGAGTCTTCGCATCCCATCAAATCACGTTGTAGAAGCTTGGAAGACAGCGAATATCGCTTGTGTATAAGATGGCCACAAGTGCTTCCACTGTTCAGTGGACTCACCAGCAATCTTCAAGACGCGCAAAGGATTGTTACACTGGCGGATAGAGGGTGAGTTTGAAATACCGGTGGCGAAGCCGGAAAACGTGAGTTCCACCTGTCATGAGTTTGTCTTGGATGTTTTTTTGAGGACTTTTACTATTGTCAAGTTAAAGTCTCACTTCTCGGTGGATATGGGGTTGGGATTGTAACAAGTAGCTGCCGTCTCGCCATATCCTTTGTCATAAAAAGTAAAACAACGCCATCATTTCAAGCTCGACGATACATAATTCAAGTATTCAAATTTCAGACGAGATACTTGTATCTTTAACTTGGAATGTAACTCTAGGAATATAGGTGATGGAAAACATCTTTAATACACTACTTGAAGATTAATCTTCAATCTTTATGGGGAAAGAATCGCACCGGATTTTGAGTGCACTACACCAAAAGAAATTCTGAGCAAGGCACTGTGTCTCTACCTAAGCGTGAAGAGATCATAACCCAGAGAAGAGGTCAATTGAGAACAGTGAAGTATCACCGTATGAAAGTATACAGAAAGTGTGCCAAAGTAATTGATCCATGTTTCTCAAGGGATACAATTTTATCACAGTGGATTTGCTCCCAAGGCTTTACATATCAATCTAAGAGTATGGGAATGCACTCAACTATAAATGCTTTGACTGTAGGTTTCCACCAGAGTATGTAGTAAAATCTTTATTGGGAACACTAATAGCGTGTAGGAAGGCATTGCCAGGCAATAATCCTTTGAACTTTCTGGATGACATTCAAGTAATAATGGCAAATGAATATCAATTCATGCCTCATGCCATCCCAAGGTTTAAACAGAGCCCCCCCCTCTGTTCTAATTTGATTAATTCACATCTGATTACTAGGGTCTGCCACAAATTCTTTGTGCGATAACAGATGTCACACCGAGGAAACTTGTGCTAGTTTTACATGATATTAGACTCCCTTTTCGCCTTATTTTTTAGACCCAGATATAGGTTTCGATCTGGTAGAATGGTCTAGATAATCGGCAGAGGTGAGAACATCAAAAGTTCCTTCGACAAAAGAGGCATCTAGCGGCGAACCTGGTGATAAAAGGCGATCTAGGTCTAGATCCGAATCTGGGTTTGGGATGTACGTCCCGGAAAGGTTTGATGCGTGCTGATTCGAGATGTCTTGGTCCGATATATCTGAATCATCGCTCTCATTAAAAGAGTGTCTCGAATATGACTCCACAATTCCATCCTGCTCACTTATACCATAAATTTCCTTTATCTGCCTTATTTTCTCCTTTTTCGTCTCTGTCAGTACCGTATTTGCAAATGCTTCCTTAATGGTATCCTTGTCTATACAACCTGTCTCAACCAAACTCCACGGCACCCACGCACACGCAGCCCTCGCTAGTTTCTTACTCGGTTGTCCCCCAGACTTTCGCATCCGATCCCCCACCACAATCGTTCCTACGCCCTTCCGAGAAAGGCGTTTCACCAAATCCCAAAAACCAGTATCATCCGATATCAGTATCAACCAATCGTACACAGTTGCCCTCCGCATCTTACTTGAATATGCTATGATTGCTTTGTCCGCAGCCTGCGAACTCGATTGAACGAGATTCACCTCGACTCCCGCACGCCGAAGCTCAGTATCAAGTCTATACCGATCAGCAGGCCTGGTAATTCCCACAGCCGCCTCATGATACTTAGTGTTCTTCTCCGTAGATAATTCTCTCGCCACAAACTGAGCCCTTTTTTTACCCTTCAGCTGCGCTGCTGCAGTTAATTTCTTTCCTCTTTCCTTTTCATGGATCTTAAAATGTTTCACCAATTCCACTTGGGTTTTCCTTTTGTTGCCACAAATACCACATACGTAAGGTTCATCAGGTTTGATCTTATACTTTTTGTGCAATTTATGCTCCAGCATGTAATACTCTTCGAGTTCTTTGCGTGATTCTATGACCGAAGAAGGGACAAAAGACATTCCACTTCGGTTGGCGAAGGCGGCGATACTGATGACATTGCCGAAGCGGGAGGCAAATGAACGAAGATTTTGCGCTGCGTCGTACGGATTGATTGAATCGAACGGTGGTATGTTGTCCAGGTCCCATAGGACGATTACTTTTTGTTGGGGAGATTGAGAGAGTTCTGTTTGTTTTTGAACATCGCTCAATGCGAGTAAAGCCGTGTTCGGCTCCTCAGGTATAATGGAAGATGCTGAACGAGTGGACTGAAAGTGCCGTGCAGATATGATTAGATTTTGAAAGCGGGGGTATAAAAAAGTTAGAAATGGCTTATGGGGGAGAAAGCTCGAGGCAAAAAGATGTCTTGACTTGATGGGGAACTTCATAGTCTATTTCGTGTACCCGTTGGAACTTTGTTTAGAGTAGTTTACTTCCTGATTGTGTGAAATGAAGAAGCTTGTGACATGCAGTCTCGGGGGACTGTATTTCTACAAAACACCTCACCTACGATGGCAGTGTTAGGTCTGAATCAATCATGTGAAATCCAAGAATCCAAGAGATGAGGAATCAGTGCTTTGAGTGATCTGTGCGCGCGGGATCACGTGACAGGTAATATCAGTGAAGGTCAGCCAGCTGACCACTCGACTGTTGATACATTGTGTGTTGATCGAAGGATTTGATAGTGTTAAGAGAGGTCTGATTTATTGAACAGACTCAAGACAGACAGACATACTTAGAAATGTAGTCAGACACCGGTGTCGACCAAACTCGGAAGATATGATGGCATGATAGAAATAGAATACAGGTCTAAATTTTCTATTGGGCTTGCTGGCCAGGAATCATATATCAATCATTGGTCTCTTTCGTCCATAATTTATGCCGCAACAAACTTTGATTTCAGGCAGCCGAGAATCATATGAGCATATGACTTGAGATCCCGATGGGTGCCTGTCTTCCATTCCTTCCCGACTTACATTACATGTGAGCTTGCGAAGACAACCCCTTCAAGTACCCCAGAACTCTGTTTACCAACTCTGGTACAGCTTCAGGACTCTTAGTCAGGTTATGTGAAGCGCCAGGGATAACAGCTGAGTTCTCCTCGTCGACTTTTCCATCTCCTTTCTTCACAAAACAAATCCATCGTTTTACCAGTGCCTCTTTGTCGACATACTTCGGAACATATTCATCGTTCCCAGAAAACAAGATTAACAACGGACTTTTAGCGGGCAAGCTTCCAAAAGTCTTCTTTAATTGCTCGTCTGTGAGATCAGAGCTAAAGTAGTCATCATCTCCATCATGATTTGGACTTGCTAGCGAGAGCCATCTCCTCGCACACACAGGTGACCCAAAGAATCCTTCTGTGGCTTTAGAGGGTAAGATTTCCTCGCCATCTCCAGCTTCAACCATCTTCTGTGCCAAAGCTATGCCATTCTTCAAGACATCTGCATCGAGTTCTTGTCCTAAAGCTTCACGATCGCTGGCTGGGGCTTGGATGATTCCTCCATCAATAGGAGCATTTTCTTCATGTCCGGGCCCTGTTAGGTATTCCATGACATCTTGACAACCGGTAGAGTGACCCATCAAGATGATCTTGCCTGATTTGATTGTTCTAAAATAGGAAACACATTTAGATAATTCTTGGGCATCTTTTTTGAGGGAGGAGACACCCCATCCGATGTATGCAGAACTTAGAAGAACCTGAGCAAGACACCAATCTCCTGGTAATACATCTGCGATTGATGATGGGTATGGCACAGTGAGTAAACCATCGGATAGACCACCAATAAAGATGATGATGTTTGGTGGTGCTGTGTTCGAAGCTTTGGGTGTGTGTTCGAAAGCAGTCAGTTTAGGTGTCTATGTACCATTAGTAAAAGCATTATTGTGTGGAAGTCTAGTTTTGAAATAAGCTAGCAATAAACCTTAGAAGGAAACTAGCGATTTGTTTATGGATTAGAATGAATCGTTTGGGCACATACAAATAAATGCGTGACACCTTGCCTCTGCGCTGGGACTGTGAGAGCCATTCTGATATATGTATACTCTCAAATTACCTTGCTTTTTAGGTATCAAGAAGAATCAAAAACAGTAAAAACAATGGTTATAAGATTGTAAAGAGTTACTATGCCGTGTTCAAGAAAATATACCTGTTAGCTGCCCACCGGCCAGCTCAAGCTGGATAGTTGATACCCATTGCACACTGTTGCGCTGCTGCCAACCCTAATATCACGTGTAGCTTATACAGGGGTATGACCTTACTTGGACGAAATTTATTTCTAGCTTCAAAACCTCTTTCCCCCATTCAATCAACAACAACAAGCTTCTTTACCTCAATTAACCACCCCCCCATTCTAAAACAACTACAATATTCAAAATGTCACCTCATATTCCAACACCATCACCTCTCTTCCGCCTCCTCACTCCTCTCCTCCAATCCTTCAGATCTACCTTCCCCTCAGCAACCCCAACAACACCCCTCAGAACCTTCACCAGCACCCCATCTATGCACAAAAAGAACCCTAATAGCAAAACCGATCCACGGGTAACGCTCATCCGCTACCATCTTCAACATCCCAAGACACCTCGCCCACTGCGATTCTCACGCATGCGTGCGCTGAGGCATTGGACTATTCATCGTGCATGGATGATATTAAGGCGAAAGCAGAGGATCGAGGAGGAGGGTGAATTATACAGGTTTGTTCCCCCACTTCCACCTCGCTTTGATTCTTTTTGAGAATCCACCGCATTTCAATTCCTCTTTTTCAAATTCGAAAATTTATTCAATATGATGAAATATTCCGGATGTTAAACACATTATACTCCGAGAGCGCAAAACCCATGTGGAGATTTCCGTTGCCTTCCTTCTGATTGTCTATTCCCCTTTCAAGCCTTTAAAGGCCTGTCTTCAACCAACATAACTTTTCCCTCTCCTCTCCAAGAAACTAACATCCACTCCCTCAGACTTCACCAATCAATGCACAACGCAATGGAAGACCTTCGTCTTCTCGACGGTTCCGGCCAGAAAGAAGCAGGTAGATTATATCGCGTCGCTCTCGAGAAGAAAGGAATTTTCGGAAAAGACGGAGTCCCGATTGAGTACGCGAGAGCACAAACCGACACACCAGCGAAAGAACCATGGAATCATGGATGGACTACAGACAAAATTATAATATGATGATTGCAAAGGTAAGACTACGAGCACCCTTATTTTATTTGTTCATTTTTGTTTTGGTGGAGAGTAATATGATGATATACCTTATTCACAGACCTGTTCTGTAATCTTCTATGTGGACAAAAAAAGTACCAACTGCTGTCTGATTTCTCTTTCTTCTATCGTTGTTTTTCGGAAATGAGAGTGAAGCAATTGACTAATCATTCAGTAGGGCGATGTACCGCGGTACATGAGAGAATTTTGAAAGATGAATATTATGAAGTAAACATATATTACTTGTATATCTATGATGGTCAACCTTAGTGACATGGGATGAAACATGATTCGGAATAATGACCCCGAACATTCCCCAGACACTCCGTCCCAAGGGACTGGAGCTGTGGAAGTAGATTAGACGATGCAGAATTAGGCAGAATATGGCAGAATAAACGCTGCGAAAGACGGAACAAGATGCCGTCTATAAATTCTGAAAGAAGTTACGGAAAGAAGGTCAATTCAAATAGTAATCGGGCCATACCCCACGGGTCCGCATCAGACGGTACTCGATATGTAATTCTATGTACAATGTCGATGTCTTTTCATCTCCATCTCTCCATTTCTCAAATATGCATCGAGTCCCCATTCAATCAATATCCATGTAAAATCCGTCCATAACCATAACCCCTTAACTGTGACCATTAAAACCCAACGCTAATCTGCAATACAAGCAAGTGCACCAACGCATCACCGTCCACATCACTGTAGGATTATCTCTTCTGCTTTTCCTTCCAATCCGAATTTCAAGTTAACCTCCCTCTTTCCCCTTTCCAAGCCTCTCCCCATGGCTTCCAGGGATATGTAAAATGAAATCCCAATTAATAAAGGGTAAATAGTGAACTCAAACAGGTACAAAGCTAACGGAAACCAGGCTGGAAATCCTCAAGCTACTTTCGACGAAAGGCGGAACTGCAAGTCAGACCATATTTTTCCGATCAGTCGTTACTAAATAGCCCTATCCAGCCTTACCACCCCGAACATTTTATCATCAGCTTGGTTTGTCCTTCCTGACAAATATACAATCGCCCGTTAGTTTTTCAGTTCCGTTGAAATGTCCAGGTATCGTAGATACAATTGCCTGTGATATTGCTACGGAGTAGGTAACTTCGGACTCGTTCGTGCATTAGTGATGGTTGTGTAGATGATTCCGGTTTCGATGCGTTCCAGACACATCCTCTTTCGATTTTTTTCGTCTTGGTTCAACATACCCTCCCCACTCCAAACTCCATTCATCTTCTCTTATAGTATAACACAACATCCATTACTTTCTCCTTTTTCGAACGTCAAAAGTGCGGCTCTGGTGGCTGCTTCGAAGACATCATCCACTCCGTCGCCGGTCAACGATGAGCACTCCAAGTATTTCCTTGCGCCGATGGCCTTTGCAATATCATCTGCTTCCTTCGTTCCCACAAATTCAAGAGACTTCTTTCGCATTTCCTCTCTGGCCACAGGATCCTCTCGTAAGTCTTTCTTCAACCCAACAAGTATTATCGGGACCCCTGGACACCGCTCGTTTGCTTCTTCGACCCACTAGCCAAGACATTAGTACTTCGTATCAATTATCTCTAGAAGTTGCAATCCTACTTTATGTTTGACGTTATCTAAAGAATCTGGAGTGTCGATTGAAAATCCTATTAAAATGACGTGGGCTTTTGAATATGCCAGAGGGCGCAATCTCTCGTAGTCTTCTTGTCCAGCTGTATCCCATAATGCCAATTGTACAGATTTTCCATCAACTCTGCAGTCCGTCACATAATTTTCGAAAACTGTTGGTACCTAAAATTGGATAAGATGTCAGCACGATTGACAGAGGCAAATGCGCAAGATTGCTACCAAAACAACGTACATAATGCTAGAAATAACGTTAGTAATCATTCAACAAATCATCAATCTCTGAGGATGACTTACTGTCGGAAAATAACCAAGTGTGAATACACTAAGTAATGACGTTTTCCCGCAAGCACCATCTCCAATTATGACCAATTTCCTGCACGAATGTTAATATCCAGTCTTTCAATGGCCTGCTACTTCGTCACAACAAACGCTATCGAGACGACGCTAAAAACCACTAAGAGAGGTTCTTTGCTTTGGTGATCCCAAGAGATAACGAGGCTGAGTAGGAAAACGAGTCGCCCAATGCTCACTGCAACTGAAAGCGCAATTTTTCGCGAAATTAAGGGAAAATCCAACGTACCTTCGCATAACATTCTGTGCCGGCTGTTGAGCCATTGTCGCTGGATCGGATGGGATTGTAGGTATCGGATTGTTGTTGTCTTTCGAGAGAAAAGGATGTCGCGCAAATTAATTGAAGAGAAGACCATGCAATTATGAGGGGAAGAAACAATCGCGAAAGGGGGTCGAAGGCAATTTCGTGAGGATTTTCGTGTGGATTCGAAGAAATATTATCGATACGAGGGATTGTCAGGAAATCGAAATTCTCAGAGCATTCAATTTGGAGAAGGCCGGATATAAGTGGTTTTGCCGTGGGATGAGTGGACCAATTGTTTGAAATGAGCTAAAGACAATGGGAATCGACCCAGGTCGTGAATGAAGCCTTAACAATTGTATCGTAAAGAATTGAAGAAACACAATGAGTCTGAGAAGAAGGGAGGTGAACCGATACAGAAGAAGAATTGAAGTTATACGAGGTCTTGCGTTGGTATCTCCTTTTTAATTGTTGCAGGTAAAGTTTAAAGAGGAACTGGGCTCTGGGGTGGAGATTTCCGAAGCGTGAGAAGGCTGAGTCGTCGAACCGTGCACCTTTTTTTTAGAGCTCTGAATTAGGTTTAGGAGAATCTGTAAAGATCTACACGAGGATCGAGGTCGCGGTTTATCAATATGTATTATGTATGTATGCGTGTGGGATGGGAAGTTTGAGATCATGAAAGTGTCGTCGAGGAAGGATGAAGAGGAGAAGAAAAAGCGTCCAATCTTTGGCATGTTATCAAGCGAAATCCAGATAAACGGCTGAACGGGTGATGGAGCTGAAGAGTAGTTGGGCGAGAGGCGGGTTGAAGAGAGAAAAAAGCAATTCACAAACCTTCTAAGAATCCATGCATGTGAATGATACCCCCAGGTATGATGATGATTAACCTTAATGCAGATGAATTAGTGGATTCCGAAGTACTCTCTCTCTCTCTCTCTTTCTCTATCTCTATCTCTGTATGGTATGATTTAGATGGAGATTGAAGAGGCACAGCAAGGAGTGAGATAAGGAGAGATGAGAGATGAGAGACGAGATAAGTATGAAAAGAATTATGCTATCTAAATACCTGATCTTGGTGACAACTAAAGCAGAAGATGCAGATGAAGATAAAGACGCAGGTCAAATTGAAGGGAAATGTAGAAGGAACTTTGAGTACTTGCAAGTACCTTTGTGATACTTACTTTTCATGAACTGTTTTATATACCTGGTATACATATGCAATGTAGACAATGAATGATCGAGGTTCCAATCCGTTCTAGAACTTTGGAGTACATTAAGCACTTGGAGTACTTATTAAGTAGGCCATTGTAATGCTATGTAATCAATCAATCAATCAATCCACTTAACGGATATGGAGATGTACGTAGGTATTACTGGAAGAGAACTAGAAAGCTTTTAGCTAACTTGTACTGTGCGTCCCTCTCTTCGAGCGCAGCGAGCTAATGGGGGTTTGGGGGCTTGCTCCCATGAGAATTAACTCGGATATATCTCCATACAATACAATAGATCTTTGAGTACTATAAGCTATGTGTAAGAATTTGGGAGGCATATAGATTCACAATTAGCCTAATGGTTATATCATCTACTCCATCGAGTAAAGCGAGGCCCCCTTTTTATAGCAAGATTGTGTAGATACCAGATAGGTACCTACTACCCAGACAGTCAGTCAATCAGTTCAGTCAATCAGTTCAACAATAATTCCAATAATGCTCATTTTATCCGGCACGAAAGCGATAGAACCTTCATAAGAATGGCCGGTCCGCTGGCTCGTTCTTTCGGAGGCTCCGGGGGCCACCGTGGAGACAGCACAGCTTAATAATTATCTGATCATTCCAAAAACCGACTAGAAGTAATTGGGAAAAGCAAACGTCCCGCCCTGTCCGGAGTATATTTCGATAGGGATCAGATTAGAATTCGACTGAAAACCAGCCTGGCTATACCTACTCGTAAAAGAGAGCCAATTATTGCTCCGACTACAATGGGAATAAAAGTGGTTTCAAGCAACGCAATGTGTCTTAATGACCCTCTTTCCAATATATTGTTGAATGGGTGCTTGGTTGGAGTGATGAGAACAAGGATCGGGATGACATTTACCTTACAGAGTACCCAGTGACGTTATCCCCTAGACTGTCAACTCATGGCGCCACTACTTAATTGATCAATCAAAACATCAGGATCTTTAGAATTCTTATCATTTTAATTCGTTTTTTATAATAATTACTCAACACTTATTACTTTAATGAAAATAAATAGTATACTTTTTTAACTTTTTATATAATCTCTTATATATATTTTTTCTTTTTAATAAATATTGAATTTTTAATTTGAAATATATTTTTATGTATAAATTATATAGATTTTATTAATTTTATTAATTTTTTTTCAAAGGTGAAATGTAATAATATTTATAAAATCATTTAATAATTATTGTATAATAAGGAAATTATAGAGATATATTTAATATATTTATTTTCATTTTTTTAATAAATCCTAATATTTAAATATAATATAAAGATCTTTATATATGATATTATTTAAAAAAAACTATTAATGTTTTTATATAATATACGAGCTACATTGGCGCTATGAGCTAGTAGTCTAGGGGATACTTTCAAGAGTATTCTATTGATTCTATTCCTAGGTATTCTTATTAGTCCAATCATCACTCATCAGAACAAATTGGCTAAACATTCTCACCCGTATTCAAACGCCAAAGATCACTGACAATATCGAGGGTTTGATTGCTATGGGCGAAGGCGAAGGCGACAAGTGATGAAATGAATACCTAGTAGCTAGCGGCGATATAGCAAGTTGAGTTCCATATCATTCTTCAAAATCCAGACTCCTCCATACTTCAATATTAGAGATTGTCGTTAGGATGGACGCAGGTATGGTTCCTCTCATGTGAACGAAACAAACTTCACACCAAAAGCTCATCATCATTTTCAATATTTGATATCAAATCAAACGGTTAAGATTTTGAGCTTCAATTTGAACATTGTCAGTCACCCAGAAGCTTTGAATTTACGAAGTTCTTTCAAAAAGCTTTCCACCATTAGAACGAACATCAGCATTATTGTATGATTGTTCGCCAGACCCTTTCTCTTGCGCCCGCCAAGTTAGCCAAAGAAAAGAGATAAGGGTCTGTTGCGAGACTATAGAATGAGTCTTTTCCCACTGAGAACGAAGTCAACAGAACAAAAAGAGCTGAAATTTCGATCGCATAACCGCACGATAGCTCAAGTTAAATAGGCACCATCTCTTGATCGCAGTAAATTAATCCAAGATAATACGCCATACAGCACTACGAGACCGAAGCAAGTGAGCTGAAAAATACGATTTCAGAGCTCGAGAGTAGCGTTGATGAATTGCAGAGCAGACTGAGAACAGTGGGAGTTTCTTTGGAGAACCAAAGTGTCCTGGCCACCACGACGCAAGCCAAGGCAGATCTGGAGTCTCAATTGGAAGCACAACTCTCTTCCTGTTCTGCGTAAGCCAAAGTCACTCAATCATCAACATTAGGAGCATACGCAACCATCGTAGCAGGCGCATTGTTGATACACTTTGACCTGTAAACAAGTATCGCGCTCTACTAGAAAGCCAATTCTTATTCTCGCACTTTTCAGTCCTGTTACAGCGAATGTAATTACACCGAACACCTGCAATCCACCTCGGAAAATGTATTCACGCAAGGGAAGGGCTCAAAGCCTTCTACACTTCTTATTCCACCAGTCATTTCCTCTCCATACCCTCTCAATCGATTCACTTTGCAGCTTAATCTTTCTTACGCCCTACGACCAGCATGATCTTTAGAGCTGAGTGGAGGAGAACCAACGTGTACTTCCATGAATCAACCCCAAGCAGACACAGAAAATGGCAACGATGATGATCAGTCAGAAGAAGCTCAACCCACATTAAAGAATATAATCCAATGCTTCTAAGGATATTCTTGTCATCCATAGAAATCAAGTTCGAAATTCAACCTACTAGAAACAGACCCTGAGTGATTATATCAAAAGCAATGGTCTGATTGCTTTCTGATTGAACTTTGTTTGAAGTAACATCTTCTTAGAAAATTTATATTCGAATATATTCATTTCAGAAGTGCCTTCATCTTGGCAGCAGCGGTACATTTCTTTCCGCCTTTGCTTCCTCCAATACAGGCAGGACACGATCGGCCATGCTGAATCAAAAGAAAGTGAAGACTGAATTTATATCTAGCGGGAATCATCAGTTCAAGATGAGATTGCGTCTTCTCACGGGTCGCAGTCGAAGGACGCCAGCCCCATAGTCCGGCGATGCGATAGACGTGGGTGTCGACGGTGAAAGGATTGCGTTTGAGACACCAACCCATGACGACCGAAGCGGATTTAGGACCAATATACGAGAAAGCCAGCAATTCCTTCATCGCTTCCTCATCAGTCAGTTCGAACATATGATCAAGATCCCATTTGCCGTGACGCTCCTTTGCCTGTTTCAGAATCGTCATAATGATCATCGATTTTCTGACATGCAGTCCACCGCATCGAATGGTCTCCTGTAATTTATCCTTACCGCCTTCCATGATCTTCTCGTAAGCGAATATAGAGCCATACACTTTTTTCATTGAATTCATTGCTCTTTTGGCGTTACTCCAACTCGTTGCTTGACTTAATATTGCAACGATCATTGCATCCAATACGTGTGGAATTGTCTCTGGTGTATTTTCATCTTCGAATTCTTTCGCTACTTCTTCTCCGTGCATTTCCTGTAGTACTTCATTTGCCACTTCACACTCTCTTGGCGTTGGATGTTTGAACCCGGGGAAGGGAGATTCCTCTACAAAGGAAGAGTATGCTTTGAATTTCTGGTCTCCTGATTTGATTACATGCTTTGCTGATTCTTCGTCTCTTTCTTCGATGGTTTTGACTTCCTGTTTCTGTTTCTCTTCGACTGCTGTTTCCTCTGTCTTTACTCTCCTTGCCCTCTTCACCTCCTTGCCTGTAGTCGACAGTGGTCTCTTAGCTTTAGGCATTTTGATCCTAAATGGCTTTCTTGTTAATGTTAATCTGAGGAGTGATGCGATCGTATGCCACCATGGGATCGTGGTGAATTGAAAGTAGTATGTATAGACTTGGAAGAGCTCGAGGAGGTCCGTCAAATCCATAATATAACCTGCCTGAGGTATGATGACTCAGCAACCTCACTTGAGATTCAATAACCTGCAAAGGTACCCGTACCACAATTTAAACTTCAAGCCCTTCCAAAACCCCCTTCTGGATTTCACGGTGCCCTCTCAATAATAACGACTTGTCCAAAATCTCCATAGCCAATAACTTCTCATACTCCCCAAATTAATTCCACGCGCACTCTCTGAATAAACCAGCCCTCATCCCCCCCACACAAATCATAATTGTTCATCCCGAAGCAAACAATCACCTGTGGTGGGGCAATCGCGAGAACTAATCCTACAACTTTGGAGTAAGTCTGCAAGTGATATTTCAAAATAATTCAACAAATACGGCCCGTCGTTGAATTTCGTTGGTTGAGCCATATCTAAATAATCACAAGCCACGGTCGTCGCTACCCGGACCCCTCTCACCTCTATACCCCATCGGAATGCCCGCAAACCAACGAAAGAATACAAGCCAGTCATCATACTTGCAGACTCCTAGAAACATTGCGACCCCGTTGACAAAGGATGCTGCAAAGATCGTGACTACACCGAAGAAATCTAGTACGAGCGATTCATCTGAGACATCTCCTACCATGGCACAAACTACAACGAAATCAAATGGTCAATTGCCCACTCCTCCCACAAACAATGGCGCACCTACAGTAAATCGCAAGAAGCAGAAAAGAAGGGCGAAACAGGCTGCTAGAGCTGCCGCGGAACAAGCACAAGGCTCTCAAATGAGTGGTGGACCAACTTCTGGGGACGTGAAGAGACAGATGCAGGAACTGGAAGCACGCTTTCGCGAAACAGGGCTAGATGAACAATATGACGATGACGAACAATTCGATCCTGCGGACGATAATGCATATTATAGTGACGAAGAGGGCGATGCGTACTCCGGTTCATATGGTCACGATGGCTCCTCGACAAACGGCTATGCGATCCCTGCAACGAACTCTTCAAGTAAGAAACAGAAGAAGAAAAAGAAGTCGAAATCTTCGCAGTCGGACCATTCAAATCACGCAAACCACGGTCCGAACGGTTCATCGCATAATCACGTATCGCTACCTCTTCCTTTACAGCCTCCTCCGAGCATGCAAAGAGGGCCAGGTATTTCGAAGGAGAAAATCTGGAATACATCGTCACAAGAAGAACGCGAGCGGATAAAGGAATTCTGGTTATCTCTTGGAGAAGATGAGCGCAAATCGTTAGTCAAGGTGGAAAAGGATGCCGTACTCAAGAAAATGAAGGAGCAACAAAAACATTCCTGTAGTTGCACGGTATGCGGTCGCAAACGCACTGCTATCGAAGAAGAATTGGAGGTACTTTATGATGCATACTATGAAGAGCTCGAGCAATATGCAAACCATCAAGGAGGTGATGGTCCTCCACCAATGATGCCACCCCCACGTCGATTTGGCGCTATGAGCGGCCTACAGCCTCCCAATCGTCTACCTCCTATTTTTAATGGGCAGCAACCTTCAAGGGGCAGGATAGTAGAGCAACTTGGCGATGATGAGGATGAAGAAGGAGATGAGGAATACAGTGAAGACGATGGAGACGAAGATGATTTCAGTGAAGAGGAACCGGAAGAAATTCCAAGAAGTCACGCCACGGATTTTTTTAATTTTGGTAATAGTCTTACAGTGCAAGGAGGAATTCTTACCGTAGCAGATGATCTACTCAAAAATGATGGGAAGAAGTTCATTGAAATGATGGAGCAACTAGCTGAGCGTCGCATGGCTCGAGAGGAAGATACGAAAGAACAGTATGCTAATGCGAATTACGGACATCCTTCAAATGGTTCCATGCATCCCCATTCTCACGGACATGTCCATAATCACCCACCGCCGCCAGAAGAAGATGAGTATGACGACGAAGAGGATGATGAAGACGAGTATGACAGCCAGGAAGAGGATTACGATGAAGAGGAAATGGTACGTGGAGGGTATTGTTATTCACCATCCTGGACGTACTAACATGGAACAGGATAGCATGACTGAAGAACAGCGAATGGAAGAAGGAAGACGAATGTTCCAGATATTCGCTGCTCGGATGTTTGAGCAGAGAGTTCTGACAGCTTACAAAGAAAAAGTTGCGAAAGAGCGGCAGCAGAAGCTTCTCGAGGAACTTGAGGAGGAAAGTCGAGCGGACTCACAAAAGAAAGCCAAAAGGGCTAAAGATGCACAGAAGAAAAAGGAGAAGTTACTTGAGAAGAAGCGCGCCATGGCCGAAGAAAAGGCTCGAAAAGACGCTGAAAGAGCGGCTGAAGAAGCTTCCCTTAGAGAAATCGAGGAAAAGAAAGCAGAGGCCCAAAGACTAAAACGAGAGGAGAATCGAAAGAAGAAAGAGGCACAAAAAAAGGCCGATGAAGAAGAGCGCGTGCGCAAAGAAGCCGAAAAGCAACGCCGGCTTCAAGAACAACGAGAACGACAGGCTGAACAAGAACGAAAACAGCGTGAGGCCAAAGAGCGAGAAAGAAAGGAGAAAGAGGAGCTAAGGCGCCAAGCACTAGAAGCAAAGGAAATTAAGGAAAAGGAGGCTAAGGAACGAAAGGAGAAGCACGAGCGAGAAAAGCGAGAAAAGGAGGCGAAAGTCAAGGCTGACAAAGAAGCTAGAGAGCTACAGAAACGTGAAGAGCTTACTGCTCAGCAAGCTGCTGTTCAAGCTGCCCAATCTGCTGCGCATGCCTCGAGACGCACAAACCAAGTACCCACACCTAACTTGAGTCATGCCTTAGCTTCACCTCACATTCCAGTGGCTATTCCCGCCGTACCGAAAGCACCAACTCCTATCAAGCTTCGGACAAACTCTCAGCAAGATAATTACTCAATACCCAGAACTCCTTCTAGTAAATACCAGAGTATATCACCCAATTCTGTGACCCCTCTACCAAATAGTCCAGGCCCAATAGGTCCGCCTGGAAAAACGCCGATACAACATCCTCTCTTACAACACCCACAGGCCACTTCTCCAATACACTCTGCGCTGAAAGGACCTCCAGGTATCCCTCAGAGTCCATTCGCTGGTATGCAACCCATGCCAGGAGGATTCCAACCAGGAATGCCAATGGTACCTCCAGGTTTCGGCCGACCGCATCACGATCCAATGTTCGGACTCCAGCAGGGAATGGGTAATCACTTTCGTCCTTTGCCAATTCCTAATGGTGGCATCCCCCCATTTCAGCCTGGATTCAATATGCATCATATGCCACAAGGCAGAGGATTTCCTATGCATGGACCACCAGGGTTTCCACAACCTTCTCCGAATGGTATGGGTAGTATCGGCCAGCTTTTTGGAGCCCCAAAAGAAACACCCACTTCGCAGACTCATTCCCGAAATCAGTCCGGCTCATTTGATGGATTATCATCGGCAACACAAGCTCAGCCTATCGCGAGACCAACGCCAATCGGACGACCATCCAGTATTGTTCACGGCACTCGCCATAGTGATAAATTAAATAGCGGTGAATCTGATGAAACAAGCAAGCATCTTGGTAGTAGCGCTTTACTAGATGATAGTGATGAGCCCATCAGTAATGGAGTTGGCGCACGACGCTCGAGTGCAGCTCCTGGTAATCCCAGCAGACAGAACTTCTTACCACCTCCATTTGGTATGGACCGCTCGGATCCAGCAAGTATGATGAGCTCTTTTGGCACATGGGGTGCACCTCCAATCCCATTTGGATCTTCTTCCCTGCCTGGTTCTAACGGTTTTGGTGGGGGATGGAATACAAGTCTCAATATGAATGGTTCTTTCGCGATGCCACCTTACTTCCGCCCGTCTCAACCGCGTTCCGTAGCCGTGAGATTAATGATTTGTATGGCTTGTCAGAATCTTCAAAATTCTACACAAGATGGATGGTTAGATATTGATGCTATCAAGAATGAGGTCGCTCTTCTGAATCCAGCTAGGGAGGAACCGGTTTCTGAACGGGAATTACTGGATATTTGTGACACTGAAGGGAATCAAATGAATGGCGGTGGCACGTTTGAGATCCGTTCTTCTGACGGCAAGTCACAAATTCACTATGTCAGTGACTCGATACCTCATGACTTCCGTTCTGCCGGTGCGCCAGGCGAGATTGGGAGCCCTATCAGTGGAGGGGCATCTAGAAATCTAGGACCTCCTGGCCGAGCTCCAATTGGTGGATTTTAAAGGTTATAATTTATGCACCTAGCTTCTTTTCGCTATCCAATTCTCATAATTTGAGTGTCACAAATTCCGTATTTTGGAGCTTATTTGTGTGTCAGTGGTATGTTTCTTTTCATGGTGATGTAAGATTTGCATGGACGGGCATCGATCAAACAAAAGGCCAGATATGGCGCTGTTCATGATATCGCTTGCAGTTCTTCATTTTTTTTAATGCCGGTTGGGTTGGTCTGGTCTCCCTTGATTGAGGAGGAGGAATCAATCAATCAATACTCATTGGCGTTTTTACGCTGACTTATCTTCGCCTGCTTCGCAAAGCAGAGCTGAATACCGAATACCAATATTGTTCTATTGTTCTACCGTATGCCTTTTGTCCTGTTGTATTTTCTGTTTTCTTGACTTGCGTGAAGTTTGAAAAAATCACTCGATATATCCATGTTAGTGTCGAGTAGCCATTTGGAAATCGAGGGTCAATACTATGATATCTGTAGTTCTACTTTGTTGTTCACTACGTAAATGTATCTTGCTAATTTCAAGCACAGAGCTTAATGTTGGGATTTAGCAATATTCTTGCACCAAAAGTTTGACGAGAATTAGATACCTAGGTATGCATCAACTGTTCACTACCTAGGTGCATACACCCGCATACATTTATGTCAAGTAGGTACCACATTGAATTTGTAAGATGGAACGACGCAATTATGTCATGCAATGTACCAATCATTAAACAGTCGGCTCTTGTTAGCGGCCGACTCTTACCAGTACCTATCTGCTTTGATAATTCGCCACCATTCACTTCAACCCCTCGCCTATCCTTCTCGGTTCGAGATCACACTCCTATATATCCCCATTTCTACGCAATTGGAAAGTACTCGAAAGTCGAACAATACATGCAACTATACGATTTCACGAGTAGCACCGTGTTCAAAACTGTTTGGAATTCAATCATTGCCATCACAATCACTTTTCGCTGTTACTGTCACCTGCACCTTCAATACACTAAGCCCCAGGCAGTCTTTTCATCCTCTTTCACGTAATTTTTTTCTCGCTCCAAAATCAATAGTTATATATACGAAAGCACATAGATGGGCGCTTAACATTCATAAGGTCACGAAAGGAACGAAGGGTAAGGAAATAGAATGTTAGCGCTGGTATATATTTGACTTGGGATCCATGATATTGAGGCTCGAGCTTTAGGTTGTGATCATGGCTGCGGTTGAGATATGCAAAATTATGAGTGAGACTGGGACGTGCGGCTGCGGCGACACGAGAATCTTGGATGTGCGTGGACGGAATGAATGTGCGAAATTGGAGATGGAGATTGAGGTGGAAGGGGAAGGAAAGAGTTGCAGGCAGGCAAAGAAATGATTCACATTGATTCACATCACCTGCAGAAAACTTTTATGGGTAATGTGGGGGTGGATTGAGGGTGGAGTCTGGACAATGCGTGCCGTATGGTGGGTCTGTCTTTGGGTTGCGCGCTTCGGATGGGAATGGACTATTGGTGATCAGTGAAATGGCTAGGATGGATTACATACGGGACGGGAAGTTGATGATTGAGATGGTTGAAGAGTTGATGGCATCCTCATGGTTCCGAATATGCATACTGTTCATGGAGGAGTTTGTCAATAGTTACAGCATTGAATCAGGAACCTTTCGGTACTCGATTACTTATCTCCGATCAAATTAGTACCAGGACATTTCTTGTGATCGGAATTTCAACTAGGAATATAAGGATTGATCATTGGGCTTCCCGATATCAGTGCTGTTGTTCCTCGAAATATAGAGACAAACGCCGAAGGGTCATCAGGATTTCTGAGGCTGTCCTTGCTGTCCTTGCTGTCCTTGACCATTGACCGGTATTTTACATCTAAAAAGAAGTCCGGTGAGATAGCATTTCCTCTGACTATTCAAATTCTTTGTTGCTTAATACTTACATGACAAAGTAATACCTTTCCATCCCCAAAGTCCAATCTTAACACCAATATAATTGTGGAGAGGTTCTGATTAAGTTAGCCTCTGAGACACCAGGAATCGAATTCCACGTGCTGAATAACCTTATATCCGCTTCACATCCTACGCAACATGTGGCAATTTCGTAAAAAGCTTCGAGAAAATCGTGATTATTTTCACGGTCGAATCCTGATTTATGAATGATCACCCAAAACGGTTGCCTATCAACATTTTCGAACAGGGTTGTAGATCCCGAACCGAGGCCATGAGATTCGACGGATAAGAAAGAAGCGGGCAACTGCTGTTGACTCCGTAAAAGTTGCGCGAGTGATATTCCTTACCAACATAGCGGTTGCTAGGAAATTAAAGAGAGAGGATAGCATTTCTTACAGTGGATGCGATTTTGGGTCTTGTGTTATCTTTAATGGTTCGATGGGAGTGGGAATACTGAAGAAGTAGATTCAATTGAATTGCTATAATTGGAACGGAAAATAACGGTTGGTGGACGATCTAATCGTCAAAACTTCAGAATATACGGCCGTATATTTGCACGTTTATCTATTCGCCCCTTGATTGGAGATCCAGATAACGAATTTTGCCATGACAGACTTTTGAAAAAAGGAGATATTGTATCGACACCGAGCACATGAATACGATAGGTATTTACAATTGACCGTTCATCCCACCAAGCAAGCATAGCTTCTGAACTATTGTATCGCTCGTTCCTGATTTCCTGACTTCCCGTCTTCCATCTCGGAGGTACAGACTTGAAAGGATTCGAGGTCCTGTCGGACAGGTCACTGAACCAGGTCGACTAAACTATATACAGGTATTTGACCAGGACTCCATGACGGTCAGCCATGCGTGTAACCATACATCCACGTGCGATGCTGGGATTGTAAATTATTCAAACGGAGTCAATAGATGAATCATAGCAAATCGTAAAGCAGAGCTACAGAATGATCACTGATTAGTAGCAGGGAAAGGATCTCATCTCATTTTGGGAATCGACAGATGGTTAGATTAGTGAAGAACTCATTGCTTACTTTTTCCAAACTCGAAGTTTCCGTCCCGTATGCAAAGAAGCAATCATTGATTCGATTTTGCCAAGGGGGTTTGGCAAATCATACATGGTCAAAGATTTGAGTTTCTAGCACTGACTTTTGAACATTGACCTGGGCCCCCTATTTAATGCCATTGCGCCATTCATTTTCAGCTCCCAGATCATATCTTCAAGACCAACTTTCTTCAACAGCATTGCCACACAGCAGCATTATCGACCAGGCATTTGCACGAAATCATCAACCAATCTAAACGCTGTTGGCCCTCATTGCCCATGCAAACGCAACCACAACCGTATTCCTGCAAGGCTGCGACCCTGCGGCGCATATGTGACATCGTTTACAATACAGACCCGTAGGCACTAGCCACTTGCCCTGGCAACACAGCTTCCAGCTTCCAGCTTACGCTATGCGCTTGTTCAGAGCTTCCTTGTTCAGCATGAGATAGTGGAGAGTAGCAGTAGGGAAAATGGGGAAGTTGGGTGTGTGCAGCCTCCGTAGTGGTGTAGCATGGGAGCTACGAGGATGACATGGGGGGACGCGCCAGGGTTAATCGAGCCAATGGCATGTCCGCAAGATTATGGAGATGCAGATACCTGTTGTGCCATTTGAAATTTGGAGGATCAGACCAGTTCGATTTGCTCGGGCGAAGATAGAGTATTTTTGAGGGTCTGCTTGTTTTCTTTCGGTCCTTCCGGTTGGCAATTGCGGTCTACATACGTGTTGGAGAAGATTCATATCTATCTCGATATTTCCTGATGCTACTCTTTTTTTGTGCTCTCTTTTTACGCTTTTGCAAAGTATCTCACCGCATCCTTTTCTCTATATTTTTTTGTTTGTTTGTTGGTTAATTCAGAAATGCTTCGAATAATATTCTCAACAGTGGGCAGGTGAAATTGAGCAGACAGCGAAATCTAGTGATCGAATCGACTGATGAACGATAAGAAGCATCCATCCGTTCAATTTTGATTATTTCCTCGGCTCCTTTCAGTCAAAGGGTATTCAGCAAACAGTTGTACATAATAAGGGATCCCTCAGAAGACTTCGGAAATATATAAATAATAGACACGATGGATGCACAAGCCGCCGCGGCACAATTTCCACCCGGATATCTGGAAAATTATAACGGACACAAACTCGTCGTTACTTGTATCGCTTGTATTATATTAAATATATTCTTCGTCTTTGCGAGATTTGTTTCCAGGTGGCTTCACAACACACCGCGGGGTTGGGATGATTTTCTTATGATGCCAGCCTTAATATTTTCCGTATTGCTTGCTGCTCAGGGTCTCGGTACGTGTGTAATTTTATGTCTCAAACATCTTCACATTCTACCGGATTTATGTCTAACAATCGCATTTTATAGTCGGAATAAATTACTGCGGAGTAGGCTACCATATTGAAGCTATTGAGCTGAGCGCTCCCTCAAAACTCCTCGCCCTCTACAAACTCTTGATGTTCTTCCCCGCCACCTACGCCATCGCTGTCACCTTTCCCAAACTCTCCATCCTCGCCATGTATCTCCGTATCTTCACGGTTCCATTCTACCGCATGATAACCTACTTTGTGATCTACATCCTCGTCATATCATCCACTATTTTATTCATGATGATGCTCTTCCAATGCACACCCGTTGATTATTTCTGGGACAAAACAATCGTGGGAGGAAAATGTCATTTTGATATCGAAAAGCTATTTTTATATGCTAGTTTACCGAATATCACTACCGATATCGTTATGTTACTACTACCATTACCCTTTGTTTTCAGACTCAACATGACGAGGAAGGTGAAGATCGGGTTGGGCGTTACCCTCCTCACCGGATCAAGGTACATAAATCTCTTTCCCCTCCTCGAAAACCCAACTAACATTCCCCAAGTGGTCTCGCCACATCTACCCTCCGTTTCGTCTCTTTCGCGAACCAATCCTTATTCCCAGATACTCCCCGCGCAGCCGTCGATCTTGCCTTATACACTGTCCTTGAAACGAGCATGTATATCATTGCGGCTTGTCTCCCGGCCTGTCGACCCCTCTTCAACATAATACTCCACCCCTCGCGAAACATGCCGCAAGATCAAAAAGACGGTCTTAATTCCCCCGAAGACCACGCCCGAACCTTACACGACGATATCGAGCTCCAGCAAACCAGCGAGACCAGCAGCGGTAGCGAAAACGGAAACGGAAGTACTGGAGGGCGCTACCACGGCATCGGCGACGGATTCCGAGGAATGCAGGGTCGATTCAAGCGACTAGGCTCCGACGCCGGTTTATTTCTCGGACGGCGAGACATTTCTCCTCCTCCCTCATCTCAATCGGACCCACACTCCCAATCTTCCTCGGCCCCCTCTCACTCCCCTCAACCCCAAGAACGCGATCCGGACCGTCAATTTTCAGAGCAAGCCGAGGGACGTTTCGGTCTCGGTCTCTCAAAATTCCGCTCTTCGTCTCGCGAGCGAATTTTCAAAGCGCCCGTTTTTAAACAACCATTTCGGGCGCCCGAGCGTGTGCACATAGCTAATATGCATGTGGGACACATGCAGATGAGTCCCGAGGAAAGTAAAGAGAGTCAAGGGGGGCAAGCGAGATATGGGATTCGGGTCAAACAGGAGTTTGATGTATATTATGATCGGCCGCCTTTATGATAATGTGGGTCTAGGAGCTATCAGAGAAAGGAAGGCATTTTAAATGGTAGGAATTTTCTGGGTTGTGTATAAGTGTATTAAGTATATTGGGCGTTTTTGGGATATTATGGGCATTGGGAGGTGTTTGGATAATCATGCATTTCCGTGGGGTGGATGGTGGTCTGCTTTTGTGGATATAAGGGTGTTGCGTGCATACTTTGATACCATGGAGACGGTGGTTACTTGATATATAAATTAAATAAAGTTAATGAAATTTATTAATGTTTACATTTGATGGCTTGTTGCTTAAAGCTCGTAAGAGCTCATATACGTGTGTAATACCAATGCTCAGATGACGGCACAATTTGAATCCTATTCGACGCTAACGCCTCCCTTTTAGCTTCTCTACACCAAACACCTTTGCGCAAAGTTGATAATTACCATATAATCCTTGAGCTGAGACCTTGAATTCATTCTTTCTATGTGGTTGAAATGCAGTCATCGTATGAGAAGCTACTAATTTTCTGTAACTGTCCCTAATGAAGCTGCACGAATGCTAGACTTTAAAAAGCCCAACCAATGCACGAGCATTAAAATTGCCGCCAGCCATCCCCCTGGGTAACGCACTGTAGCTGGTTGATATACACTGCCCCGAAGGATGAAAACGGTGAGCTCTGTCCAATTCAGAGTGCCTGTAGAAACTTTTTGGTTCTGAGCTGCACACTCTCGAGCCATTAAGTAAAGCCAAGCATTGAAAGGGACCATATCCTCTACGGCACTCCCAACATCGCCGCTCTTCTTCACTGCGAAAGTAATAGGGTGACTTGATAATATGTTCCGTGTGGCAAGGAGAAGACAAATTGTAGTCACATCTCTTTTAGAAGCGGTCAGATCCAGATGTTGAATGTTCCTTGACAATACAATCGTACAAGCTAAATGCAACACAAGACTTGATATCGTCCAGGCCATATTTATCCCCAAGATTTGGGGTTCTGGTTCTGAATTTGTGCTTGAAATGTTGGGGTCAGGTGGAATAATGATGACCGAATCTTCTGATGCAGCTCTATCATGATCATTCTGGTTCAAATTAGCCAAAATTATAATTGGTACGGACATTGAGACTGGGGCTTACAGGGTCTGACTTGTCTTTAAGAGAATGCAGAGAAGCAGTTGAAATTGGCTTAACTCCAGATGGATTTTTGTCCAAATCCTTTTCAAACGACCACTGTACCCCCAGAATAGGGCCGCGTTCATCGGTGCTCTTACCAAAACCCAAGAAAGCACACATTACTATGTGACTAACAATAAAACCGTACATTACTGGAGTTGGTATCACAACGAACGCAGTCAAAGTAGGAACACCCACGACCACAAAAGCTGCATAAGATACAACTACAAATAATTTTGCACTTTCAAGGTGGAACGGCTTGACATCTTCGTTCCTGTGGTAGTCAAAAGCGATCAAAAAGGCAGCGAAAACATTGATAATGGAAGACGAAACGATGTTTTCGAATGCCAAAGATTTGTTATCGTGGTGTTTGTAGAGAAACACAATCATCCCAATGATCTAACCATTCTTCAGCATATTAAAGCGCACAGCAAATACAGACAATAAGAGTTGTGAAGACATACCTGTTCCAATATGGAAGCGGCAGCTAGCAGCCCAATTGTAAGTCTGGGAACGCCCCAACTCGGAGCAGAAACAACTGCATGGTTGATGAAGATTCTCCAGGAATTCCAAGAGTAGACTTGGAGTCCGATCATAGCACACCCTTGGAGTATAATGTCTGGCCAGTCCATATTTGCAAGTAATTGTGAGTCTCGGGTTAAGAAGTGAAGCTCTAGAATATTATTTGTGCATGGAAATATGAAGTTTGAGAGAGGAAAATCCTGTTCGATCTGCAACCACGAGCAAGGTATCATTAATATTAAATACCAAAAAGGAAGGCGAGAAGGCGAGAAATCGGGGAAGTTGGGTAAGGTTAAGGTAGGTTGCTGGCACCAAACTTCCAAGGGGAAGGTACGATATGCTTACTCAAAAAGACCGACGTTACCAATTAAGAATGATGAAAAGCTTGCCAAAATGCGAGAAAGACTGTACGAATAATTCAATATTCGGGAAGTTCAAGAAGAGTTTTGATATCTTCAACCTGTGATTGAGGTCGAGATTGAAGATTCCGAAAGCTATCGAGAGAAATGATCAAATTTGTTGTAGAGAAAGTCCAACACGAATGCCAACGATGATCTTCAGTTATCTTTCGTTCGATATCTTTCGTGGAGAATGTATCAGCCCCAGTAGAATTAAGAATGTGTTTAGATACCGAATACTCTCTCCGGATCAAACGCGGTTTCCTCAAATTTCTCATCTTTCTTTCCTTCACTTCCTGGAAGTACATAACCTCTCTGGTTGCTCAAGACTCGTATACCATCTTTCTCAAACTTCGTTGTAAAATGTGTATGTCCAAAAACCCATACTTTAACATCAATCCAGCTCATACTTGAATCTCCAAGAATCTCAGTAGCAAATGCTGAGCCCCAAGGATTTTTGGAGTTCTTTGGACTAGATGTACCAACTATTGTCGGCGCATGATGTGTGATCACCAAAATCTTCCTTTCAGGTTCTCCCTCGGCCCTACATTTATTTTGGTTCTGAACATTCCTAACTTGGTTGAAAAGCCATGTCAGATCAGATATATGTGCAGTGTTATGATCATCAATCGACCATTCAGTTATCTTTTGGAGATCTTTTATTCTCGTTTGAACTGCCTCTCTTGCGCCTCCATCGATTTTAGACCAAAGTGTACAACCCAGGATTGTGGTCTGTGAATCCCCAAGGTCAATGTCCCGTCGTTTCTGATGACACAAAACTAGTTTACCGTTCAAAACTGCTTCATTCTCGAGTCTTTGGGCTTGTTCCAAAGCGCTAGTGTGTGAGAGGTGGTAAAACTCGTGATTTCCAAGTACTAGGAAAACCTTTTCGAATTGCGCGGTCTGCTTTGCAAGAAATGCTAGGTAGCCCTCATAATCAATAAGACGCCCAATATCTCCCGCTAAAATGAGATAGGGTGCCACAGGTGCGATCGAAAACGTGTGATACTGTGAGCACAATTCCAGATGTAGATCAGACAGAACCTGGAAATTTGGGGCAGACTGCTGTTTGGTAAAGAGGGATCGGATTTTATTGACGACGGAAGGTTGTACCATCATACTTCCGTCGCTTGAACAGGCAAATCGTTCACAGAAGCTTCTACTTGAGCATTGGAGCAGTAAGCTTGGGGGTAGGATATAATAAACCGCTACTCGTAGATGGACAGGGAAGTTGTACGCATTGGCTTCTGGTGATAATTGAGATTTCATGCTTACTAATCACACAACGTCATTCATCAGCGATTCAAACTTCTCATCATATTTTCTTTCTCAAAGGAGTAGTATACGTGGAAATATCTGACTTTTTCTTTCCCCCCTTTTCTATCCGAACTAAATTGCCCATTCGACCCCGTCCGTCGCCTTCTCTTTTCCTCATCGTCTCTATCTACGCTCCCCCCCGGAGTGAGTTGAGTCACTATATCGCAGCATTGTACCTCACCTCTACATGCTCGAAACATTAATAGCAAATGTGTCAAAAGCTTACCATCTGACTTTCCAGGATGAATGAACTCAGCGGAAGATCATGTCCACATCTTCAGCTCCGTCCCAACTCATAGCAACACATCCTATCATGAAAGTAAGACACCAGAAGCATCGACATGAATTAAGAAAACCATGACTTGTATTCATTCAACAAAGATTAGACCATGAACATTATATCACCAAAAGTGAATCACCTTTCCCAAATGTTGAACTAGAAATGAATCCTCGAAGCATCTAAGCAATCATAGTTTGAAGCGATCTCTCTTTTGTTGCCCAAATACACAATGACAAATGACAAATGTATATGTATATACATTGCTAGCAATACCCAATCGGGAATATAATGTACATGTCTTTGCGACGCGAGCAATAAATGCAGCACAAGCAGCTACACACCAAGCCAGCTCAGGATATACCTATCTATCCATAGGAGCTTTTCCCGCGAAGACCTATGGATCCTCAGAAAACCCTACTGTTAACTCCTGTCTTCTTGATTATACTTTTCAGCTTCTTTCTTTATCAATTATACACAATCCTTCTTCATATACCCCCAGAATCCCTTTCTCCAGGATCATCATAGACTGTATGACTAAAAGCCTCGTAATCATCATTATCAACCAACCACTCTATATCCTCATCATCCGGGCCTAATTTGCTCATAAGCCCTGTTCCAGCTTTTGGATATGGTGGACTATTTGGTGTGGACTCTCTGCTTTCCTGAGACACTTCCTGTCCATTGCCCATCCCATTTGTGTTTCCATTTGACTCCATGTTTGACGAAGACTGTGGAGGTAGTGTTGGTGGAGCGGAAGAAGCATGAGTCAAAGCTGGAGCCGGAGGGAATGACGAGGTAAACATTGGGGAAGGAGTGATATTAGAGGCTGTGGAATTGGGGGCTACTTTGCGAATAAAGTTCATTGGTGCGTTGGGGTTTGATTCTGCACGAGAGAATAGACCCGCTGTGGAGGTAGCGGAGGGAGGAAATGGTTGTGTGATGTGATTGGTTGTGGGGCGAGATGAATTCTGTGATTGGCGGGGTTGGAGGGGCGGAGTATTGGCGGGGAATATAGGCATATCTGGGTGCAGAATGGAGGCTTTAATGAGAAGCTCTACTAGCTGGGGATGAGGCAGTAAAGCTAGGTGTGTCCTTCTCTGCAAAGATTGTTAGCTGGTACGTTTAGAGTACGAAAGCAAAGTAAAACAAATACCTGGTCAAGTGTTTTGCCGGCCCAGCTAACACCGTCAGTCTTAGATGGTGCCGGTCTAATGCCCCTCTTCCTCGCGCAATCATTACAATACCACGGTGCCTGTTCATCCTTCACCTCTTCTTCTGAAACTATAGGGTCATGGCACATTTGATGCCACCCTAGATTACACCCATCGCAAAAGACTATCATATTGTTCTGAGGACTATTGCCCCTACCGCATCTCTTGCATAATGCTTGTTCTTGATTTTGGGTTCGTTTATTTGTTGATGCAGACGATCGTTTCCGCGAGCTCGTCTCAGGCAAGGTAGGTACAAATTGAGTCGGCTTCACTATTTGTCTTCCGCTTTGTGTAATTTTTGGCATTTCCATCGCACTGCTCGAATCATCCGAGTCCGAATCTCCGCCTAGACCACTCAAAGCTTCAGATTCGTCCGCACTTTCACTATCATCCTTGACTCTTTTACGCTTTTGTCCTGTCTTGAGTCCTTTTCGCTTCTTTTTCGTTCCTGCACTATTGGATGATACAGTCGGAGTCTCAATCTTGGGTGTTCTAGGTGTGGCACTAGACTTGGGCGTCGACTTTTTGCTAGTTTGATATCTTGGTGGTGGCGTAGTTATTTCCATATTCTGCGTAGTTTTCATCCCCGACATAACGTTCCTGCGCATTTCTTCATAACCCGGTGGTGTCCCTGTAATGCCAATACTGGACAGCCCGCCAGATAATCCTGCTCTCATACGTTGAAGAATCATTTCGGTCGCGGCAGAGAATTGAGGAACATATTTGGGAGGGGACGATTCGCCCATGGTTGTATCATTTGATCCATTTGCAGAAGCTGAAGCATTATTTGGCGCGTCCATGTCTGACGTGGTTGCTTGATATTCAGTGGAGGCAATGATATTTGCGCCGGCGAGAATTAACAAAGCTACCGTTCCGCAGCAAGCGTGATGAATATCTAGAATTAATGAGCTAGATTGAAAGAGTATAATATTGATTGACCGAAGTCAATTGACTTAATTGAAAGCCGTGATATTATTAATGGTAAGGGCCAAAAACAATTGATGTACTGGACGTGTCGGCACGCGCACTGATAGATCCCAGCAAAATATAATTATGACGGAGCTTCTGAACATACAGCTTCAGCCTGTCGAAAAGGGTAGGAGTTGATGCTCTAGGAAGTACTTGTAGATGTCGTTATGAGAGAGTACAAAAAGTGGTCTGGTGATGAATAAACTGGCAATCACATGTTTAAAAATCATGTGATGAGGTTAAATCGCATTGGACTCCTTATAAATTAGCCTAATGCCTTGCGTGTTGAAGAGTAACAAGACCCAACGACATCTGTAGAGGGCAATTATAGCATTTGAATGCCCAAGACATCTATATAATTCTATTTTACAGCTCCTTCGGCCTTCAATGCTTCAATATCAGATTCATCCATCCCTAAAATATCTCTAAGAATCTCATCTGTGTGTTGTCCTAGCATAGGAGGTACTGTTCGTATACTTGGCTTGCTCTCACTGTATTTCACCGGAGTGTTAACCATCTTAATTGGACCACAATATTCGTGATCCATCTCTTTTACCATATCCCTTGCTAACACGTGCTCATGATTCAATGTTCCTTGGACATCATTGATAGCTGCATAAGGTAGCCCGGACCCCTCAAAAATATCCAGCCATTCTTTGGTAGTTTTGTCTTGAGTAATTTTCTCTATAGAGCTGTCTAACTCTGCTCGATGGGCAACTCTTGCTGTGTTAATGACAAATCGTGGATCCTCTTTCCACTCTGGGCGTCCAAGCCCATTGCATAGGAGTCCAAACAATCTATCATTTCCTCCACCAAACAAGATATCACCATCTTTTGTTTTGTACGAACGATATGGTACGATAGATGCTAGCACTGTTATTAGATAAAGTTCTCAACAAGAGTTGGAATCACTTACGATGAGCAGTCCCCCATCTCCCTTCATCCTTTTCCCCACTTATCAAACACGAACTCGCCAGATTCGACAATGTGGCGACTTGACAATCTGATAGAGCAACATCAATGTGCTGCCCCCTTCCTGTTCTTCCTCTTGCCAGTAAAGCAGCCATAATACTGTTACTAGTATACAAGCCAGTCGTCAAATCCGTTACGGCAACCCCCACTTTCACTGGAGGTCCGTCCCTACTTCCAGTGATGTGCATCAATCCCATCTCAGCTTCAACCATAACATCGTATCCGGCTCGGTTTCGATATGGACCAGTTTGACCATAGCCGGTGATAGAAGCGTATATCAGTCGTGGATTTATCTCTCGCAGTGTTTCGTAGTCCATCCCATATTTCTTCAGTGAACCTGGTAGATAGTTCTCAACAAGAATATCACTTTCTGCAGCGAGTTTATGGAGGACTTTAACTGCCGATGGATGTTTAAACGACAATCCGAGAGACTTCTTGTTCCGGTTAACCTGGTAATTGGTGAGCTGTGAAACTTGCGGTGTATTGGAATATGAGGTCAATCTACAGCAAAAAAGTATGCACTTTCTCCAGGCCCTTCCTTCCCTGATCCATCCAAGTATTTTGCATAGGGAGGTCCCCAGTGTCTAGTATCATCACCTTTCGTCGGATGCTCGACTTTAATTACTTCTGCACTATATTTATGAGCTTAGATAACGATATGAGGGATGGCAAATCATACCCAAGATCTCCTAATATTTGTGTGCAGTATGGCTGTTAACGGTCAGGAAGCCTTATGTAACTTTTGATTTTTGGACTTACACCTGCAAGCACTCGAGTCATATCCAATACTTTGTACCCTTTCAGAGGCAGTGTCATATCATTTGTCGAAGCATCTGCCAATCCTCTGCGCCTGATGTGCCTAATCGCTGGAGTGAAGCCATTGGAACGCCATAACACACGGGAAGCTCTATGGAGCGACCGTGAACAAAGCGAAGTGGTCATAATAACAATCAATGTACAATGGAGGATGATCAGAGCTTGATTCTGAGTGACATTTATTGTTATTGTTGCCCCGCTACCCCAGATTTTTGGCGCATCTCGGCTCGGCGAACGCAATCCCCGAGATGTAGGTGTAGGCTCACGGAAACCTCACAATCTCGAGACATTGTATCGGGCAAAGCATTATACAGGAACAATGGATGGCAAATACTTCAAAGGGTAGTCACGAAATGTGAAATACACTGAATATTATATTAAGTATTGGACCTTTTATTTTCCCAGAATCACATATATGTGCACCTCTTAACCTTCTTCTCTATCCATTTCATCACGACCTCTTTTAGCACCATTCGCAGGTCTTCTTCCTTTCAATACTGCCCCCTTCTTACCTCTATCTTCGTGTAAATTCTTCATCTCATTCCTAGCATGTCTTTGAGCTTCTTCTACCCTAGGTTTGAAGACCATAACTTCATCCTTCACCATCGGGTATTCGTCCTGCTTCTTTCCTAATGCTGCCTCAATACGCAACCAAATTTCCAAATCATATTGAGTCACAAAACTAATTGCGTGTCCGGATTTTCCTGCACGAGCAGTACGTCCAACTCTATGAATGTATGTTTTACTGTCCTGTGAAATGTCGTAGTTCAATACTACATCAACCGAGGGGATATCCAAACCACGAGCAGCGACATCCGTTGCAACAAGAATTTCTCTTGAACCTGCACGGAACTTATTTAAAGCACCCAAGCGAGAAGATTGTGAAAGTTGTCCATGTAGCGGAATGGCTCCGAATCCAAGCGTTCGTAACAAAATTGCTATTCTCTGCGTCTCGTTGACTGTCCGTGTAAAAATGATGGCGGATTGACCTGCGAACTCGTTCAAGAGATAGATTAAGTATGTATCCTTGTGTACTAGTGGTATGAAAATGTAGTTTTGAATGAGAGTTGAGACAGTCTGGTATTTGTTGCTGCTGATGCTTACTCGTAATGGGTCCTTCAAACTTGCTCGTTGAAGACTTTCGACTTTAGAACTGATAGTTGCGGAAAAGAGATATGTTCGTCGCTCTCGGGGTAAAACTTTCAGGATTTTGTCGAGAATAGGTCCGAAATCTAGGTCAAGTAGTCGATCGGCCTCGTCCATGACCAAATACTTGAGCGACCGTAATGAAAAGCCTTTTGTATTTTCTAGATGATCGAGAAGGCGACCAGGAGTGGCAACTATAATGTGAGGTTTTTTGCCCAAAGCAATTGATTGCGGTACCATATCCATTCCTCCAACTATGACAGCACATTTCACTCTTATAACAGACCCAAGAGCCTCGAACTGTTGGGAAATTTGATATGCGAGTTCGCGAGTTGGTGCTAATACTAATCCAAAGAGGGGTTGTGGTTTATCGAGTAGAGCTTGGAGAATTGGTAAAGCAAATGCAGCAGTTTTTCCACTGCCGGTTTCTGCCAGACCGATCAAATCTCTGCCTTGAAGTGCGAGTGGTATGGATTCCCTTTGAATGGGAGTTGGGGCCTTGTATCCTAAAGTGTCGCATGCTTCGCATAATGAGTCGACGATACCCTGAAATTGTGAGTAAGAGATATTGCAATAGACATTTATTACGCACCAAATCTTTAAAGGACTTTGGGGCCTCATCTTCCTCAACTTCCTCAGTCTCTTCGATAACTCTGTTATCTTCAGCATCCTCAATTGACTCTGGGGAAGGTGTGGGGGAGCCTTTTTTCGACTCTTTTGTCTTCTTCGATTTCACACCCTCCAAAGATGGATTTTTATCGGTCTTCCTCCGCTTCACGGAAGACATGATTGCTATCTCGTCCGACTAGATACTGATGCGTAGAATTATATTGAACCAAAGTCTTCAATCAATAGAATTCTCAATGTTGGCGCAATCTTTTCGATGATTATGGTTTTATAGTTATGGATTGAATGTGAAGAGCTAAGAATGATAGTAGGAAGGCTAGAGAAAATAATTTTTATCTGCTTGACCTTATCGGATCCGCTTATCTGATTGGCCGCGCAAAAAAGTTTCTACCTTAAGAAAATGTTACGAGGAGAAAGTCCTAAAGAAGTAAAGAAATAACATCAAACAATTCAGAACAACAAAAATGGCGAGAAGACGTACTAAAAAGCGCACCCATGTTGGTGCCAATAACCCAGCTGGAGCAAAGGGAACTCCTGCTTCTCAAGCTTCACGATCCCCGAAAAGCATGGTAATTCGAGCTGGTGCAGGAGAAGTCGGACCAAGTGTTAGTCAATTGGTAAGGGATGTTAGACGGATGATGGAACCAGATACGGCCTCAAGATTGAAGGAGAGAAGAGCAAACAAATTGAGAGATTATCTCACAATGGCAGGTCCTTTGGGTGTCAGTCATCTCATGCTGTTCTCGAGATCAGAGGCCGGAAATACAAACATGCGACTTGCTCTTACACCAAGAGGTCCAACATTACATTTCAACGTAGAGAAATACTCTCTATGTAAAGATGTGAGGAAGGCATTGAAGCATCCTAAAGGTGGTGGAAAAGAATATACAACACCTCCATTGGTACGTCTACAGTCTCTTGTATCGATCAACTGGGTAATAACTGACCAAATCAGCTTGTGATGAATAATTTCATATCTCCTGCGTCAGAATCGAGTTCCGAAAATAAGATACCCAAACATCTCGAATCGCTCACAACCACCATTTTCCAGTCTCTTTTTCCACCGATCTCTCCTAATGTCACACCCTTAACATCCATTCGTAGAGTTATGCTTCTCAATCGAGAGCCGACTAAAGGTGAAGATGATGGCACATATACCATTAACCTTCGTCATTACGCAATCACGACCAAACGTATTGGTCTCTCGAAGCCATTGCGAAGATTGAACGCTGCCGAACAATATCTACATTCAAAAAATCCAAGAAAGGGAATACCAAACCTCGGAAAATTGGAAGATATCGCCGATTACATGATTGGAGAAGACGGGGCTGGATATATGACAGATAATACAAGTGGAAGTGAGGTTGACACCGACGCAGAGGTTGAAGTGGTTGAGACGCGCACTCGTAAGATTCTCAACAAGCGCCAAAAGGAAAAGACCCGTGATGGACAAGTCAAGGGTGCCAGAAGCGGTGCTGAAAAACGGGCTATCAAATTGGTGGAATTAGGACCAAGGATGAAGCTAAGAATGACAAAGGTTGAGGAAGGCGTGTGTGACGGAAAAATTATGTGGCACGAGTATATTCATAAATCGAAGGAAGAAGTTAAGGAAATGGACAAGGTCTGGGAGAAGAGGAGACAAGAAAAGGCAGTCCGTAAGAAGATTCAGAAGGAGAATGTTGAGAGAAAAAAGAAGGCCAAGGCTGGTAACAAGAAAGGTGGCGACGATGATGAAGATGATGACGAAATGGACGTCGATGAGTGGGATAGTGAAGGTCTAGAAGGGGATGGAGAGATGGAGCTAAATGAGGAGATGGAAGAAAAAGGAGAATGGGAAGATGAAGAAGAGGAAATTGCTGCCGGTTGAATATGAGTTGTACTCATACATTGTCAATACCTTGATGTATAAATTTTTCTGGCGCATTTAAAGGTTCCATGGTTATTCTGCCAATATGATATCTAATTCAAAATTTGTCCTCCAATAACTTGACTGCCCTGTGACTAACAGGCTTTCCAATGGGAAAATAGTGGATATCTCCGTTCTATAATCTTGATTGACAGAAGCATGGCTCTTTTTTCTTCTTCCACCAGACAAGTCATGTGTGTTAGAAAATCAAAGGCTCTTATGAGACTAATACGTAATTCTGGCAAGTTGCCTGAGGCCCCATGTACACGGTTTGGGCTCTTGTGAACAGTGTCTGTTACATTACTTCGAATTATCCCGAGTCATATGCGTTCATAGTTGCAAGTTTAACATGCATTCCATTTTAGACAAGGAATATGATGTTATTCAACTAACATAATTTATACGGTGATAACGTGGTTACCAACAAAAACCCAATCTAATCCGACCCCATCCCTAATTGCCTACCAACACTACGTACAACATTCTGAACGAGTTGATAGTTTCGATCCATAGGAGAAAGACACTTTAACGTAAGACACATTGATAGCACTTCGCAACCTCATTTTGTCTCTTTCCCTGAAGGATAGGGGCGACTCGGCTAATTGATAATCCAATTACTGTCTGCTATGATCTTCTATTTAAATGCTCGTAGGAGTCAATGAGACACTACATTAACTTCATACTCAATTGTCAACTACTTACCCTGCATATCTATATTCTTCTCATGTTATTTGGAATTTTGAACCACATTGCTCAATTCTAATTTCTGCCAGGATAGGTTTTCTAAAAAAGCACGTCCAACACTACATCGAAAGACATTCGTCAGGTATCATATCTGAAGAATACCGTTATCTATAGATGTCAGGCTACATTATTCGCTCTAACTCATGATGTTAAGTATAAACATCCTTTATTATGCTATAATAATAATGAAGAATTCAAAAAACTTCTTGAAAGATATTGACTTTGAACCTGTTTGATAATAAGTGCTTTAATTCCTCTGCCCTCTTTAACGTCTACATTCTCTCTACTCTCCAAAATCTAACTTTCCTCAGTCTCTATGTTCTTTTCACTTTTTGTATTCTTTTCGTTCTCTATATACCCATTTTCTTTGTTTGTGTTCTTTCTGTCTTCTATGTTCCTTCTACCCTTTGTACTGCCTCAAATTAAATATATAGAAACACTGCTCCTACTCCATACTGAATACCATAATACCCACGTCCTTCGTTTCACTAACGATCCCAAAGCAATAAACATGCTCCCCACCACCAATACCAAATCCCACACAGAGAGCGATGTCATGGCCCAAGACATCGCAAGCGAGGCCGAAAACGTCGGTTTCCACCGCTGGAAACCCGTAACTGCATATCCCGGTCCCTACACTCTTTACCGTTCTTCCTCTCCCAACTACATTTCTCCACCAGGCGATCCCTCCCAGTTCATCAACGCAAAAGGAATTGCATTCTTGCACAAACACAAGATCGGCCACGTGATTTGTCTCAACGGCGATGAACCGAGTTGTCTCAAGATTGAAGCCGAATTGACCAATGCCAATCCGCGAATCATCTACACACATCTTCCAGTGCCAGATTATACTCCACCGTCTCTGGATCAGATGGAAACGGCCTATCAAGAGTATTTGAATGCAAAAGTACCCACGCTCGTTCATTGTGGGTATGGACATGGGAGAACGGGCACAATGATTACGGCATTGCAGTATAAGATTGAGAGGCAAAAGGGAAGACCCCGAATTTTAGGGATGTAGATTATGCCAAGAACTACGTGGAGAAGACCCATTACGGGAGATCCACAGGACAGTATGAGATGTTGAACTTGCTGCAAGGGAAGAAGTGAATTCGTTCAGATGGACAACATGCTGGCGCTCAGGAAGTAGCAACGGTGGGCTGGAATTGGGAGTAATCATCTTACTCGCAGAAGGAAACAAATACTCTCGACTAGTAATTTGAATATCACATCGTTGATATTGTTACTTGCGGAATCTGTAGCTTCAATCTCTCAGTTGTGATTAGAGTTTCGGCCTCAGTGGATACATCTGATAGCTGCGGAAATAAAGCCCTTTCGGAGCCATACATATCTAGTCAACCGACCATCTAAACTTCAAATGGAAGTGCGTGTGGTAACAATGCCAATGAACACATAGAAAACTGCTGTCAAATCAAAAATCGAGGTTGAAATAATCTCGGTGGTAAATTATCAGTACAGCATAGTTTGGAAGTAAGTAGGTATTGGCAAGAATACACCCACACACAGATTCGCACTAATTCAACTCGCTAGTCTCTACCGGGTCTTAATTCTGGGCAAATTGAATTCTAGTAGGGATTTTCAATCAGTTACAGAGTTATCTCTACCGCCTCGGACTGATGAAATACTGGAAACGATTCAAGCAACTAGTGGCTTCTAAGCCCCGTATGCTTTGGGCGATGCAAATAAACTTTCATTGAAATGGATCTTTGATAGAGATTAGAGATTCTTTCTAAAGAGTTTTGATGCGAACCCTAGAACTACCTAGGTATCTAAAATCCCGTGGATTTGACACCACTCATCCTTCTACCCACCTCACATGCATTTCACATTTCACCTTTCACTTGAATCTTAGATCTGTGAAAATTGTAGCAGGGAATTTATATGTATTCCATTCCATTCGGCCTGTCCAAAAGGCATCCAGCTCACCAACTTGACCGAGCTCAAACACTGCGCCATACACCATCTGACTCTATCCAACTATGGGGATTCCAGGTTACGTATCCATCCCAACAATGGAACATGGCATATCTAACCCCTGAATCAAACTTTCTTGAACGCCATCTTGAATTTGTCCATCTTTTTAAACACCAAATATCCATCAACTGATCCAAGCACGTTTTGCACGCTAAACTATACCAATGCATTGCTACACAATCTCATCATTATCCCAGCTCCACCAGCTACTTCCCCCTTTCCTTCCATCATATTTACCCGCGTGATCTTCCACAACTTCGTCTACCACCTCATCATCTCCCAGCTCCACAGCTTTAGGCATCTTCACTCCTTCCCTCTTCATCTTCTCCTTCCAAATCCTGATCTCCTCATCATAGCCCTTCCACCAATCCCACGCATCTCCTATTCCCCTACTGACTACCTTACCCGTCCACTGATCCATTTTGGTTGGAATAGCCCAGGGCCAAAACGGATCGGAAGGGTGCCAAACATCTTTATTTGAGTATTTGGGATGACAATACGTTTCACACATTGCCCATTCAGCTACAAACCACGTTATGAAGATTGTAAATAGTAATCCGAACCAGGTAAATTTTCTAGTTCCAGGGTGACGGAGGCGGGGAAGGGGTATCATGAGGTAGTGAACATTTGGGTTCAAGGCAGGGTTTAGAGGAGCATCTAAGAAAAAAGGACGAGATGATGTTTTGGGGGATGGGATGCCGAGTTCTTTGGGTGAGCGCGAATGTGGACCTGATGATGAGACTTGCTGTTCCAGTCTTTCAATGCCATGTCTCGCATCTCGTATACTACTCGTAGTGTGTTTTAAACTCCGATTCATACGAAGGAACGCAAGTTCCTCCAACCTTTTTTCTTTCTCTTCGTGAGAAAGTGGTTGGCCATTTTCATCGAAATCGAGATTGATTTCTAGAGTTTCAGAATTTGGAGACGTAAGTTGGTTCTTTAAAAATAGGGAGAAGTCTCGATCGATTGTAGTGGAATCATCGACTCGAGCTTCTTTTTCTATACGTTGGAGGTCGGCAGCGGCGGAGATAGTAGGGGCACTGTTTATTGGAGTTGGACGGGATCGCGACTGTGACTGGGAAGTTTTGGAAGGCTCACTGTGGTTGCGGGGCGAGGAAGGTTCCTCTTTGATCCGAGGTTGTTCTTTGGGTGTTCTACCGTTGGTGCGCATTCGCGGTGGCGCAGGGGTTTCGATCCACCCGCCTGTGACTTTTGGGGTGGGCAATAGGAGAGGGTTGATAGGCGCTGATGGAGGTGGAGTTGGTGCGGAATTTGGAAGCCTCTCAGAGACCTGTTCAAGCTCGTAGGGAGATCTTTCTGATAATACCGGAGTTTCAAGATTATTATCCAGCCTACCGGGACTATTTCTCCCGCTTCCACTTGTACCCGTAATGGCCTTAGAAAGATTCCTTAAGATCTGAAGTGAATCTTCTTGTTTAGAAGTCGTTCCATTTGGACGTTTCTCATTTTCGGGAAATACTGTGATAGGCGACCCACGTATATTCTCTCCTTCTTGCTCAAGTATTGTTTTTTCGTTCATCTTATCCGTTTTGTCGTTGACTTTAAGTCGTTCCAAAGATCGTGGCTCAATATTTTCTGATGCTCTATGGTTATATTCAGCCCTTACCCGTGGTTCAGTATTTTCTAGAGATCTACGGTTGGATTCAGAATTTGCCCGTGGTTCGGTAGTTTCTGGAACCCTCTGGTCGTAATCGGTCCTTGATCTGCTGTCACGGGCCCGCTGTATTGCTCTCAAGCCATCTTCCCCTTGGAACCTTCTTTCTAGTCGGGATAATGGCCTCTCTTCCTGCGGCACAACATTTTCTTTATCATTACGCATGCTGCGTACATGATTGTCGACATGGAAATGAATTGCTTTTCGAGAAGGTCGCCACTTTTTGATCTTCGTTCCCTGGGCAACCTATTCCGCAATGCTCCTCCTTCCTGCCTTTCTTGAGGAATTTTATTATCCTCACTCTCATACGAAGTAATTGTCTCCGTTCCGCACGCCGTTTTTCCAATTCTCTCTCCGCACCCGCTCTCTCCGTTCTTCCGATTTTGCGTGCACTGTCTCCTTTTTCGCATTCTCATCCCTCTACTGGCCGCGAAGTTTTACGACTTTCAAGATTATCAACGGACTTTCCTCTCCTCGCCGGCCTCTCTTGAACCTTCGCATGATTTGCCTCTTCATGTTCCTCTTCCTCCTCATCATCCTCAACAAAACTCCTCTCCTGCTCCATAATCTCCTCTATCCTGCTCGGTATACCATTCGTTTTCAGTCGTGGGCTACGATTAATATCCACACTTCGAGCCGTAAACTCGAGTTCTGTATCCCATCCTCTACCCGTCCCATTAGCTTCCTCCTCTCTCATCTTCCCAATATCTCTTGTAACACCCTCGATATCTACACTCGCATCTTCCCCATTGTTTTCATCGTCTTCCATTATTTTCTTTATCCAAGTATCTCCGGACCCTCCCCTCGCTCTGTTGCCCCATATATCAGTCCCATTATCATTATTATTCGCGCGAAAAGTTCCTCTCGTGCGCGGTGAAGGCGAGCTATCATATCGAGGTTGTTTGCCAGGAGCCATTTGCGCGCATGTTCATAAGATGTATTGTTGCAATGCAATTGTGCTGTATCGATCGCGGTTTGGAGATCGTGGAATGAGAACGCGAAGAGCGCGTTTTTCTAGAGCTTGGAGGGGCGAGCGCGAGACCTCGGGTAATCTTTATAAACCGTAGCTGTATTTGTATTGTATTTGTACGTTGATACGGGAAAATTTATAACAGCAAGAATTGATTCACGCGGGGGGTATAAGCAATCGACTTTATTAAGCAAGTATGTAATTTATTGCTGGGTTCGAAGTGGATTTGGTAGATCTGAGGGCGGTGAATCTAAAGATTTCGATGTTCGGCAACTACTCCATTAGACGATTGATACCTACCTAGTAGTAACCACAAACTCTTTTTGGACGACTAATATGCTACATATCTACCTGCGTTTGGCCGGTAGTCATTTATGACATCCATAGTCAAGTACTTTTATAATGCAAATAATCGTATTACTCAGGATACATAGTATAATTTCCCAGCGCTTTAAAGTATATTTTCTCGCTGAGACTACCTAATGCTCATCTATTCAGTCAAAACCTGCTTCCGGTATCAAATACATATTCAATCAATATACAAAATACAACCCAAACCCCATGTTTTCATGCAACGCATCCCCCCAAAATGCTTTTATGAATCTTCCTCTCCCCGCTCTAGCTCGTAAAACAACATATAAACCTCCTTTTGCATGCCCAAAACCTCACTAGTCTTGCTCTCTTTTATCTTTTCGTCACTAATTCTCCACCATCTTTCAACCGTCTTCTTTTTCCGCTTAGTACGAACTGTTTCTGTCAAAGATGTCCGGCCGATTTCTGGATTGGATGGAGATAGGTTCGGCGAGGATGAAGCGGGGGATGATCGACTGATTGTACTGGAAACTTTGGACAAAGTTTTCCGAGCCGAACGTCCTAAGGAGCGGATGCTACCAGTATCGGAATCCTGGGGAGCTGATGTGGGACCCGCTGTCTTGGACGACGATGCAATGGAACTCGCTGATGTTGGATTAACGCCAGAGAGATGTTTATTATTAAGTGAAGAGTCTAACGAATGGCGCCCATTTATATTTGAAAGAGATGTGGTAGAGGCTGTCTTTGAGGACAATAATTCTGGGGTCGATGATAGGGTAGTGTTGTCACCATCATCCCTTGGAGTAGCGCTTGTCTGAGGGGTTGAGGGTAATGAAGGGGTGTGCGTTGAAGATCTGGCATACGCCACTGATGGCTGGAAAGTATTTGGAGTTGAAAATGGAGCAACAATATTTTGTCTCCGGAAAGATTCATAGTGTCCACTATGGTGGCTTCCCTTGTGACAGACTAGACTAAGAAGCTTGTACTTTCGTCGGTTCAATAAACCTCCAAGTGGGAGCTGTTCAGGGAATGCCACCTTGGCAGAATTCTTCATTGTCGTTGAGCTGGAGTCGAAGATTGACCTCGACAGATGAATCGCCATGACTTTTGGGAATTTGGTAATACGGACATGTTTGGCGATTTTTCGCTTCGGAGCAAATCTCGAATCTGGTAGTTCAACATCGAGAAGCTCCTCTTCCGGGCTTGTCTCTATAGCAGCCTTTAGTTTGTCGATTGATATTTGAGTTTTCTCCTTAAATTTTTGAGAATTCGATTGAGAATATTCTTGTTCGAAGGTTTCCAAGGCATGTAATAATCTACACTTCTCGCATTTGAAGTCCTCAATATATTCCGTTTTAAACATTCCGTCAAAGCATGCATTTAATGTGGTAGATGTGACCTGAGGAACAGTCAATGTAAGAGAACAGAATGTTGTCTGTGTAGGCCTTGGTTTAAAACCACAGGTTAAACATTCAATTTGTGACTCAGAACCACCTTCGAAAGGGAACCCATCTTCCTTGTCAACTTCACCATTAAATTCTCCGCCTTCTTGGGGCGACCTTGACAAAGTTGAGCTTGCCTTTTCTGAGTTATGAGAAGAATCTGATGGCGCTTTTGTCGCAGGAGAGCTGGTCTCGGGCAGGGCGCTCTCATTCAAACTAAGCTGGCCCAACTCTTCGTTCACGGTTTCCTCTTTTGAAGTGTGCAATTCTGCAGTGGCAGCTTCCAAATCCCTTGCATGGTTTCTCGCCCTGTGGCCTGCATGATACTCGTCGTTTAATCTCTCGGCCACTACTTGCAAAAACTCCTGCGCGTCCTGTTGCTGCCGGCTAATCCTCTGTTTAAAAGCCGCTTCCAGTGCAGTTACAAATGGCCCAGCAGATATCGCCTTCTTGTATAAAGGTCTTTCGTTCAATGCGTCCAAAATATCTTTCAGTCCCGTGGTAACTAAGCCCTTTTGTAGACCTTCGATTTTCCATGCTGGTAAACCCTGCCGCGCCGGGTCCTCCACAATTCGACTGTATACCTCTGAATGATCCAAGTCCCTTCTATGCGTTTCCCGAATCAAATATATGCGTAGGTCGCCCAAACCAGCAAGGGCCTGGAGTACTGAATTTATAAAACAATCATTGGCAGTATTGACCAAGCCTACCACTCCTTTCTTCCTCGTGTTAGATGACGAGTTTTGTTCGTCCATTAGGAAGGTTGGCGCAAATACATAGACGAGTGTGATTGCAGCTAGAGAGGCGCCCGCGGCATATGTTAAAGTTGTGAATTGTTTATCTGGCATACTTTCGTCAAACTAAAGATCGTCGGGAATTTCGGGGAGAGGTCGGATAAGACGCTGGACGAGTTGAATCAAAGATGAGGTTGAGGAGAAAAGGTGATGAGGAAAGAGGTGATGTTGAAAGGCTAAGGAAGAAGTTTCAATAATCACTGTTCCATCACAAAAACACACCTTCGAATTAAACCGTTTCGGCGACTTCTTTCTGTGTCCAAGAAAATAAGGAGTTGAAGCCTATGAGTTCTGTGTAGTAAGATCAAGTCCCCGCTGCGAGAGTTGTTCCGGATCTCAGTAGAAACAATGGATTATGTGTCAACTCCTTGAAATCCCTCCTCCGTAGACAGTACAAAATGCTCGACTGTCATGGAATGATCTGAGGAAAATACTTTTTCAAACGAAGGTATTCCGAAATCTCTTATCTATATCAACCGAACCAAATATTGGCAATAAAGACTTCATTTTGTCGTTACCCCAGTCTTTATTCATGCCGATACTCCGACGCTAGTGGAGGGGTGAATTAATTAAACTGAGGTGTCAAGTAAGCAAAACCAAATATTTTTGGCGATTCGAACTCACGACGATTATTTGGAGGTCTTCTCAGCTCATTGTCTTTCAATGGCTTCATTATTACAATCGCGGGTACCTTCATGCCTAGCATGCCTACGCCGGACAACTAGTAGTTTCGGCGACGGACTGCTATTCTCAGGCAGCCAGCAGATCCGAGGGAAGAAGAAGCTTGCAAAAGAAAAGGATCATAATGTTACAATTCAGTTACTGAAACCTGTCATAGGAATTGGCAGAAAGGGCAAGTTTCCATGTACCTGAAAGCCATGAAAAACTCCAGTGACTAATTTTGGTATAGGAAGAATTGTCCAAGTTCCCCCCGGATTGATGCGAAATAAACTGTATGGCAGAGGATTTGCTGTTTATGTGACACCTACAGGATCTGAACAAGTTGGTTCGAGGAAAAATGTCGCTCTTCCTGATAGTACTTTTGGAAAGCGCAAAGCCGCCAGAATAGAGCCAGTGCAAGATCAGAAGAAGGCATTAAAATTCCTCAGCGGAGAGCGTCGACTGAATATCAAGAAAGTGGTTGAGCTTGAATTGCTGAGCGTCCGTCTACCTTCAATTTTTCCACAAATTAAAAGACAAGAAATGCTGACTGATTGTGAATAGCCCGAACGCTCCACAGCTATCTTAGCCGATTTGATACCACCTTATATAGACTTCTTCGAGACGGCCATTACTGTTGCTCCTCTACCGGTAAAGAAGGTCTCACCATCCCTAGCGTCATCTTCTTCAATATCCGCTGCAGCTTCAAAGAATAGTACAGGGAAACCAGAAAAGGTTCCCATCTATGGATCGGTCTCAACTGCGGATATAGCCGCAAAGATGAAGACCATCTTAGGTCAGGACTCGGAAGGAAAGCGGGTTGTATTTGGGCCGGAAGATATTAAATTTGTTCAGGAGACGGAAGAGAAAGACCGTGTCAAACATTTGGGTATTTATGAGATTGATATACAACTCAGGGGAGCTCCTGAGGCTGTTCGAAGGTCGATCAAAATCAATGCTCAGGATTAGAGTTTGAAGATGAATCAAAAAGACATTGATGAGGACTTGAGTGACACCTAGATGTAATAATATACATTTCTCAAATGGGAAAGAGAATACACATGCATCATTGGATCCGATTAACTTGAGGAGACATTGTAAATATCACTTAAATGCACCGATTTTTGTCATTCATTCATGAGTTGAAGGGGGTAGAGGTCATTGGGAAGGCAGAATCGCTTCGCGTAAGAAGTCCAGCCGCAAACATTCGATGTGTAGTCGTAGAAAGAAGTTCATTGGTCGTAAAATGGCCGTTCATTCATCAATTTATTCTATACATGCAGCACCTACTCGTCTACCCCTTTCGCCAGTTGAATCTGTGGCTTGCTTCTGAATATGAGTAAATCTGTAGACCTTCGAGCATGGATACCTAGGTACCTGGTAGCTACACCTTTACTCTCTGCTATGACCGGAATAAAGTTTTCGCTTCCTCTGGTTGCATGCCCAGGATAGCGAATAATAAGCCCGAGGAGAGGATGTTCAAACAAAGACGAAGCATGATGAATCGGAGGATCTCGCCGTGGTTTCTTCGGTAATGCTACATTGATTGATTATTGCCATGGCTATGAGGCTCGAGTGAGGTCAATTTCGCCGGAACCCCACTTGTAAACACTTCATCGATTTTCCTTTAAAAGGATGGAAGTAACCTACCGAGTACCTTCCCCCTTTCACGACTGCCAGCTTGAATCGTGAATATTGTAAAGTAGCTTATCTATTCGTATCCTTAACTTTGACCCATCGAAAAGTCAAAGATTCAGAATTCATTGGAAAGAAACAAGTGAAAAAGGTACGTCACATTCACTGAGGTTCAACTCGGGGTTCCATATCTTTCTGATTCAAGACCAATGAATGCCAACAAATTGATATGTTGAGGATTCCATTTGGAAACAGCCCCCCCACCATTAGCGTCATTTACCAAGTGACGGTATCGGTCCTGAAAATCCAAAATACTCCACCCCTCTCTATGACCTTCTACTAAAGAAAACCTTTTCCATCTTGTTCAACGATTTTGATCATTTATTGATTCTTTTTTCTCTCCAAATCTCAGATACCCCTTTTGAAAACTACAAACTACAAATTACAAACTACATACCCCAAACTTCAACGACACATTCACAATCACAATCGAAATATGGTTGCACAGACGTTCTCACCGAAAGTCCGGAGTCATCGTTGGCGATGATGTCCTCAAGCTTTTCAACTACGCTCAAGAGCACAACTTTGCCATTCCAGCCATTGTATGTTCTGATACAGTTGAAAGAATGCGTGTGTAGGCATCAACTAACTGTGGCAGAACGTTACCTCTTCCTCAACCGTCGTAGCATCCCTCGAAGCTGCTCGCGATGCCAAGTCCCCAATTATCCTCCAAATGTCCCAAGGAGGTGCCGCCTACTTCGCCGGAAAGGTTAGAAAAGAATCTTGCTCCATCAGAACTTACAGTGTCTAATTTCTCATAGGGTGTTGCCAACGGTAACCAAGAGGCCTCCATCGCTGGTGGTCTCGCCGGTGCTCACTACATCCGTGCTCTTGCACCAGCATACGGTATCCCATTTGTCCTCCACACTGATCACTGCGCCAAGAAGCTCTTGCCATGGTTGGATGGTCTTCTCGACGCCGATGAGAAATACTTCAAGGAGCACGGCGAGCCTTTGTTCTCCTCCCACATGATCGATTTGAGCGAGGAGGAAGTTGACTACAACATCAAGACCACTGCCGAATACTTGAAGAGAGCTGCACCAATGAAGCAATGGCTCGAGATGGTATGTCAAGCAATTTGGGAGATTTGAGATGACGCTTACTAATTCATTTTATAGGAGATCGGTATTACCGGTGGTGAAGAGGACGGTGTCGACAACGAGGATGTTGACAACAACTCCCTTTACACTCAACCAGAGGATATCCTTGCCATCTACCAAGCTCTTTCCCCAATCTCCCCATACTTCTCGATCGCCGCTGGTTTCGGTAACGTTCACGGTGTTTACAAGCCAGGTAACGTCAAGCTCCGCCCAGAGCTCCTCGGCAAGCACCAAGCCCATGTCAAGCAAGCTATTGGAGCTAAGGAAGACAAGCCAGTCTTCTTGGTCTTCCACGGTGGATCTGGATCTTCCAAGCAAGAGTTCTTGGATGCCATCTCATACGGTGTTGTCAAGGTCAACCTTGATACCGATATGCAATTCGCTTACCTCACTGGTATCCGTGATTACGTCCTTAAGAACAAGGACTACCTCATGACCCCAGTTGGTAACCCAGACGGACCAGACAAGCCAAACAGAAGAAGTTCGAGTAAGTATCCCTCAATCCCTAATTTCTTGACAATAATGTATACTAACACTCTGATAGTCCCCGTGTCTGGGTTCGTGAGGGAGAAAAAAACCATGTCCCAACGTCTTGCCGAGGGTCTCAAGGATTTCAACACTGCAGGACAGCTATAAATTTATAATGACTAGCGAATATTCAGATTGCGTTTCAAAAATTTACACGGTTTAGGACATTGTTATGAAATACATAACGAAGTGCGGAGAAAATGGTGGTTGGGGTGGTGGAGTTTTGGTCAAACCTATAAATGCAACGAATTGCCATGAGAAAACTTTATACCATGATGGACAATTTTGATTATATATGAATTGCATGTGAAGTGTGGTGCTATGATGAATCCTTTCTCAAGATGACAGCAATATAATTTCTATAAAAAGAGAACAACAAGAACAGATAGCCGGATCCTTCATCTTGATTAAGCGCTCTTATCGGGTTCAATAGTTAAATCTGCTCATCGACCCGTTTGGCCGTTGAACTCTCCCATTCGATTTGGTTAAAGGATAAGCCACCTACGAAACGCGGCCTGTTTTTTTCTAAATACCTAGTAAAGTAATGAATACGAGTTAAAGACTTGTAGGTAGACGACATGATTTTCGAAAGGTGGTTTGTGTGTGATCAGGCAGTAAGTTTGAATTTCTAATATGACGAAAAAGGTTAAAAGAGATTCACAGACGGTTGGTTGTCTGAACCAAAGATATAATATCCGGAGCAGGAGATGATTCGTGGCAGGAAGGAAAAGAAATGGAGACGTGAGTACTAGGAAAGGCGATAGTTTGTAATTGTATCGTAGATTCATAGGTAATTTGTGATTGACTGGGTTTGCTTGAGCTCTCTCCACTTCATATGTATGGGTGGTATAGCGAGATTGGGGGGATGTTGAGAATGTTGATGTTGATGGTGTTGATGTTGATGAAACGTAATATGTATTGTATTGGAGTACTTGATAAATACTGGTAGACGGTTGAAGAATGGATCTGTAGATGTACAAGACCTGCTTGCTTATGCTTCTCATTCTCTTCCTTCTTTTCCAATTTGCAGGTACAATCAATCAATCCCAATCAAAGGGTATGGTCCAGCAAAGTTCGTTATGGTGAAATAGTTTGGGCCAGTAGAAATAATCTCTCCAATCTACGAAACTTGACCTGAGGATGAATTCCTTCTTCCCACCATCCCATCACGGAAGAAAAATGGGCAGTGCTGTTGTAGATGACGTTCTCCACAAGCGAACGGGACAAAATATCAATTCGAGGGGCAAATGCCAAGCTTTTACAAAATCCCCTGTCAACATACATCCATCCATACAGCCATCCATACATCCATCCATACATCCATCCATACATCCATCCCAGGTATTCGTCTCCTCATCCATCACGAACCTCGTTGGTACTAATATCACAAGGACAATCCTTTCTTTTCCTTCTTCCTCGCAACTATTCTTGTTTCTGCTCATTCTTCTCTTCTACAATTGTTATTCGTTGAATACCTTTTGTTTTCCATACACATTAATCGTCCATTCTAAGGCGCTATTCTTCTAACAAATACTCACATCCCACAACTGAATCAGTGCAACTCAAATTCCTCCACAAAACTCCAGACTTCCATACCTCCAAATCAATAATCTCCTCCACAAACAACAAAACATACCATCAAAGATGTCTTCAAACGAAACTGAAGGAGCTGGCGTATCTGCGCAAAATAAAGGGTCTTGGAGTGCTGTTTTAAAATCCATCGCTTCATTCAATGGAGATTTATCATCGTTGACAGCTCCACCATTCATCCTGTCATCGACATCATTGACTGAGTTCTCTTCATATTGGGCAGAACATCCCAATATATTCGTCGCACCTGCTGCAGAGAAGGATCCTCAGAAACGAGCACTTTTGGTCTTGAAATGGTTCTTGAGCACATTGAAACAACAATATGCCAGTCGAAGTGACAAATATGGAAATGAGAAGAAACCATTGAACCCTTTCTTAGGGGAGTTGTTCCTTGGAAAGTGGGAAGATGCTTGTGGAACTACTGAGCTTATTTCTGAGCAAGTCAGGTAATGTGTTTCCAAATATATCTAAAGTGCCATCTCTAATATTACCTCTAGCCATCATCCACCTGTTACCGCATACCAAATTTCCAACAAGAGACATGGCGTATACCTACAAGGCTATAATGCTCAAAAGGCATCATTCTCTCGAACCATTAACGTTAAACAAATTGGGCATGCAATCTTCAGTATCCCCGCTTACAACGAAACCTACCTCATCACTCTTCCAAATCTTCACATTGAAGGTTTGATCTTTGGCTCCCCATTCGTCGAACTCGAAGCCAAATCTTACATTACAAGTAGTTCAGGATTTACGGCCAAGATTGACTATAGTGGCAAAGGATGGTTATCTGGCAAGAAGAACAGTTTCAGCTGCTACACTATAACCCCACTGGTAAAGAAAAGGACACCTTATATACCGTAACTGGACAATGGACCAACAATTTTGAGATCAGAGAAGGGTGGAAAGAAGAGTGGCCTGATAGACTCGTATGATTGCGGATGCAGTACCTACCACTCCACTCGTCCGTTGCAACCAATCGAGGAACAAGATCCATTGGAATCGCGGCGTGCGTGGTCCAAGGTTGCAGCTGGTATCGCAGTCGGCGACATGGATACAACCGGTAACGAGAAGACCAAAATCGAAGTTTCTCAACGTGAACTTAGATTAAAGGAAAAGAATGAGGGAAGAATTTGGGAGAGAAGATATTTCACCAAGATTGATAATTGTCCCATCCTACAAACATTGGCTCCTTGTATCCAACTAACAGCTGATGAGGATAAGACTGGTGGAATTTGGAGATTTGATGAGGCCAAAGCGGCCAGATATGTCAAATCGGAACAAACTCTACAGCCTCAACAAGTTAATGTACAAGCTCCGATTGTTTAACTGCAGAATTCGATAGAGGGAGAACACTTGTAATGGGTTAAGCTATTGCGAAAGATTTCGAGATATTATGAGGGGTGAATAATGGCGTAATAGGGATTGGATTGATGGTGGAATGAATGACTCGAATCGAGAATTGGTATATGTGTTGCTGTGGTTCTTTTGGATGATGCAATGGGAGGGGGATGATTGCTGTGCTTGTACTTTGTCATGGAATCAGGAAGGGAGGGGAGGCATACTTTTTATACTATCAAGACTAACGAATCGAGGACTTTTTTACTAAGTTGATCATAGATGAGATGATAGTTCATTAGGATTAGAACTGATAGCGAAATAAAGACAAAAATGAAATATTATCTTGTTGAAGGTGTTGGTTTTGGTGTTGGTGTGGGATATGGAGGGGTATGAGGGGTAGAGTTGGTGTGAGGGTGAGATATTGAGCGATTCGAATACCGATGTCAATGTCCATGATAATGTCAATGAATAAATCGAATTTTACTCACGGTAATCATGCATCAAGATCGGGAATCGGATCAACTCGCAAATGGATTTACAATGTTTTCTCGATATTGACTGAATTTGTTCTGGCGAGTGAGTACCTAGTATTTATCGAGATTGACCTTGCGAAGTTTCGCTAGATTACTGGGTTGGTTATTGGTTTTGGTTTTGGGATTGGATTGGGATATAGAGGGTGGTGATTATAACTCCTAGGTAGGTATTGGTGGATAGGGGAAAGAAGTGGAAGGGCGGAAGGGGTGGAAGATGGAAGGGGTGGAAAGAAATGAATCTTTTTGTTTTTGGTTGTGTCGGAGAAGAGTGTATGATATCATGGTATTTCTATTTGTCTGAATGCTACCTAGGTTAGGTGTCTTTCTAGGGGAATGATTGGATTGGGTATTTTGTGTTCTTGTGGAGATGTGGAGATGTGTGGGATGTATGAATGGTTAGTTTTTATGTTGATATATATCTGTTCCTGGAATGCGATCGATGGTATAGTGATCTGTGTCATCCAAAAATGTGTTGGTATATTAGGGGATCCTTCAGCTGTATTATGATACGAGCTGTTCGTTTTTGTTAATTAGTGTACCGGTTAATCGCTACAAGGAAAGGGAGAGAGTTAAATGCGGAAGAAACTACGGGTATGTGGTTTGTATATTAAGGTTCTCTGTATATTCAAATGGCTGTTGTGTTTTATACTCAACCGTCATATCTATCCCTCATTGTACCAATTTCATGGGACCATTCTCACGCTCACCAACAATACAATCGTGTACCGCGGTCGCTATCCAACAAATTGCGCGTTGGTGCTTGGTGTCTCAAGATGGAGTTGAAGACTGTGCGCAGAATGGAGATGGACAGTTATGAAATTTTTCGAGATCAACCGTGGGATTCGTGAGAAGGGATATTGTGTTTGAGAAGCAGGACATTTCTGGGAACACATGCGAAGTCGCTTGACCTCATACAAGAAGCATGAGATAGTGATTCTCGCAAATAGACAGCAACAAACTCATACAGGTAAGCCGGTTACGCAGAATACTTACATGAGGAAAAAGTCGATAGTCGATTGAACAGTATAGGACGTGGAAACGAACATGCGCTGTTCGCGGAGGTGTTCTTGATGGGCCTCGGGAATTCAATCAATAAGGCAATGAGTCGTGAAAGGCATGTAAAGATGAAGGTGCAACCGCAACTTCGAGATCTACCAATGGCGTCGTAATTCATGCCAGAAATGTCAACGCATATCCTACCATCTCCATCAAAGGGCGATCGAGGCGACATGTATGGCCATACAGATGATGGATAATCATCTTCTTCGTGTGACTAGCTTACGATGCCCACCACTTCAAGAGGATGGCATTCTTGGATTGAGGCGGTAGTGACTCGCCAAAACAAAAACAAAAAAACAGAGTACAAATCCTCATGGACCAGGTCCTGTATGATATTTGGTAGTTCCTTGGGATGTGTGTGATGCAGTTCTGGCGTATACTTGATGCAACAAACTAAACATTTCATAGGGACGGGAATCCATCCACCTACCCCTTGAAAAGTACAAAGCTAACTTTTCATGCTGATTTCTGATTGATGAAGAGCTGCAAAAGCTCTGGAGCTTAGTTGTTGAAGATTCCTGGATGCGTCTCGAGCTTTTAACAGAATAGATACAGTTATAGTATGCTCAAAGAAAATTGAAGAGTGTTTGTGAGGCAGATGGACTGTCAAAAAATTTTTTTGCACACCACCCGTAGCGGTCTTAGTTCTTAGTTTTTCAATCCATCGTACCTACAGAAGTGACACTTGTGCGTCTTCTATACTTCCAAATAGTGTACACGATACTACCCTATCACAACTCAAGAACATGTAAAATTGGAAAGTATATCAAAAATTTCAAGATCAAAAATATTCATGAATAACCTTTACGTGAGAACTAACAGACTAATCACCCTCAATTATCTTGATGTTCGTAAACTGACATTCGTACGAGAGTGTTCGGAATCATCCCAAGTCCCTGAGGGTCCTTATCAAAAAAAAATTCACCCAGCCAATTCCATGATCTAACCAAAGAGCTTTCTCTGGTATCGTAGTATCCGCCTCGAGATCTCTCCTACCAATACTGAGGTCCCCATCACTAGATTTAATATCTCAGGCTATTCCTCCGGCATAGGATTACACGATACCAATTCGTCCCGTAGTAACCACAGAAATATCGAGTTCGAGCCTCAGACAATACATAAACCGTTGAGAATGAATCATCGGCCGAAAATTCGAGTCGAGATATCTCTTCAGCCGAGAATCAAAATCCTTTGAGATTTATTTCAATACTATCTTTTATAGTTTTGGCGAGAAGGAGCTATGATGCTATAGATTGATGAGAAAGTGAGATGGTAATATAATTAATTGATGCGCAGAGCCAAAGCGGAAATACAGTGCCTGTAGCACGCTGACAGTCGTTGCAATGATGGATTGTAACCATAGATAGATGTATATCTTCTCCTGAGTATGTTTTGTCGAGTAAGAATACAGCAATCTTTGATCAAGAGATGAAATGTGGGTTTCATAGCGAGGCAGGACAGTTGCAGCTACCACGAACTGAGAGAGAGGTTTCTGAAGAGGTAGTTTCGGTGGTACGAAGGGTTGAAATGACGGACTTCGAATTTGCTGAAGATTGCGATGGCTTACGGTTTGATTCCAAGGGTTGAAGATCTTGGCTGTTTGCATCGAAGTATGGGAGTTTGTGGGATAGAAAAAAGCGATACGAATACAGTATGCATCGTCGTATTTTTGTCCCGTGTTGATGGTGCTGTGTCGTGTTACATGTGGGTAGATGCATAAACACCTGGACTGTGTGCAGTCGATCCAAGATTCCAAATCTCACCCCTCTTAATTGAAGATTCTCAAACATACTGTCCAAATCACATTGTCGGAGAACCTTTGAGTGATATTGCCGTTGTGAAGCGGTGCAGTTTCTACGATTTCTTCAACTACGCCTGTGATTTAATCTTTGGTTGAAACGCTGGTGGTGACGAGGTTGTTAATTCTTTTGACAGCGGGAATTTTCCAGATTCATTGTTCTAGTTCGATCTAGCTTTGTTTTTGCAGAAATGAGAGATGATGAAACAGGATTCTATTACCTACTCACAGATGGTGGAACTTGTTGCAGAATTCATAAAATCATCGTCAGATTATCCCCCGAGAGTAAAAGTTCAATAAGCTCTGTGTTATACGCCTGCCCTCCCCTTTCCTTCGGATATCTGATGTGGAAAGATGTGCTTGGGCGCCAGTGATGTGACGCTTGGGTGACCTGCTTTTGGTGGCCACTTCAGTCGTTGGACTTTAGAGTATAGTCTTGCTATCTAGACCTAGCAATTTGGCACCTCATTTATACAGAGTTGAATAGTGTGATCGTAGTGATCGACAGTCTGGACTGCATTGCGATTATTTGAGGTTCTAATTTGAACTTGATTGGGCGATTGAAAGTTTTCAGAGATTGAGAAGTTCTCAAATGCGTAGATGAAAGGTCTTTATATTCCATGTTCTAGGCCAAAATATTGCAGATTTGAGCCTAGTAGCCGTTTCTTAACCCATTCTTTGAACAAGCTTCCACAAAGCCGACGATTCATGGTCAGTATGTATGAACAGTGATAGGCCTTGAATGGTTGTCTCAAGTAAGTAGATGGGTATAGAGATTACTAGGATGAGATGAGTCAGATGAAGATAGTCAGACGAGGGTATGAGGGCTGAGGCCCAAGTACACGTTTTAGTACAGGTGTAATACAAGAGAATAATGTCGTACTGGAAGCAGGCACTATCTCCCCAACTTCATTAGGTAGGTATAGAAAGTCTGAACTTTCCAGCGTAGTGTGAAGCTTTCTGAGAATGACATATTCGAGTCCTAAAAGATCATGTGGTGGATAAGTAACGCGATGCAAATGGATATAGAATGATGAAGTCGAAAGGTAGGATTAGATGAAATGAACACCCAAATGAAAAACCAACCCAGCAATGACAATCTTTGCACGTCACCAAACTATCAGGTTGCACAAACATGTAAGTCAAAAAATAAATTCGGACAGCACTGCCAACTTGATACTAGAGTAAATCAGGACTTCAATGATGCAGAACTAGGGTAATGAATTCCCAGGACTCTTGTCCAGGAACTGGTGGACAATTTCTGACCGCATTTACTGCTGAAAACTATCAGTCTATCATCGTCTACCTGTCTGTCAACCGGTGACTGACTGAACTTCCCAAAGACTATGATGTGTATGTAAGAGCTGCAACGATTTATGGAGTAGTCAGAGACTGTAGGATCCACTCTCAAGCGGACCGGATCCCAATGCGGGGCTGTCATCATCCACTGCATTTCACTTTACCGGAAATATAATGTAAAAATTGATCTTCCTAACAAAAAAAAATCCAAGGCCGGATGGTGTAGTTGGTTATCACATTCCCTTTACAATACGCCTCTCGCAGACGTATCTGAAATCGGGAAAGGTCCTGGGATCGTGCCCCAGTCTGGTCATTTAACATTTTTGCTTTTCGTGGCATGTAATGAAGGGGGAATCTTTTCTTTCTTCGCTTATGAACAAGATTTTTTTTGTGTGACCCGTGCCCACCACCAAGAACTATTTTTACTAGGTACTTTGAGTAGGCCAACAATAATCAAAGTCCCACGCCGTACACAAACCCAACAATTGGTATAATCATCACCTCATCGATATTCATCAAAATTACTCACTGCTTTCTCAAGCTAGTCGGCAATCACAAAAACCCCCGCACGCATTTTCCAGTTTCCGTCGCGGATTTTCCCCTTCTGAGCTGCGTAATACCAGGGTCCCAAGTCACAATCGCGCGCCACTAGGAAATGGGTACATACGGGGCCTAGCGGAGAACAATATGTGCGCTGACGTGCATAAGCCCACTTATCGGGTAATAGACGCTCAGTCACATTCTATATCCGTTAGGTCTCGAATTTCTTTAAACATTCATGTAAATACAATTCAGCGTGTATCGGGAAGGTCAATAAAGTACCGAGACTCGAAGTGGTTAGGCTAGCGAATAGAATGATGGGGCACAGAATTTCTTTAGAGTTTGCAGGGCTGACAAAAAAAAAATTTCGAATAGGAATAGCGGATGTAGACTAGCTTTTGTGATACAATTTCAACTATCTAAAAGCTCCCTTGTCACTTTGATTATACTTGCATGCCTATTCTTATATGTTAGACCAACGAATGCTAGTAGCCGGTAAGCTGTTCCGATGATGAGTAGCATGCTATGGAATTTTAGCCTGGGTTAAGATGTAAAACAAGCTTGTATAACTTTCCTCAAATCGAGCCGAGGTCGGTTACTCGTATATCCAGTCCATATAGCAGTGGAATTACTATCGGAAAGATACTTCAGTGAGATGGTACGATAATGAAAAGCTTCTGGAAGCCATGTCTTGCTCAAGATTAGTGAAAGCTTAAGCTAATGAAGTATATATCATCCCAGGACACAGTCTCTATAACCATTCGAGATGCCATTGTTTAATCGTGGACAGAGGAGGACCATAATCACCGAAACCCCAGGAATCAAACTAACAATCATTGCCATTAGAGGCTTATCCATCGACTTGTAGTTACGGAAGCACATGAGGCAAGGGCATAAATACCCGAATGATTAGCCATTACGCATGCTGTAGAATCCTCGGAAGTACGATCAGTAGAAGGGAAGAGTATCAACGGCTAGCAAGATTCCAAATGGTATTCTCGGTATTGCCAAAGCACTGTAAAATGATGTGAAGTGTAAAGCAGATAATGCTAGCCGAAATATGGTTGACAAAGTCTTCCAAATAAAGTATGCTACGCTTCCGTTGTAGATTCCATCGACCAACCAGGGCCGGTATGGTCATGTGCGATTCTTGAAACCAGGTTCAGTATATATTTCGCTTTGTCCCGATATGATATCCATAAATACATCTGCCGGATTACATTGCTTGGGTACAGAAAACCCCTCATTCTCAAGAAAAACAGATTGAATCTGCTGCTTTTGCAAAGTATGTTTCTTGTCTATTCGTAGGAGTAAAAGTTCATCTAAAGACTGAAAAATTTCTAGACGAGGTTGATGTAAAATATATACAACAGTAATACCAAGCCTTTAGTAGGCCAATGATAGACAAGGCGGATGTGGCGTCCATTCCAGATGTAAGTTCATCGAGTATGGGGGCTAACGGTGCTGCGGCAAGTTTGATTCCGATATTTACATGCTTTCGCCGACCCCCTGATATTGCAGATTTGAATGGATCATCCACAAGGGTATTTTGAATACGGATAAGTGCAAGACGACTTTCAATTTCAGTCTCTGTCCATATTCAAGACAGGCGTATCCTCGCAAAATGAAGAATGTTCTCCCAGACTGCAAGTCCAGATACCACAACATCATCTTGGGGAACATAGTCAATGATCTTCGAACCTAGCCTGATCAGCACCGAAGTTCAGAGTACTGTATAAAGCACATATTCTCCAATATACTCGTAGCGTCGCCATTCACATAAGTTGTGTCCGAGGTGTTTTTGATTTTCTCCACCTTAGTCGAATAAAAGAGCCAGAAAAATGTCGATGATGATCACTAGGAATTCCAAGGAATGGAGATTGTCGCGAACTGACTTGATGAGATGAAGATAGCACATCGCATTGAATGGGCTTGAAAGATCCAAGAGGACGGTAGTTACCCAGAGGGCATATAATCTGCTCTCGGCCCCCAGCAAGGCAGTCATATCCTGGCTTGCATATCATCGATATGTAAGGATCTTGAATCTGCTGGCAAGTATTCCACAAAGTTTCCAGACGTGTAATCTCACATTCTGGCGTTGGAGGACAGTACCGAGGTGGAATCTGATCCATATTATTGGGACCTGCGTAGCTAAAGAGAAAACAGTTTTCAAGCATACAGAGACTTACAAAAGAAGCCAAGACTGGAGGAATTGGTATTGCTCAAAGCAACCGGTGTAACTCCAGTAAGATACGTATTATTTATATCCAAAGAAGCCATCATGGACTCTAAAAACGTATGCGTGATGTGGAATTTGATTGAAGCCATGGCTAGACTAGTCTCGGGTCTCAGGTCTGGGACCAAAGGCCAATACCATAGCTCGTAAATTGAGGAATGAGCAGCAATGATGACGAGTATACAGGTATATAGACTTGGAGCTAAAGCACGGAGTACAGGAACGAATATGGTAATCAGACTCGTAGGATTCGAAATTTCGGGCTGACCAGCACGGAATACTACCCTCTTCTTACCGTAAATTAATCCAAACCCCCATGCCAATGGCGTTAAAAGTAGCATTGTGACAGGGCTTGTCGCCAGCGCTTACATGTACTTGGCTCAAATATGAGGTTCTTAACAACGTCTTGCCCAAGTATTGCGGGACCAAATTATAAATGTACATAATGTCTTAATATTGCCAAAGAAATCAGATTTTATTCAGAAGCAGAAGCCGACCGAGAAAAAATGGCCGCTCCCCAAGAAAAACATATTCATGACATCAATGGATCTTGGTCACTTGTAAGTTGCCGACGATTTAAACACTCACTTCAAAAGTAGCGCGTTTGTGCTGACTAAGTATTTCTTGGCCCTTTCTAGAACAAACGCCTCTCGGACTCACTTAAACATGTCCTCCGACTCCAGAATGTGAATTGGCTTCTACGGCGCGCGATATCTTTTGCAGATGTAACTATACACGCAACTCAATCAAAAGATGAAAATGGGCTGGTTACCATCATGATGGATCATGTTGCGGGCGTGGGACTCGCGCTCACGACCGAGATTAGAAGGTTAAATTGGGATACGCGAGAACATAAAGATTGTATATGGGGCAACATACGGACACGAAGCAGATATATTCCCACCGCAAATATAGAAGAAGGAGAGAAGTTCCTGAAATCGGGATGGCTAGAGGAGACGGTATCGGGTGATTGCATACAAGATAAAACTGAATCCTCGACTGGTTCTTGGTCAAGTGTTACAGTAATTCTCCTCATTTCCCTGCTTAGTAAGGGGAATCATGACTGACTTGACATATCATAGGTATGGGGGTTTGAACAGATCAAAGGCGAGCGAAGATTGTCAAGGCACATTCTTGTTCGAAAGGGATACGAGATTGCAACGGCTAGACTGGTCTATGACTATATAGGCCCTATACACCACGTGTAGTAGATCCTAAGATGGATATAGCACTGATGAATTTACGGTACTGGAAGTCTCGGGCAATCCTTCACGGTGCTCACGGCGTATATTCTCGGAAAGGATACGAGAAAAAAGGTGCAGCCGGAACTGTCATCAAGGTTTCGATTTCCGACATCAATACGATGATATTGTTCGTCATCGGAAGCAGAGTGTTGGGCTCCTTGGATGATCAAAAAGATTCCGTTTTATGTAAAATAGCATAGTAAATTTTTAATGATTCACACTATTGTGACCCTATCTATTGTTGTCAGACGCCAGTGCAATCTCAAATAATGTGACTCGCACAACCACCAAAAAGTGACGTCTAATCTTACCTATGCAGCTTATAGATGTCAGCATCCCATTGCGACATACAGGATTCTACGCCGCTAAGCAGGGATTCAAAACCTTGTACTTTAAAGTTCGCAAAACGCCAGGGGAAAGCCCGTTTTCTGACAAAATATCATGTGTAGCTTTTCTGCCCTTCACTAGGAGCAATCTTCATTGGGTACTGGTTATACCCTCATTTGCCTCACTCACTCGGTCAAGTCTTATCACGAATCCAAAATCAAATACATTACTGCATCAGTTGACCACTTAAGATTCTAGAATTATGGCACAATGCAAGTAGAGAAGATACAAAAGACGACCATTGCTTTATAGTAAACTTGGATAACCTATTATTAAGGTGATAAATTACAAGTCTACATGCACTTTGCACTCGCGTGCTTATCAATATCTAAAGCCGTACACCAAAACCATACAAAAGTTCCATCCGCCTCTGAAGAAGAAGCCTTTTAGATCCTTTGCACACGCCTCATCTTCTAATACACCAGAGCCCCAAATGAAACGAATAATTTACCTAATTACTAACATTGCCACTCTCCAAATCCCCATCCTTCTCAGAGAACTCAACATGAGCCTTCGTCCCCTTCCTAGTAATATGCGTACTCTGCGCCTTCAAAATCTCCATAATCGCCATTCCGGGGTCCTCATCATCGGCGTTGCTTCTCACATCGATTGTCTTTCTGGCCTGGACCCTGAAATAAACCCTCTTGGCCCACTTCCAAGACTCTATTCCTACAAAGAACAAGAATGACTCGACAAATACAATTCCCCATTCCCAACTGATACCCTCATGTTTAAATACCTTTCGGTTGATCACAGGGATATAAAGTGTGGGGAATACAGTTACGAATCCAGCAACAACAGCCCAGAACAAAAGTTTGTTTGCCCAGATATCGTGGATCCATTGAGTGAAGTACTTTTTGCTTCCAGGTTGCATGCGGAAGAAAGATCTTCGCATATTGATCATTTCCCAAGCGAGGAAGAGAGAGAACCAGGTTAAGCAGACGAATGTAGTTGCTCGAGCTCGGAAAACGGTATCGCATTGATCGGAATAACGATCGTTGCAGTCGAAGCCGAGATCACCGTTGCCCCAACCGAAGAGAACGAGGGAGAAAGCGGAGAGACAGAGAGCTGCCATCCAGAGGCCGTAGACCACCATGTCTATCATTATTTCTAAAGTGAATATACCGTTCTGAGGTGGTCGATTCATGATATCCGGTGCGGCGGCCTCGAAACCAAGACCCATATCTGGCATACCTGAGTTTTATTGTGTTAGTAAACGACTCTTGATATGATTTTGGCGAGATCTTACCTGATGTGATCATGATAACCCATAGAATCTCTACAGGTGCCAGTGGAAACACTGAAGTTCCCATATTATCCTTGAACGCGAGACCAATGAGAAGTGTGCAAGCTTGAGCAATGTTCTGCGCCAGCAAATGTAATACGAATTTTTGAATGTTGTCAAACATTCTTCTCCCTTCTTCAACAGCATTAAGGATTGAAGCAAAATTGTCGTCCGTAAGGATAATATCCGATGCATCCTTAGCTACATCCGACCCTGCTTCACCCATGGCAATACCAACATCTGCTCTCTTCAGTGAGGGAGAATCGTTGACACCATCACCTGTCATAGCAGCAAATTTTCCTTTTCTGTGAAGAGCTTCGATCATCCTAACTTTTGTCTGTGGTGAGCAGCGTGCTATTACCAGAGGTAGCATTGGGAGAGCATCAATTTCTCCATCGCTGAGCCTGTCGAAGTCGCTTGCTTTCATAACCATCGCGTTCATGACAGCTTGCCCTATCGTAGAAGAATCCTGAGGTAAGATTCCTACCTGTCCTGCGATAGCACGAGCTGTTTCTGGATGATCGCCAGTGAGCATATGAACCTTGATACCAGCCTGGTGGCATTTTTGCACCGACTCCAACGACTCTACTCGCGGAGGGTCATAAATTCCAATCAGTCCATGAAACATTAAATCTTTCTCTACATCTGCGCGATCATGCTTAGCATTGATTCCGGTATAATGTTCCCATGGTTTACCAGCCAAAGCTAAAACGCGGAGCCCATCGGCGGCAATAGCTTCCATGTTGTTGAGAATATCCTCGCGCATTCCTTCGTCCATTTCTACAACTTCTCCGTCTCGCATTGTCATTTGTGAACATGATGAAAGAATCCGCTCGACTGCGCCCTTTGTGAAAACCTGTGCGCTATCAGATCGTTCATGTTTGAAAATAACAGACATTTTCTTGACATCAGAATCGAAAGGGAATTCGGCGATTTGTTTCCATTGAGGCGCGTCTCCAGAAGTCCATCGTTCCCTATTCCAGTTGAATCTAGAAGCAAGACTTGAATTGCGATCTCCGTCGGGTCACCTCTTGCTTTCCACTCGTTATCAATTTTATGAATATGCGCAAGATTTGCCATTGAGGCAATATTAAGGAAAGCTTGAAGATCGGCGTTGTTTTGTAGAAGATTTGAGAAGGAATCCGATTTTGCTTCATCCTTTTCATTGCGCGCTTGATGTGGAGACTTTTCGCTGTGAAATAAACCTCCATCTTCGGGGTCGAATGCTTCACCGGAATCACCAACCGAGTAAGTTCCCCTAGCGGGCAGCCATACCTTTTTCGTTATCATCTTGCCTTGAGTAAGAGTTCCAGTTTTATCCGAGCAAATATCTGCAAAAGTCAATTATCGAGCATTTTTACGAGAAAAGAAAGAGTCTTACCAGTAACGGCGCCTAGGGCTTCCAGGGCATTCATTTTGCGAACAACTACATGTTTGTTGTACATTACGTTAGCTCCTGCGGCCATAGTGATAGTTAAGACTACTACCAGAGAAGCCGGAATCATCGAAAGTCCTGTGGCTACAGCGTAAATGATGACTTCTTGGTTATTGGAAAATCCATTCGCAGCTAACACGATAATTGCACAGATAACGGCGACGACGAATAGGCCACAAGCAAGTTGGGCCAGCTTCCTTTGCAATGGGGTACCAATATTTGTGCCAAGAAAATTGCCAATATAATCAAACACGGTAAGAAGCCCAGCCTGGGCATATCTGTGCGGCAAAGCTTTGCCATCCTCATTACGTTTGACCTCGCGGACTTTACGCCTCTGCTGTCGAAGACTCACGGCAATCGATCCAACTTGTGATTTCATACCCACTGCAAATATGATGCCGCGTGCTCGACCTTTGGTGACAGTGGTAGAGCTGAAAGCAACATTAAGACGATCACCCGCGCTGGCATTCTCAGGAAAAACTGCATCAGAATTCTTTTCGATGGGTAGCGATTCTCCTGTCAATATCATCTCATCGGTCTCAAAGTTCATACTTTCAACTAATCTACATACGGTCTGTTAGCATAGACTAAGGACGAAGGGGTTGTTCTGGGCAAGTACCTCATATCTCCTGGAATTGTGTCACCGGTTTTGACCTCAACCATGTCGCCAATAGTAATTGTGACGGTAGCTACCGATCGAATTCCCCCTTCTCTAACAGCATGTGCCGTAGGCGAACTCAAGGATCGTAAAGAATCCATAGTCTTTTCTGCCTTGAACTCATTGTAAAAGCCAATCACAATATTGAGAAATATGACTGCCGAGATGACACCACCTTCAATATATGAGCCGATACCGAAACTCACGGCCATGGCCAATATTAGGACCTGTAACAAACCTGGGTGAGTAAGGGAAACTTGACTGTATGGATAGGAGTAAACAAACCAAGATCATTGCATTGCAAATTTGATGAATAAGAATCTGTACTGGTTGAACACCAGGTCCCTCATCAAGTTCATTATTCCCATACAGTTCAAGACGTCTTGCTGCTTCAGCTTCTGTGAGTCCATCCTCAAGGTTTGCTTCCAATTCATGTGCAACCTGCACGTACTCTAAGGCATGAGCTGGCTTAGACAAAGGTTTGTTGACTGTCCTGAGACTTCTTCGACGATGTTAGCTCTAGCCATGTCTTATTATATGATGGAGTAATGATAGGATGTGTCGGAATGAATATGAGATCATCAGGGCGAAATTGACCTGAATAATATAAGAATATCGTTAGAAGGACGTGGTAATATGTCTATCGAGAAAAATAACTTTCACATTTGGGGAGACATGTTCTTCATATATAGTAAAAATGTATCACAATTGGCAAGGATACCAATCCATACTTATCTATAGACTACAGTGACCAAGAGGCTAGATCTTGGTAGCACAAGGTTAATTCTATAGGGCCTATATAAGTGTACCCCGCGAGTTTGAATGGAATGCCATCATTGAAATCGGTATATCCTTATCAAATGGCACCAAACTAAGAAACAAATGGCTCCGCCACTAGAGCGTCGACGAAATGTTCTATGTCTTGGAGCCAAGCAAAAGTAGAAAGGCCAAGATGGCCAGAGTAAAGAACAAGCCGCAGTCCATTGCCATTCACTTGATAGACAATAGAAATCAGCCGAGAAAACGATACCAAGACTCTGTGTTTGAACATAACCCTACACAAAATCGAGATTCGATGCGGCACTTCAAGTTGTTGATGAGTTGTAGTATTCGAGGTTGAAATAAAGTTCAACGATCTTGCAGGCGTCGCTTATTGCTGACTAATACCAGCAAGTCAAGCCTACTAAAAACTGCCTAGAACATGTTGCGATAGCACCATATCTTGGACTTACTTGGCCTACCAATTTAGTGGTCAATGTCGGAGAGAAGTTTCCAATCTATGACATATTAGCACGTAGAACCAATCGGGATCTTCAAAAACGCCACATGGTCTGCAGAATACCCAGAGCATGACTCTTGGCTCTCCTAACATCAACACACACTATAACGTGATCGGTCGCGTGACCTACTAAACTACATCGGCGTCATGGTTAATAGAGTTCAATGCCTAGAGAGGAACTAGATAACGCGAGGCAGAAATATTATCCGACAACCGGTCCTGTTCATACAATCCATCAACTTCCTATCGGACCCCTCCTCCTTTTTCGGAATTCCTTCCCTAGAGCCTAGTACTGGTATCCCACACATCTTTTCTCCATCTCCCCGCTTTCTTCCCCAGAATACTACTACCCCATCTTCCTTTACCTACCATGACTTCACCAAAGTGTTCTAAAAGCCCGGACCCCAGAGAAGTAGAAGAAAACAGCGTTGCCACGACACTTGTGCTGGCATTGCCCAACCAAACTTCGTAGAATTCCAAGATTCTGACTTCTCAAGACAGTAGTAAAGTTACTATTACCATTAAGTTCCTCATGCTACCTCAGTTCTGCTGAGATCATCTGATGGCATAATTCCAACGATCTTCGAGACTTATGGACGAAACTTCTCGAAGATTCGACTATGATTCTGCCTACTGCCTACTTTTGCCCTCCCTATCTGCTTAGCATTGGTTGAAGCGACAAATTGAATCTACCGACATCCTCAATCTCCTTAGACTTCTCGTTCTGGTGTTCTCCTATGCTGGCTATCAGCGCCAATCAATACCACATTGCCATTCGATCATTCACTTCAAGTAGCCAGATATTCAAAGTTCGCAATTGAAATATTCATAACCATCAATTCATGTCAATCCATCCTTCCCATGCACCCCTTGATTCATCCATTACTATCCTTCCTATATACAGACACTGATCTTTCACTAGTTACTTCCTCCCTTTTATCTATCCATTCCCTAGTCCCCCCCTTTCTTGCTTTCAAACATCCCCACATCCGAGTCTCTAACCAATATTCCCTCCCCATATTTTCATTCTTCAAGCAATTTCCAATTAGAAATTTTGAAAGCCAGGCTGAAACCAGAACCACGCAATTCAACGAAAACGAAAAGACTTTTGAATTGTTTCGCCTTTCCGCCCATGATGCATACCAGCAGGAAAAAAAGACGCCCAGATATCAACTATAAGATGCCATCATTTATGTAAAAAGTTGTTGTAAAAAGTAATTTTGTAAAGAGAAAAAGTTACACGAAGGAGAGAAACAGGGTATTTATCCATGTAAACCGCAAGTTCTCTCTTTTATCATCTTTCTTCTTTCTTTGTCTTTCACTATTGATATTGTTAGTACAGGCTCAATTTATAGCAAGATCAGTGGGGAATCAGGATAAAATATGGAGTACAAACCTGGATCGTAGACTAAGAAGTCATGTAGAGCATTTCCGGCTGGTACCATTGGCAAGACGGGTACCTTCTTATCGGTAACAACCTCCAAGAGTGCTGGTCCATCACTGTCAATCAACCATTTCAAAGAATCTCTTACGTCATCTGGCTTAACACATCTTCTGTGTTGAACACCCATTGCATCTGCCAATTTCATGAAATCTGGGTTGACACTGTGAGTATGAGCGTATCTATCCTGGTAGAAGATGTTTTGCCATTGAGTAACCATTCCCTGCTCTTCGTTGTTAAGGACAATAACCTTGACGCCGATGTTGAATTGAGCTGCAGTGGAGAGTTCAGTAAGTGTCATGTTGAACGATGCATCTCCATCAATATCGATGACAAGAGCATCAGGTTTGGCAACCTTTGCACCGATAGCTGCTGGAAGTCCGTAACCCATGGTACCGAGACCACCAGATGTGATCATGGTTCTTGGATATCTCCATCTGAAATGTTGTGCAGTCCACATTTGATGTTGACCAACACCAGTAGCGATGATGGTCTCTTGCTTTCTATCGGCAGTCAGATTTGAGAGTTCCTCGATCAAAGTTTGTGGCTTGATGAGACCATCTCGTTCGGCCTTTTCGTAGTGAGAGAGAGGGAACTTCTCCTTCCAGAATCTAATTTGGTCAAACCATTCTTTGCGTTCATCCATGGTCTTCTTGTTGACGGCTGGAAGAAGTTGAGCAAGGTTGGTAACAACATCACCTTCAACAGCCTCGGTAGCCTGGACAACCTTGTTGATGTTCTTTGGCATAATTTCAAAGTGAACAATGCCACCACGACCTTCAGCTGCTGCCGCCTTTGCTGCTGGAGCAAACTTTGGAATGCTTCCAGTTACACGATCATCGAAACGTGCTCCAAGAGCAATAATAAGATCGGCTTCTTGCATGGAGAGGTTAGCGTACGCAGAACCGTGCATACCAAGCATGTGTAAAGACTTCTCATCAAGCTCGTCAAATCCACCAAGACCTTGGAGAGTGGTTGTGACAGGGATGGATGCCTTTTCAGCAAGCTCCTTGAGCAATTTGGGACCCTCTGGGGTAGAGATAACACCTTGACCAGCGTAAATGATTGGCTTTTTGGCGATGTTGATCAATTTTGCAACACGTTCAATTGAACCTGCAAGTTGTTTCTTTTGAACAGCCTGGGCCGCTCTTGAGGCTTGACTGGGTAAAGATGGCATAATGTGGTGGGTAGGAATGGCCTTTCGTAGAATACCAGCTGTGACATCCTTTGGTAAATCTACCAAAACTGGTCCAGGTCTTCCAGAAGTAGCGATTTCGAAAGCCTCCTTGATTCTTCTTGGGAGCTCAGCAATATTCTTAACCATAACATTCCATTTTGTGCAAGCTCTCGAGATACCAACGATATCGGCCTCTTGGAAAGCATCACTTCCAATAGCGGTTGTAACGACTTGTCCGGTGAAAACAACCATTGGTGTTCCATCAGATAAAGCGTCCTGCATTGGAGTAATAACGTTGGTAGCACCAGGTCCAGATGTAACGAGAACAACACCAGGTTTACCACAAGCTCTGGCATACCCTTCCGCCATATGACCAGCACCTTGTTCATGTTTTGGTAAGATAAATTCGAAATGTTTCGAATTATAAATCGCATCGAAAACTGGTAAAATCGCTCCTCCTGCATAACCAACTATTTCTCTATTAGCTTGAATCCTTGACAAGTTGGAGAAAAAAAAAATACTCACAGATGTGTTTGACATCTTGCCGTAACATCATTTCATGGAAAATCTCTCCACCGGTCATACCGATAAATCTATGCCAGAATTAGGAACTTCTTGTGTCACCTCGCTGAAAATGGGTATAACATACGACTCATCCATCTCCGAGTATTTTTGTCCCTGTCCGGCCAATTCCTTGCCTGAATCTTTTTTCGAAGGTGTAGTATTGAATGCTGGACTTGGACTTTCCCTAACTTGACTATATTCACATGTCAGTCCACTGTCTTGCATCCCAAAGTGACTCACCCCCAATTTCAGGATTGAGAGAGAAATTCAAACCCGCCGAAAATATCCATAGATGGAAATTAAAGAGAGTCATACTTAGCAGCTTGAGGAGCAACAGTAGCTTGTGCTCTTGTCCCCTTCTTCTCAACCATAATACCACCCGCCGCCTTCACACGATTCGACAAACCCCTTGCACCAGCGACATCCATCCATTTTGCATTGCTACCAATTGTGCGAATAGCACGCCTGGCGGGTATTGAACGAAACATCTTGACTTCTGTTCAATTTCAGGGCGGAGTTTCTGTAGATATGTTCCGATATCGAACCTCAAGAGGCAAACGAATAAAGAGAAGAAGTGAAAGTAATTACAATGGCTCAACTAAATCCGGAAGAAGAAATTGAGTAATTTCTCAATTGAATCTTGCTCAGAGGAAGAGAGGTAATTGTCGCAAAAAAACTCTATGAGGAAAAAAGAGTTTGTAGGAAAGTTGAGAAAATATGACTTTAGAGTTGTGATTCATACCCTCCAACAATATTTCCTGGAACCCTCAGTCCGCCCTTTTCCTAATTTTCTAGCGGTATCGGGGGCAAAATGTGGGGTAGCGAGTGGAAAGATCTTCTTAGTCTTTTGGTCAATCTGATTGGTTGGGGAAGTGAAGAGTGCATAAATTGTGCATAAAGAGGCACTCCAATCAACAATCATCTTTTACTGTTTTATGATTTTTTATGACTTTCCATGTTCTAGATTGGGTGGATAAATCCAAGTGATGAGGTCAATGCATCTAAAATGAGAGTCTACCTACGACCTACATGTGGATATCGCAACAGGTAGGTAGGTATTCTTGTCAACTGGGTTTGCTTTGCTTTATAGGAGTGAGAAGTAATGAAATGTGTGAATTAGATATTGAAAGTCTGCATTCACTTCCAATTTCATCCCGTAAAATCAATAAGGATACCAGACCTCAATCACAACTTAAAGTCCCCGTTGACTTTCTCCCATCCTCTTACTACTCCCTCATTCTCCCCAATATCCACCATCCCAGCAACCTTCTCAGCCAACGCAACCTTCAACGTTCTTGATCTCTCTGTGCATAACTCATAGATAGTACTCAGGTTGAATGTTAAAGCGTGGAAAGAATTGTCTTCTGCAATTAGTGATTCGAGAATGGTTCTTGCCTGTTGGTTGAATTGTGAGTATGTGTGATGTAGCGGGCTCCATAGTGGAAGAAGTGATAGTCGTAGCAGGAAAAAGATATTGGAGGGAGGAAATGATACATACCTCATCGCCACGACCCAAGTACAATAATGTTACACCAAGGTTTTGCCTCCACATAGCCTTTTCTCCTTTTCCAGCCATCGTTTCCTCGTTGGCAATGAGTTCTTCCCAAATGACAACTGCTTCCTCATACTTCCCTTCAGCAACAAAAGCAAGAGCTCTGATTGTTCCATCTATTTCACTCGCCTTGAATTCTCCCCCATTCGGCTTTCTCAGACACTCCCTTGCAGCATCAATGTCCCCCAAACACAACCACAGTAATGCTTTCTTAGCCCTCAATTCCTCATCGCCCTCTTCATTAACCTTCAAAGTCTTCAAATGCATCCCCGCTCCCACTAAATCTTCCATCTCAATCAGCGCACTAGCAACTCTGATACCCAAATCCGCCAATCTGCTTTCCCATAACTCGATCTCGCCATCTAAGGCATCACCTGCTGCCTTACGCTTCTTTAATTTTGTCAACATACTTCTAGCATCTCTAGCTAGGTCATAGTACCCCATAACACCTCTTCTCGCATCCCCTAATCCCATGCCTTGCAATCGAACTGCCAAAACCCTCAGCTCCCATCCTACCATATGAGTATCCGTTTCATCATCTCGATAGTAAGCAGCATTAAGGTCTTCGAGAGCTTTAACTTCTTGAGCCGCAAGTTGTGTCTGGTTACAGAGCGTAAGACATGCTAGACGAATATAGAAGAGGTTGAAAATCTCATCATGTGATGAAGGTCCAGGAGTAGATGTTAATAGCGTAGCACTCAGAATAGCCGCAGCTCGAAAATAGCCCGCTGCCAGGAGTGACGAAAGAGTATTGATATCAGGGTTAGGGGGGAGTGATGAAGCTGGGGAAGAACGAAATGGTGGTGGGATTTCAAGAACGGGTAGAGGATGATAGATTTCTGGACGTAAGAGATATGTGAAGTCTTTCTGAAGTGTTGAGACTGTTGACTGAAATGATGTATTTTGTGATGGCGAGAGCGATGTGGGAGCTGTCATGAAAGTGTTGATCGATAAATTCGAACCGGGACTCGGTGACGGAAGCCTAGGTGTTCGGCTTCTTGGCGCCGGGCCGCCTGGTGAAAGTGTTCGTGTTTGTGTGGCATTGATGTAATTTGTAGGCGACAAGGGACTATTCAGAGGTGAACTGTCTGAACTTAGTACTTGTTCTTACACATGGGAGTGATACGCACTCGTTGATATCTAACGGGCCTCTTGTCGGTCGTCTGGGTAAAGCTGTTATGCGATCAGTCAAGTGCTGCTTGTTTCGATCCATTATTGAGTTGTTGTTCCAAGGATAGAAATTAAATATCGAAGGTGTTGAATTACAGACACAGATAACATCTAAACAAGGCACCTTTCATGGGAAGCCACGTGCCAAGGTGCCTCTACCGTATTCATGAAAGTCGCGCACTCGTGTGGCTTCCAAGATAACCAAAGATAGAAACGCGGTTCTCCGACTATCTCTGGATTCTTCTAGGTATAACAACATCATTTCATCCGAACTAATGACTGTAACTCTCGGAAGGTCCTCATGGTGGTGGAGGATGTTGCTTCAGACGCTGGCCCGTTGCATTGCGACAAAGAAGAAATCTTACCTCTCCCCGAAGAAGCTTGCCTAACATGTTTTTTCCCTCCCGACCCGGCTGATGAAGTACCTTCCATTTTGCGATCTGCTTTGATGATATCAGATATGAGGGACGATGAGCGAATCAATCAACGTTCTAGGTTTATGCATTTCAATTGAGGTATGCAACCGTGCACATAGTTTTAAAGCCATTTTGCCCCTCTTTTTTCTATCACCGACTTTATAAAAGGACCTCATCATCTCCCTTATTGTATTGCTATGGAATTTTTATGATTCGTTTATCAAATTAACTTACTCTGTACAGAGTGTTTTTCATTTCATTTTTCTACTTCTCTAGAGGCATTGTTGCTACAACACGATCTTCCGGAAAGCTCCTCCCCTGTTACATTACCTCCGGAATCGTTATATATACCAATGAGTATTGGACAAGAATTTGTGCCACTTCACGCAAAATCATTTTGATTTTATTGATTATCCTTCGTATTTTTCAATAGGTACTGATACAATATATGCACCCATTTGGCATTTCATTTTGGTCACTACAGCTTCTTATATTACACATGGTGAGGACTATTCGCAGAACCGCTCCTGAGAACTATCTATGTACCACGGGAAACAGGAATAGACCATCCTATTTGACGACATAGAAAGATCACAATCTCTTGCGGAAGTGCTATTTACTATCAAGTATCATGATATAATCATGCAAACCAAACCATCGTTCCAAATACTACGTATCCACAGCGTTGAAGAGAATAGCAGCTTAGCTATGTAATGGAACACATCTAGGGCGACTAACTCCTATACGTCAAATTTCAAATCACTACCTACCTACCTAAAGATAGGTAAACCAGATCAATAAATAGATATAAACACACGATCCCTTCCCCATCATCTTCCAAACTCCTACACATCAACAACCCCAAGCTACTGGATCTATGTACCTACCTACCTAGTAGGTAGAGTAGATATACACCATACACTTCGCTTCGCCGCATTGTCACCAGTAGCTCTCTTCCCAAATACCTATCTACAGATCGACATCTGATAATAACCAAGCATTCTGAATGTATGTTTGGGATACCCATTTCTATTGATCAGACTGGATAACTCTCAAGAGTCACCCTGCTGGAATCTGTCTGGCTAGTTTGGGGATCACTTTAGGATAGATTCCTTCGATAGTCATCTATCTAATAAATAGATATACAAAGCGTTAGGTAGAAAGTAAACACTCATCTCACTCTCCATTTTGTATAAATTATATTCGAACAAACACCTCCCTCCTCATCAAGATATTCGGGTATGAAGTTATCTGTCTCAAAATATTAACATATAGACTATAGCAGACAATGTATAAAAAATTCATTTTCGGTTTCAAATCCATCCATAAAATGACTCTCAGGCTTATTCACAATTCTACGATTTCATTCCCGTGAGACTCATTTCATCTAGTACATAATATCCGTCGAAAATAGGATCTATAATAAAAATGGGAATAAATTCTATAAAGGGTATTGGTACCGCAAGGCTTTTTATCATCTCTAATAGTTAACTTCCACCTAAGCAACATTTCCACCTTCAACAACAAATACCGCACTTCCGCTACCAGGTTTGCTAACCACGATTGCCGCTTCCCTCTGCTCCTTGGACAAGTCCTTTTTTGAGTAATACTCCTTCTCCCAAGCCTCTTTAACCGCATCAACCTTATTCGCAGGTACCAAATGTACACTGCATCCGCCCCATCCGGCACCAGTCAATCTACTTCCATAGCTGCCTGCTTTCTTTGCTATTTCACAAAGTTCGTCTAGTTCGGGACAACTGCAGTCAAAGTCTTCTCTGCAGCTGGTTTGGGTTTCGTTCATTAGGTCACCCAGCTTTCGGTTGAAAGTTTCAGTGGAATCACCACCATCGGCATTGAGATAGGATTCGGGATGTTCGAGAACTTTCATAAACTTTAGAACTCGAAGGGCCTCGGTGAAAACGTGAAGGGTTCTTTGGCGAAGCTTAAAATGTTCAGCGCGGACGGGGAATGTGGAAGTGAAGCGCTCGTTAAACTCAGGGACTGTCATGTTAATGACGGATGCAATTTCTTCTCTAGTATATCCCTCTTCTTTTGTGAATGTTTTCTTTGTGAGTTCAATAAGTTCCGAAAGTTGTTCTTCGAGCGGTGCAGTGGAATCTCCAAGATATTTGCTATGGAATCCGTGAAGCGAGACACCCAATGGTCCAGAGTCGGAAGGAAGGGGATCTTTAGATTTGTTGATAGCTGCGTGAAGATAGGCCGCGGCAAGACTGCATTCTACAACTCTCAAGTTGTAGCATACTGGACCAGTGACATGCTTATCAGCTGCAACAAACGATTGTGCAATAACGAATGTGAGTTCGGGGTTTGTTTTGGGGAAGTGGACGGGCTTTGCAGTCAAGGTTGGATTGAAAGAGACATATAATGCTGAGCCACGAATGGAGAAGACTGATGCAGATTGATCCATTCCGCCCGAGTTGACACCTACTGCTCTTTCACTGACAATTGCCAATTCTGTGAGTTGCGTCTTGTCAACAGATTGCTCGCCATTAGCAAACATAACTGCAAGGGCAGAAGCTGTAGTGAAAGCAGCAGAACTACTCAATCCACCACCAGCAGGTACGGTTCCATCCATCAAAACTTCCATACTCTTGGGTTTGAAGCCGTCTCCATGTTTCTTTCTCAATAACTCTAAAGCACCCCGGAGTCCAGACTTCAAGTAATTTGTCCACTCATGTACCTTGGAATCGATCTCCACTGCATCGAATGGTATATCGAATTCATGTGCTGGGAACTTATCTGCCTGCACATTCGAAACTCGCACCTTGAATGTTGTACTAGTCGAAGCGGATTCATCGATTTGGGTGGAAACTGCGAGTAAGGCATCTGCAGTTATGGCCATAGGCAAGACAGAGTACAAAGAGTAATCAATGTGCTCGCCGATAATGTTGACACGTCCTGGAGATCGTGAAACGAACTGCGCATCGTGTCCATAATTGCTCTTGAATTGCTTGAGAAGATTGTCCCATCTCTTGGTTTGTGCAGTCAAGGCATCTTCGGTGTAGATGTCTTTGAGAGACTTTGCGACAGGTACAATGCCAGCCATTATGAACGAAAGTTATCGAGAAGTAAGGGGTGTGCGGGTAGGATGGCTGTCGGTATGAATTGCTGCGAATTTACGAGCTTGCGAGTCTGCGACTGTGTAGGTAGGAAATCTGCAAGGTCAAAGATAGATGCTCATACAGGAAAAAAAACCGAGATATAGAAAAGTAAGTCTTACAATCACAAACCATCTGTCGGATCAAGAGGGGCACGAGATCATAACATTCACCATCACATATCTAGTACCATTTAGGGCAATACCTAGGTACAAGAGGAAGGACCCCGCCAAATTCCCCGCTGTGCCCCGAAGCCTTCTCCGGATTATTGGTGCGCCTCGTTCCGTCGTCCACTATTCATTTAGAGACGGAAAAACTTACCAGATTCCACTCGTATATGTGAATAAAAGCAAGCTTTACAGTGGAACATCAATCTGAGTGAAATTATAACCTTACTTTCAGCCACACATTCGGCTGGAACCGAGGAGAAAGGTTTGATAGTTGAGTACATACTACCCGGGCAAAGATGTTGACTACTCGGTATGTTGAGTAGAGCGAGTGAAGAAAACATTTATATTGATGCGAGGTATTTATAAGGTTACGGTAACCGATGTAGTCCAACATGGCCAATCACATTCATATCTAATTGCCCTCCTGCCCAGGTGAATATGATGAGCTGACGAAGGGGCTTATAATTACCCGATTGTTCAAGAGAAATAATGTAAGTTGTTATATAATTTCAGTTTCCTTCATATAGTAGGTAAATTATATCAAAACCGCATATCCTTCATTAAACCCATTCCATCTCGAATCATCCCCATCCATCCCATCTTTCCCTCCTCAAATTCTCACTCACCCCACTCACCCCCACCACTCCATTTCTCATTTCTCATTTCTCATTTCCCAATCCCCCCCCCCGCCAGCCAAACCATCCGAATTCCCCAGACAAATCCGACCGTACTCTCCGAACCTCCCTGGCCTCCTTTCCCAATACTACACCCTCTCGTGATCTGGAGAAGAGAAACCTAACACGAAGCAATCAAAGACTAGGTATTCTATTCGATTACTGAATCTGTATCTATCCAATGCATTTCTTCGAATATGATCTAATCTTTTGATATTGGAAATGTATCTATCCGATCGCCAAGTCTGAGAATAGGTAGGTAGGTATTCGATCTTGATGCTCTGCTGTTCCCAAACCATCACTCCAGCCAACGCACCACCAATATGGCATCGCCACAATGGCCTTTTCAACCAAAATGAGCGATCCTCTTAGGAGCGGATAACTTCGGCATTTATAGATGTGCAACAAAAAACGCAAATATCATTCTATTTGGTCTTTAAGGTTGCTTTGCGTGGCGAATGGTTATTTTAGGGATTGCCTGGTTACCTCCCTTGTTGACGAGTATCTAAAGGACTCGCAGATTCTTTCTCGGATGGGAAATTCGAATGCAGTAAGTAATAACATTATTATATTTAGATCTATTTATGTTTTGATGAAAAGCTATGTATGTGAAATTTGAATTATGTTTTAGCTTTCGATCCCTGATTGCTAGGTATCCAAAAGATATCCTAAACTCCTTCTTGATCTGTGTATGTCCATGTTGGTGAAGTAATATTTACATATACATTATGATATCCTAAATCGTCGTTCGCATGATATACATTTTTCCTTGCAGAATTCCAATCGCAATTAACCTATCATCCAAACGCCTATCGACGCCTATTATATATGCCCGATTTTTGAGGGTATATCATGTAGTAAAAAATGGAAGCCCTGACTCCTACCTTTCCATCAAATTAATGTCTGGTTTCAGTTCCTCCTGCACTGTGGCTTTTTCTCGCTTGTCTCCAATTCAAAACCAGAACTTCATCTCCACCTCCTGTGAGTCCCTTTCTCAAATACACCTGTCGAACCACATGTGTATCGACCAAATAGCTATCCAGAAATTTCCAGCTAATTTTCTGTGCCTCGTTCAATTCTGGCCGTGTTGGTGACAGACTATGTTCAACATCGAGATTTTTGTCATCCCAAGTCACTTCTGTTCTCCTCAAGTCGACACTTCCATCAATAATTGTCAAGTTACTAAATCACTCTTTGCCCCTCGCTCCAACGACCCCCTTGGGATATTTCGCGATGCTGAACCCATTGGTAAGGACGATATCGTTATCAAATTGCCAACGCTGTAGGAAGCATCGTCACACACATCTGATACTAGATGCATCTTATCCATCTCATAGGGATATTTGGTCGCCGATCCTGCTTTCCAATGATGTAAAGATAATACCTTTCTTCCATTCTCATAAAATCCAGAATGATCTCCCATGAAATCGATTTGTGGAAAGTCCAGCTACTGTTGTAAGTTGAGCTTTAGAATATTGGTTATATGCCAGTCCATCACCAGCGTATCCCCGGAAGTAAATCGCATGTTATTTTTTACACTCCTCATGTTCTCATGGATGATCTTTGCCAGTGGCGTGGAGAGGAAAGACGCCAGCCCCCTCCAAATGCCATCAATCCTGTACATTCTCACCGCTGCCCAATTCTCGGACAGTCCGCCGATGTATTGAGGCTGCGTATGGTCGTGAAGGGCAAGCTCGTCTAGTAGCCCACGCATGGAAGGGAAGAATGTGTCGTCGTCCATAACCACAGTCCATTTTGTTTTCTTATTGCGAGCCTTGTACATCAGATCTATTAGGGAAAAATAACGTTGATTGAAAAAGTCCTCTTCCTTGACGGGTGGTAATTATAGTGATGTCCATGCCTGCTTTGCGATATTCTTTCTGAAGTCGAGCCATTTCAGATTTAGATGCTAATATCTCTTCGCTTTCTTTGACTATTGCGATCAAACGAGCTCCACTGTGGGCAACCATCGTGCTAGGTGCATCTTTGTGTCCCGAAGACGCCTTATTGTGGTCTGCAGACCAAATATCATGTGCGAAGCGTCGATTTTCTGAATTGGAGGATAAGGAACTTCAAGAGTGAGCGGGGGAACAATGGTCGACGGTTCTATCAATAGAAAGCTCTGCGCGCTCGAAGATCTCAGGGCTGTCGAACAAGGACGCTTTTATCACGGTGACGGACGGTCTTCTCCATGATTAGGTTTCGCGATAATATCTCGCTGGGCACCTTTCAAAGGGTATGATAAATTGTACCTTCCCAACCACTCAAAATTTTCTGTGACATACAATCAGATGGCGAATTGATTCCAGCTAAATCACCTGTCCAATCCTCCTCGGCCAATTTGTATCCAAACCCATCTCCAAGTATTGCTGGTGATCCAAAATATGATGTCACATTAAGTGTACTATGGCGGGCAAACAATGTTTATTGCGAGAAACGATTATCGAAGACACAGCCAAAAGGATAGCCAAGCGGACGGGTTTCCTGGATTTCATGGCTCGATTGACTGAGAATAGGTGCAGAGAGAGCAACGAAAAAAACCCCAGAGTGAAGGAAAACCAAAAATATCGATGAAAGAAAAGAGTGGGCAAGAAATAAATGAGAATCAAGTAAAAGCTAGGTAAAAGCTAAAAACTCCACTAAGGCGATTAAGTCGAGTACTCTATTTCTCGGACTACCCCTATTTTGGGCCACTCTTATTATCAAAAATTTCATAAAATGATATTTTTTATTTTTTTATTTATAAAGAGAATTTATTGAACTTTTATATAAATATAATTTAGATCGACTTAAACTTATTCTGAAAATTTTTAGATTTTAGGATTTTTTTTATATTGAAATCTAAAATTTCAAAATATCGATTTTTTATTTTATATAAGAATTATATATAAATTTAAACTTTTATAAAATCTTTAATAACTTTTTAATAATAATTATTAAAAGAAAACTATATATCTTTTTAAAAATTTTGAATTTTAAATTTATATAGAATTAATAAATATAAAGATATAATATATAATAAATTTAAAATAATATAAATAATTCTTATTATTTTAAGAATATTTTATTAAATATTTATTTATTAAGAAATTTTCTATTTTTTGAAATCTATTAAATTAATATAATATAAATTTATTAAAAAAAATTATAATTTATTTTTTAACAATTTTTATTAGAAATTATTAAGATTTTATATGTCACGGATTGGTTTATAAACTCTACTTAGTAGGTTTGATGTTGATCAAACTACTTATACCCTTTTGGGGTTACGTGGCTTAGTGGTAGAGTACTTGGCGCCGTGACATTATAAAAATTTCAAATTTGTATATAATTCCTATATAAAATTTAAAAATCGATATTTTGAAATTTTAAATCTTAATATAAAAAAATCCTAAAAATCTAAAAATTTCAAAATAAGCTTAAATCGATTTAAATTATATATATATATATAAATTTTCAATAAATTCTATTCACAAATAAGAAAATTAAAAATTCCATTTTTGGTATAAAAAGTGATCAAAAAGTGGCCCAAAAGGGGGGGTGGCCAGAAAGTGGGGTATCCGACTTAGCAGATAGACTTGCAACCTTATCAACAATATATTTGGGGTAGATAGGGGGAAAGATCTTGAGAGGCGTAGTGGTGGTGTGGTACAAATGCCAACATACCAGAATGAGAGAAATTACAAGAAATTTCCAACCGATCTCCAACTTGTTAAGATAGTTTGAGATAGTCAGTGATTTTAATGGTTACTGACTTGTTTCCAGAGAATTGGCAACTGTATCATGTGCGCCATGATACTGGAAGGAAATGCTACCGGTCGACGCCTATCAGTTACAGTAGCACAATGAACACGATGGAACGTTTTCAACATGAACAAATCATGATATACCGGTACATTTCACTTGAAAAGATCTCGATTCGACGTGGACCCTGTTGAGCCTGCCTTGTTCTCATTTCACATTGGTGATACCGGTATTACCAAATTCATATACGTACCGAGAGAGAGCTCTTTACTGGTTCGCATTGATTGAAGATCCACTGTGAAATCTCGAAATGCCTACGATACCAACCTAGTAGATCTGGAGCCATAATCAATAAAGATCTAAGCGACACTCTAGAGTGAGCCTCCCCCTGTTTCCTTTGATGAACCATATTATGCAGAGAAGTAAGAAAGAAGGCATAACAAACGTCAAATGTTATATTGATGGCTCTGAAATTTGATGTAAGAAAAACGAAAGAAGGTAAGATTGTAGTGAAGAGAACGTAGAGTGGAATACGAGATAGCTAGCTGGTATATATACTCCGTGAAGAATATGCCGGGTGAGATCCTTCGGCTTTTAAAGGTCCGAGACATATCAAAGGAAGGAAGGTGTCTCGAGGGGTCATCAAATTGGTGATCTGAAGCGACAAGGCTGAGAATCTACTGTGGCTAGTAAAGGTCAATATGTGTGGCGTCATCAACAAACCGAGGATGCATCTTCATTTAACGGGAAGGCTACCTTATTTCACTCACTGTCACATAAGCTTCTTTCCTTCCTCAACACCAACACCTACGTTGATAGTATTCTTTAAAACAATTCCGTTCATTTTTTGTCCCAGCAATGCGATAATACCCGTCCGTCTACTTTCCTTAATCACTGCGATCAGTAACTATTCCCGAATGTCCAAGATGGAATCAGCATATCCCAACCCCGGTTTTCAAAAAGCGCAAGATAGAAGTGACCCAGAACATCCTGAGCAATCGAGGCAGGAATCTCTGGCAGTTCCAACTACCGTTAGCAATTCTCCCGAAACTCCCATGCCCATAGTCGAAGAATCAGACGAAGCTCATGTTTTAAATCATCCTCAATCTAACAACTCTACCCAGTCCAGCAATGCACAAGAAGATAAAGCACCTTCTCCGGAGAGGGAAATACAGACCTGTTGGATATGCCAAATGGATGATACTGACGATGGGCCTCAAGCTTCACCGTGGCGATCACCGTGTCCTTGTTCTTTGCGAGCACACGAATCGTGTTTAATGGAATGGATTGCAGTATCTGCAGACAAGGAAATGGCACCCAAGATTGTCTGTCCAGTCTGCAAGTATCAACTAAAAATAGACCAGCCTAAAGATTATCTCGTCTTGACGGTCGACAAACTACGACGTATGGCGGAGACAATGGTACTTCCCACGGCTGCCGGCGCATTATTCAGTTGCTTTTACTCCGGATCACTTCTGTTTGGCGTTAACAGCCTGGCATTGGTATTTGGCGCAGATGACGCCCGCGAGATAATTTTGACGCATTACGACGACTTCATAGATCGTCCTGTTCTTGGTGGTAGCATACACTTACCCATGAGACAGATGTTAACCAAATATTTATTTCCATTTCTCGGAGGCGGGTTCATGGCTGTACCAAGTTGGAGGGCAACAATAGGACTACCGTTAATTGCACCAACCCTCCTATTATCACGGACAAGAATTGCGGATTCGGTTTTCAGTATAGTACCTGTTACTGTAAGTTAAGAATCCCTAGTTGCGCCTAATGGGCAAAGTATGATTGAAGTCTGCGTTTGCTAACATGGCTCAAGTATTTTCTCTTTAGCCCCGACAGCAAGAGCATTACCTCCTGGCCTCCATCCCCGGGTCGCGCGTTCGTACTTGTTCCCTATGTCAGATTGGCATACAATACCCTCTACCGTCACATGTTTTCGGAATTGGAAAAGAAATGGGATTTGGCTGTTCAGCGTAAACCACGAGAAGGCGAAACTGCAGAACAAATCGCTGCGGAGCAACGCAGAGGAGGGGACGGCGATGGATTCTTAGCATTGGAAATGGAAATGGAGATCATTGATGAAGTTATGGACGAAGACGGAAACTTGGTTCCCCAAGATGGTGCACCTCTGGGTGATCGCAACCAGAATCAAGGTGGCAGACAAGGCGAAAACGACAATCAAAACAACATGGGGGTCCGTCGAAATATTAGTACACACAGCTTGTCATTCCAGTTTATGGGCGCAGTGCTATTCCCTGCAATATCAAGCATAATGGGCGATGCACTCAAATACGCATTGCCATCTATATGGGTAAAGTCGAGATGGGGAGGAAAGCCAGGGTTATTACAACAGAAATGGGCCAGAAGTTTAGTGGGAGGATGTCTATTCGGAGTTTTGAAAGACGTGGTCGTGTTGTATTGTAAGTGGAAGAAAGCAAGGAATTTTGGGAAGAAAAAAGTCCTAGAATTTGGAGGGAAAGGGAAGGGAAAGGCCGCGTGAAAAATAGGGGAGAGTAGTTTATGGATAGAGTGAGCATAGTGGGGGATGAATATCAATCGAGGATGGAACATTGTGGATAAGAAAATCCTTATCTCCTCGCAGAAGAACGCATTGAGGCTGTTCAAAGTGTAATTTTATGACCATTGGAAATACGTCCAACGAATGGATATGGTGGTTGAATGCCAAATACAAATGGAGGCATTATTAAATTCATATCATATACCCATGCCATCTAATCTGCCATTCCACTACTACCAAAAAATGGCAGCTATCAAGTACATGCATTCTGGGGGCTCTTGATTCCAAGACGATTGAATCACCTGCTTAAGCAATAGCATTGTTTTCTTGATTCATATAATCCCCAATTAGAGATCCTCTATTCCCAAATTTCCCATCTTCATCCCTAATGCATCTCAATAGCTGTTCATCACCTCATGCGCCTCAAGCAACCGAAGATAAAACGCCTAAAACTCACAACACGAATTCCGTGACATCACCCGAATTCAATAGCAATCATCAGAAAGAAAAGAAAAAAAGACATACCAGCAACATTCCATCTCACATCCGCCTCCTCAAATCCCTTCCTCACGAGAACCACAATATCGTGGGAAGATGGATCTTTAGATCTGATCTGCTCAACACACATATGGTAGCCGAAAAACAACGCCCATAAGGACATGCTTTTGGGATCGCGTCCTAAGAGGGAATGGGGAGTTGACATGTTTGCGATGATTCGGTGGGTTATGCGTTGGAGGAGTTGGGCTTTGCGTTCAGCGCGGTGCTGGTTTAGAGGGGATGGAGGATTTGATGGGTGTGGAGAGAGGGATGATGTGTGTAGGGCTAGAAGGGTGCTTGGTTGAGAGTTAGTCGGAGATCATGGCTGGGACAGTGGGAAGCATGGGTAGAGAGATGAAAATCATACCTGTAAATAAACGCAATGCGATCGCAATCTGGATTTTCCACATTCACCGAAGCCTCAAGCATAGAGGTTACCGTCCGATCTAATTGCATCCATAATTCATCGTCATGAGATGAATCGCCAGACACATGGTTGAGCACTTGGCCCAATAATCTCGCAGCTTGACATAGCAGAGCGAATTTACTCATGTGGCTTGTGGTTGGAGAGGATAAGGTAGAGTAACTGGAGGAATTGATGATCTGGTTAAGAAGCCATGAGTAGGTTATTATGATAGATGATTACATTTGAAAATAGATCACTTACACCTTGGTTCCACGCTACGTCGTCGCATGGTAATGTATCATCTATGTTTGGATCCGAGGTTGCGAAAGGCCTCCCTGGTGATCCTATGCTTACGAAACTGTGATGATGGTTAGTCCTGATTAGAAAGTGGTTCGAAGGATAGGACTGGATTTGTGATCACTAACCGATCCAGAATTACAATAGCCCACCAAACTCTTCTTCTGAAACATCAGATTGTCAGTAATGATCTACCGAGAAATATCATATGGAGTAACACGAAGAGAAGAATGTGGAAATAATAGGTAGATTTAGGGTTTGAAGAAGATGAGATGCCCAAGCAAAGTTGAACGTTGTAGAATGCAAAGCATGATGAATGAGCAAATGATACTAACCTCTCTTCCACCTCCAACATCGTAAGAACCCTTCTTACATTTAGCCGCTTATTACAGTTTATGCCCAGAGCATATGCGTACCGCGCACATGCTCCGATAGAAAGATACGCTGCAGGATAAATACCATGACCCATCTCATACAAGGCGATCAGGATTTCCGCTTGAAGAATGGGAAGAGAAGGAACATTGGACGTTTCTACTTCAAGACAATAATGTTTTTATGGCTTGATAAAGTAAAGTTTGAGGATTCCGTGGATTTGTGGGAGGCAATGTGGTGATTAGTTTTATGGAGAGGAGAAGGAGAATGGTTTCTGGACGGTTAGGAATGGTCGATTGAGGGGGTAGATGATAGCTGTAGAAACGGGGCTTGGAAATAAACGTCATCCATGTGTGATCCTGGGAAAAGAACTCGGTAGCACACTGGTGGATAGAAGTGATGTCTCCTAGTAGATGAAGAATATGTGCTGGGATACAACTAACAGGCTGGGGTATGTCAATTTGCCCTTGCTGTAAAATATATGGATCTAGAAACAACATTGCTGAGAAATTGATCGATTGAGTATCAAAACGATCATAATTTACTGGTATCTGAATATTATGCCATGGTTGCGTAGAGGTTAAGGTAGATGTAGGTACATAATCACGGGTCTGCTCTGATGTAGAGTATTCGCATATTAGATCTCTCCTGAAATACTACTGTTAACCGCAAAAAAGAACAATCGGAAAACAGATACATTGATTTACCTCAAACATCCCGAACATTGTGGAAGTAATCTATCGCATTTCTTCTTCCGCATCCTGCATGAAATGCATACTTGCTCCGACGTCGGTTGTTGGTCGGCGCTCGATCCATCACTGGGTGTTTGCATGGTGGGGAGAATATTCCAAGGAAAATTATTGTCCTACAATAATTTCTGAGTACAATGAAAGTGAATGTAGAAACAACGTTTCGATAACCCAAGGCGATGCGAAGGGTAGTGAATTGTGGAGTGCGTGAACCGCCATTGTTGATCCATACTTTTGGTGAAGGGGCGTTCGGCTGGCGGCGCACGAGCGCCGCTGATTAGGCGCCGCTTATGCATGCCATCCTAGCGAACCCAATCAGCAGGAGCGAGACTTAGGGGCTCCATCGTGTAAGGGTGACTGTGAAACTTACGTATAAGTATAGAGCTATGGAGCATGTATTTTCTCTCATCTCGTCATCAGTGCCTTTGCTCTTTCCTCTTCTCCCTCCAACCATAATTTCAGATCCTACACACTTTTCACCATGAATCGTTACGCTGCATCTCACATCAATCCCCAGGGCCCCGGAGATTCTCGGCCAACTGCACTTCAGATTATCCAGGACGAGTCGTTGATCGGTAAACTGGCTGGAAAAGTAATCGTCCTCACTGGTTCAGCCTCCGGCATTGGTCTCGAAACGGCGAGAGCCTTGTCTGCCACAGGTGCTACTTTATTCCTCACTGTCCGGGACATAAAAAAGGCTGAAACTTCTCTTGATGGAATTTTAGAGCCCTGTCGTGTTACGCTTGTAGAGATGGACAATGCTTCTTTTGTCAGTATCAAAACTGCTGCAGCGGTTATCCTCGAGAAATCGGGTAATCGGCTCAATATACTCATTAACAACGCTGGTGTTATGGGCATTAAAGATCTCCAACTCACCGAAGACGGGCACGAAATCACCTTCGCCACCAATCATCTTAGTCACTTTCTTCTATTCCAACTTCTGAAACCTGCCTTACTCCTTAGCTCCAGTCCAGACTTTCATTCCCGCGTGGTAAATGTTTCTTCCGCCAGCCACCGAATATGCGATCTTCCTGACAGCGACAACTATAACTTTCAAAAGGGAGGTTATAATTACGGAACTGCATACGCAAATTCGAAACTCGCAAATATATACATGGCCAATGAAATAGATCGTCGCTATGGTCAACAGGGATTACATGCAACAAGTCTCCACCCTGGTCCTATCGACACGAATATTAATAGGCACTTGGGCAGGGAGTGGGTGGCTCAAGTTATGAGTAATGAGAAAGTTCGCAAAGTGCTAAAAAGTGCTGAGCAAGGAGCTGCAACAATTGTTACTGCGGCGGTTGGGAAGGAGTGGGAGGAAAAGGGAGGGAAGTATCTGGAGAATTGTAGTGAAGCAGAACGGGGAAAGGATGACTACCAGATTTTCGGAAATGGATGGGTGAAGCAAACATATCATCCAGAAGATGAAGGGCGATTGTGGAGAGATTCATTGAAGATTGTCGGGGTCGAGGACGATATGTGAGGAGTGGACAGTGCAGATTTATTGTAGTCTAGTCATGTACATTAGTCAAATGGATATCGTTGTTGAAGATATCACTTCTATCCAGACGAGCAGATACAATCCATATACCATCAACATAAAATAGGAAACTTGTTGTGAATAATTATCCTGATTCGGACTATTTATCCTTGTAATATTTGGAATAATTACACCCAGATTTCCAGAAATCATTTCCTTGGGCTTGTATACATTAATAGTAGACATTAAACATTATTGGTGCAACCCGATTTAGCACGGTGCTTCTGCCGCAAAGATCGCTTTCAGAAATTGACATTTGTCTCTCCCCTTTCATAACTACTCCAATGGCAATTCGTTGTCCGATATCATCTCACACTCTAGTCCTATACGCTTGTATTCCTTTGTAGAAGCAACAGGAAGTCCCATAGCTTCCTTAGCTACTCTTGCCGCCTCTGCCACCTCAGCGTTTTTCATCTTCTGAATCCTAATAGCTTTCTGTATCTTAGCCTTCAACTCGAAATTCTCCTTCGACTTTGTCTCAAGCACAGTCTCGATGTACTCCACATTGTAGAAGGGATTGTGCTCAATAAGGGCTGAAGTAGGAAAGTAAGTTCTGAATTTGTAAGTGTCTTTCGTATTCTTTCGCGTTCGTTCGTCTTCAGGGATGGGGGTGTGGTTGTCTTTGATGTATTGAGACATATATCGGACAGCAACACTATCCTCAGCCGTAGCCCCGTCGGGCAGAGTTGTTCTCGATTTTTCCAAAAAAACTCCAAGTGGGTCGCTAGTTCCTTCCAATTCCATCTTTTGGCCTTGTCTCTGACACTTTTTGGTTGGCTCTGCAACCATACGTGCTGAGCTTGGCCAACTGGAACCTTACGCTTGGTGACCTTCAACCGCCAAACGTTCTTATTTTCTGCTTGAAACAAGGGTACCATATCCTTGGTGACCTTCAACCGCCAAATGTCCTTATTTTCTGCTTCAAACAAGGGTTTGTCTTTGAGATCATGAGAGTTATATGGCTTAGGTTTGACCTTGGCGTCGGCGTTAGGTTTTTGTGCTTCAGTTGGATATTGGGCTGTATGACGTTTTTTGACGGTTTCGTTGGTTGTTTCGATCTTCTCTCCGACAGAAAGTTTCTTTGCGCGGGTCATTCTCATTCCACTTAAGTCGCCGGTATCTGGGATGATGTTATTCTCATCCAAACCGTCGTTGAATAGACCGGCATTCTTTTTGGGTCTCTTTGCCGAGTGCGAGGTTCCAGCTTGGTGAGATTCATCATTGCCCGACTCTCGCTTCTTGGATTTGGTGTTTGAGATAGCGTTATTTGCTGAGTGTGATGCTCCGACTTGATCAGGTTTATCAAGATCCATATCTTCCTTGAGCTCATTGGTCTCATTGGGCTCATCGTTTCTTGTGACCATTGATTGTGAGGTATCAGGAATACCTGAACTTGCGGCGGCTATAGATGATTCGGAAACCGAGTCCGTGGTTGTCAAAGTTTGATTGGAATCGGAGCCGTTTGTAGCTGCGCTGGATAAATTGAGAGGGGGTGATTGAGCTGGTGTACAAATGCCCTGGGGGATTTTCGAAAGGACGATTGTGATGATGAATCGATAGACTCAAAGTCTGCTGTGGTAGATCCTGCAGCTGGACTTTGAGAAGCGCCTGGTGACGACAGCGGTGACAACATCTTGGAATGCTCTGAGACAGAGGGAATTGGTGGCATAACTGGCAGCATATGATGTTTCTCTGGGTTATTCGTAGTTGTTTTATTATTTGCAGTTGTAATGCTATTCGAGGTTTGTTTTATTATTCGAGGCTGTTTTATTGGTCGAGGTTTGTTTTATTTTCGAGGTGATTATGTCATTCGTAGACGTTTTTATTGTTCTTTATGCTAATGGGAGTTTTTATACTGTCCGTAGTTGATATGCTATCCGTATTTAGTATTTCATTCGTATTTATTATGCTAATCGTAGTTGATAACTTACTCGGGGCTATTATGTGGCTATGGAGTTGATTGTGTATCGTATCGGTGCAGAAAAAGTGTAACAGTGATGTGTTTGAAGATTCAATAAAGCACGAAGATGCTTCTGAATAGAAACACGACTTGCAGATAGATTGTAGTTCGGATCGTTGGATGGTAAACCGAGTGTGGTTTGACGATTGAATAAAGCACGAAGATGCTTCTGAATTGAAACACGACTTGCAGATAGATTGTAGTTCGAATTATTGAATGGTGAATCGAGTGTTGTTTGTGTAGATGGGGATGAGTGAAGTAAGATATGAGAATTTTTCAGTGCAATGGAGTAGAAGCGGTGCTCCAAATTGGAGCTGTCGCCTAAAATGACGTTGTATAGATTTGTACCAGATGTGATTGAGACTAGGTCCTCGATGTGGTCCTGTGTATGATCTGATACACATTAAAAGTCCTGCAAATTGTGAGTGGAAGGCAGACTTTGATGCTGAGAGAAAGGTTTTCTGTGGTTAATTTGGTGTGAAAAATAAAATTGTGGGAGTTGGGTCTTGCAATGTGCGCTGCGTCAATGACAAACCGGTAAATACCCAATGCCAAATATGCCGAACTCGATAGTGGCCTAGGGACATTGGAAAACTCCGGCAAACATCGGAAAATCATTAACATCCACATTTTAGACGGCAATTGGGGTTTCAACGATCATATGGAGTGAGAGGGGGGGCTTGGATTGGTCATGGTCACGAAGGAGCAGATCACGAGGCGGAGTTTAAGGTGATAGAATATAAAATATGTATTACTGATTTGCATTATACTCACGATAAGACGAAGGGACCTTTGGTAGAATTCTTATAGTGCCCAGACATACGATATGAACAATAACAAACTGTAGAGGTACCATACGACGAACGGGCTCGACGGCGATACGAGTATAGTTCATTGATGGTACTCTGTGTTTTCCAAAGTGCTAAAAGCCTCTTCATCGGCAATCTCGACAGGTGTTCATCTACATCATCATTGTATTGATCGGCGAAAGGCCTGAGCTTCAAACTGAACAAAAAGTGACATGCCCAACCATGCGAAGAGAATCATACATTAAATACGGAGTTTTTGTCATCATATAACAACATTAACATCATTGTGAATATAATTCTCTATGCGAATTTCATTCAAGAGTTTGTAACGAATTCTGTTAAAAAAAAAAAAAAAATATCGGGTTGAAATACCGACCCGAATTCTTGATATGCTTGTTTAACATTGGATATAGAAAAGAGCATACATCTCGAGTATTCGTATTCCTTTTTCTTCTTCGTTAAGATATGGGGTATGGGGTATGCATTAGCGAAACTGGCCTTGATGCCTTATCAATACCGTTACAGGTGTATTGTGCTGCCACATAGCGAAGCGAAGGATTTTTGGTATTGCTGACTAATAGAAAATTGATCAAAAAAGTGCCAAGAATTTCTCGGTGGAAAGTGGAGCCTACACCCGCCCCCCAAAAGAAAAAGACCTCTCCTCACTCTCCTCATGCTTCGAAAGAGGCATAAAGTTTGTTTCAGAACTCTGCATCGGTGAATTGCATGTTTGAAATGAATAAAACGGTGCTTTCTCTACCGTGGTTAAATCATTCATCGCTGTATGAAGTACAACAGATGACGGGTGAACACCTGAATCATTGCCTTGAAAAGTTCAGTGATCTATTGAAAAGCTTGATCAGTGAAGACCTTTAACAAGAAATTATTGACGATAATCTAAAAGGCCGCGAGGGCTAAGAACAATAGATCTAGCGTACAAACTAGATAGCACATATATAAGAGGAATGCGCTCACTTTTTCTAAGAACAATTCCTTCTTCGTCTCTCCACGCACTTTTTTGAGAATAATTCCTTCTTCGTCTCTCCACATGACGGATTGTTCTTATTCTCTACCAATAACTTTATACGCCAACAATAACGCGCTAAAGAGGATTCAGTCCTGACATTCATATGGTCTAAGATATAGACATTTTATATGCACGGCAAGAGTGTCCCTGACCTCTTGACCAAACGGCCATAGAACGTAACGCAATCAAATCATCCAGAACGAAGCCATCAGTTGTTGAGAATCTTTATCAATATGACAGATAGCGAACTTACTTTGACGACAAAGTTTCGGGGGAAAAAACTATCATCGGCGAGGCAGGAGCGTTCTTGACCTTCGATCAAACAACCACCGGACGCTGCGCGATGAACTTTACAAAAACACAGATACACGCCATCAGTTATTGCGACGATACCAATCCCTTTTTTTGCTGAAGAGGAAGAGTTCATGGAATACTTAAGTCGCTAATGACAAAGGGGGAAAGAGGGAGAAAGTCATGTGTGTATATCGAGCACGCAGCCCTGCCAAGCATCTGGCACATATGTACACTCTTAATAAAACTTGTATAGTCTTACACAGCTGCACCTAGTGCTCAACGGTTCTCCAACTGATTTGAGACGGAAAGCACGCATAAATTATCACGGTCGACTTATGAAAACATAACATAATAAAAAATTGCGACGCTTTCCCACTAGGGCTAAATCACATGCTCTCAAATTCATGCGAGCAATTCATACATGACCCCATTTATTTGCGACGGGATGAATCTCGAGTCGGAGCGAAAAACAAGTCTTCAGTTATGCGCTGACTGCAGGAAGCATAAAGACGTTGTTCCCCAAGCATTGTTTCGGGTAACAAAGCCGAACTCATGCAGTATGAGCAGAGAATGAAACGGACACTTCGTCAGCTCATCATCGATTATTACCTGTTTTGAGTGACAATGGTTCGATGTAGTGACTGCAATAAAGTTATTGCTGCGCAGTATGGAGTATTCATGGGTGGGTGGTACGCGACGAATGCTTTGTTTTGATTCCATTCCGCTTTGAATGGATTACCGCCATTATCGATAACCTTGCGAGAGTGAATGAAATCGAGTAAATCGAGGACCAATACCTCGAGGATTCATTGCTGTGGTTGCACCATACACCTTTAGCTTGTATGACGGAGCACAACGCGTCGATAAAATAATCTCTATTCAGTAGCAGTATGCGGACACTCCCCGCTGTACGAGTATTGTATGGTCAGGAATCCTCGAAGATACTTCCGTTTGCATCCTCCCCACAATCCTCACGTCTTTTTGATGCCCTCACGATTCACGAATGACCGAATACGGAAAGCAATGCAGAATTGACGGCCAGCCAGTGTTTGTTTGTTTGTCGGTTGGACTCATCCTTTCATTATCGATATCAACGTTTCGTGTTTCGTCGCGTGTTGATCGCAGGGAGGACCGTGAGCAGTGACAGTTGCCTCGGTTACCACTTCAAACAATCCCAGCACCCTTGACCACACATACACGATACACCACACACCGCACCTCCATCTTTTCTGCAAGAACACTTCATCTTTCTTTCGTGGCTGCATGATATGCTTGCATCTATACCAGTCAACCATGGTACGTACTGTATTTACGACGCCAACGATTCGATGGTAGTTTTCCACGGGAGTCCCGGTGTCCGTTACTGTGGGATGCTGTACGCTTTGGCAAGCATGGCCAAAGTGGTCAGATGAGAGTTAATGTAAGATGTAAGATGCAAGTCCAGCTTGCAGCATCTCACGTTATTCCACAACCACATCAGTTTTCAGCCTAATATGTGCGTCTCTATTGAATCTAGATTGTTACTGTAGTTCTGGCAAGCCGGCTCAGGCCGGTACAGCTTAAGTTTGAAGTCCACAAATGTGCTCGGATAGGTATCAAAAGAGCAGACTGGTGCGGATCTTGCATCCTTTGCCTGCTTCGTAGCGGGCTAAGATATCGTGTTTACACACGTGTACTTTCGAAATTGCGGTGAAGATGATCCTCATTTCGAACCGCAGAATTGGCTACATCAAAACCCAAGATGGACACGCCAAAAACCACCCTGCATTTGAAATTCTGTAAAAAATCGACCCTCAAATATTTTGAATCAATACCTCGATGGGAAAATTTGTTAGCTTATAATTAATATTCAAGATTTATCATCTTGATGATACAATTTTGATAGCTATCGAAATTCAAAAGAAGGCATCCATGACTTTTAGCAATTTTAGCAGAAGAACCATTTCAGTCCTAATGTCATGACTGCTGAGCTTGGGAGTTTACTTTCTTCGATTTACAAGACAATTGAATCACTGATTATGGAGGTGGTCATAGGTATTATGTTCTGCGTCACAATATTTCCAAAAAGGTGGTCACAAAGAAGTTTTTGGCACTTTTGAGAAGATTCAGAGGTATTTTATATGTCATGATTTCAAATTGGGTAATATTGCTAGATTATACTCGTTTCTGGGCATGCAGTATGCTCTCTTGCGGCTTATTCAAGAGATAGCTGCCTTTTGAAGCCCAGTCTGCTGGCCTTTCGAGTTTGAGGTTTCTTATATAGGAAGTCTATGATGCAGGCTCTCTAAACACCAAAAAATCTAATAGAAATGGAGATATTGATTTCGTGGAGTTGATTTCGTACAAAGTGTTTTTTATATACTCTGTGTGTTTTAAGGTTCTTAAACTTGGCTTTTCACTATTTAAGCTGTTTCTTGCTTCTTATGGTAAAGTTTTGAATCCTGAACACATGGTGTTTTTTGATTCGTAGAGATGGAGTTGGACTTGCATTATTTATGACCCGTTTCTTGGATAGTGTTATGGCCATGGAAACAAGCAGTCACTCCCAATGCTTTTACTGGGATCTTCAAGAACAAAGACGTAAATAACAT